ACGATGCGCCTGGGGACGCAACCGACGACACGCCGATAGCGGAGCAGCAGCTCGTCGACGCGCTCTCCTCTCTCTCGAAAGAGACCGTGTGGCGGGTCAAGGGCTTCGTGCGCCTGGAGCGCGGCCTGCACATCCTCAACTGGGCTTTTGGGAGGCACGAGCTGACGCCGTTCGACGACGATGCAGACAAGCACCGAGGGTCCATCAAACTGACGGTCATGGGCGAGCGAGGGGAGGTAAAGAGGGCGGCGCGGAAGTTGGCCGAGAAGATCGGAGCGCAGATGGTGTAGAAATGGCCGGATGTATGACCAGTAGACATGTATAACATCGGGGCTCGACACTGTCTCCTTAGCTTGTACCACACGAGTTTCGCACGTAGAACATAAATGTTTGAGGAAGGCATGGCGATTCAGGTTCGGAGCAACTCAAGGAAGCATTAGAATCCATGTATTATTCCAGGTGAGTAGGGATATCGAAGACGGTGTGATTAGTAGGGAAGAAATCCTGGGTATCGACGCACGTAAGGTGCGTTGCATCTCTAGCACCGTAATGACCACAACCTTAGAAACGGAGGTGGGCTGCACACTTCATTAGCCAAACAGAACGCCAGCAACATGCAGTGCAACACTCACCATCTATGTTGGTGATCGCGTCCAACTCCGAGTCGAGCAAGAAACGACGAACACGCTCTCCCTGGCTAGCAGAGATCGGCTGCAGCGTGAGCTGGCTCTTCCCCTCACCGTTCGCGACGCGGTACCAGGTATAATCCGCCGGCGCGCAGTCGTATGCGTCCTCGTACCACGTATAATCGTCCGCACGCCCACCAGGAGCGCGGCGCCTCGCCGCCCACGCGATGTAACGTAGACTCGGCATGACCTGCATGATGCGGTCTGGGAGCTCGGCGAGAGTCTGAATGTCGTCCTCGTGCCATGGCGCGTCCAAAGAATCGGCAGTCGGGGGCTGCGGGGCCACGATGCGGAGGCAGACGAGCGAGTAACGGCTGAGGCTCTTGATGAATTCGCTCTGGAACACTGGTGATCAGCCACGGACTGTGAAAGAGCTCATGATGTAAGTTACTCACAACCCATCCCGGCTCGTGGCGCCGTTCCCACGTATGGCAATGCACGTCCATGAACCTGAGCCGAGGCGCGGCACGGGGCATCTGCTGCCAGTACTTGAGCCACACCGCAGTGTCCATGAAGCAGTGTAACGCGACGCCGACGGGAGATGTCTCGTATATCGTCCTGCGGAAAGCCCTGAGCTCCCGCGGGTAGCGGCGAAGGTGGAGCAGGTGAACGGGATGCCGAGCGCACTCGAAGGTCTGGAGTTCGGTGACTGAGAGACGGCGGAGCGGCTGCTGAGGGGACCGTCTCAACTGCGCGCTGTTGACATGCTGCTCGAAGACCTCTAGGTTGGGGAAGGTCTTGGCCACGTCGATCTGCGGGTGCCACCAGTGCACGGAGAGGTGTCGCACTTGAGGGAGTGGCGTGTGTATGCTTCTCAGCTCCGGAGAAGCCGGAACCGCTTTCAGGTCCAGATCGAGAGCGTGAAGCTCTTGTACGGAAGAGAAGGTCTCGAGTATCTCGCGTATCACGTCGAAGACGCGGTTCGCCTCTGCGGGGGATTCGGCTCTGACGGGGGATATGTGGAGGACGCGAGGACGACTGCGCATGCTGGCAAAGACAGGCAAGATGTTGCTGTCAACGTCGGAGAGCTCGAGTCTGACTATCCTGGTCATGGAGGCCATGGCAAGTCCAATGCGAGGGTCATGCTGGAGGAGCGGTGCGGTGTGCTCAAGGCGAACGTGTGATAGGTTGGGCGCGACCTGCAGGATGTCTCCCACGAGAGACGCGAGCGAGTACTCGTACGTGTTCTTGGGAAATGTCCAGTTGGGGTCATCCTGCCAGGGCCGCTCGATGAAGGTGGAACCGAGTATAGTCAAGCTGCGAAGGTATACAGCGCGCTTCGGCACACCTGCCAGCAGGTGATGGTGAAGACGAACGAGGTCAGTGCGCGAGCGGCAGACGAGGACGGCAGGGACGCGGTGGACAGCGAAGTCATGAAGCCGGCGGGCGGTGAGAGCAAGGTTGAGCGCGTCGCGTCCGCGCACATGTGACGCGAGCTCAGCAAGAACGTCGCCGTTGAGTGCAAGCAGGGCGAGGGCGGTAGAGGGGCTAGCCGACGCGAGAATGTCGCACATCTTGTCCAGAGGAGCGCGAACGGGGGAGAGAGCGCGGTCCGACCTGCCAGCGCAACGAGGTTATCGGACCACTCGGTTAACTCTCTCACAGGCGAAGCGTACCCATTGTCGCTGCAAACAGCGTCGCATTGTGGCAGGAGGACAACCTGACCGACCGAGAGGGGCGAGAGAGCTTCGCAGCAGCCTCGTGGAGAGAAGCAGGGCTCGTCGAGGTCGCAGGCAATCAGCTGGGAGAGGTCGGCGGAGGTCATCGCGGCCACGTTGGTGTACGGAGGCAAGCCATCTTATCTGATAAGATGGGGTCGCCCATTCCAGGCACAGCGCGCGTGGCCCAGTCCGCGACGCGACGCGCGATCACACAGGCGCCCGTGATGCCAAAGGGTCGGCCAAGAATCACATGTGGATTGCCATCCGTTCTGCTCGACAACCATGTTCTCGTATGTCTGGAGCTCAGGTAAATCACACAACACCCTCGAACATATCCATGCTCTGACACACGTTCTGCAGCCAGCACATATTTCCACCTGCCCATCGACGAAGACGACGACGAGAGCAGCGCCGCCCCTCCTTACCGCACCAAACACCTTCCCTGGCTATCGCCCGAAGGCACAGACTCTGACGACTCCGACGACGCGTCCTCCGCTCCCTCCGGCTCTTCCACACCCACCGCATCCTCATCCAGCCCTCCCAAAACCCGTGCAGGCCCCGCGCCACCTCCGAAGAGAAGCAAGGCGGTAATCAACGAAATTCTCGCCCAGGAGGACTGTTACGCCGTGCTCGGCCTATCGCGTTCCTCCCGAACAGACAGGGCCTCTCTCCGGCGCGCCTACCTCTCGAGAAGCAAGGCCTGCCATCCAGAGTGCGTCCTTCCCTGCTCCCTGTCTTCCTTACTCGCTAACCAAGCATGATCCACGCAGTAAGTTCCCGGACAACCCCGAGGCTACTCGCGCGTTCCAAAAGGTCTCTGTGGCGTATGACATCCTCTCCAAGCCAAACTCGAAGCGCCTCTACGACTCTCGCTCGCAACAAGCTCCATTCGACTTCTTCGCCTCCCGGTCCTTTCCCCAGGCCGAGGAGACGTTCCGCAGCGTCGTTATCGGCGTCTTCAACGACCTCCTCGATGGCGACCTCGAGATGGTCCGCACTCTTCTCTGTGAGCTTAACTGCACCAAAAATAGCCGTCCTCAGTCGCTCATATCTGTCTACCCAGGCGCCGTCAATAGCATGAATCCATCTCTCCAGCTCGGTGAGGAGGGCATCAACTCCGTACTCATGACCCTCCAAGCCATCCGTACCCGCGCTCTCAGTATGTCCTCTCGCAATCTCCTTCACCTACTCATTCACTCACTCCCTACCCCTAGCCTGTCGAACATGCATCCTGGCACTCCACCACGAACTCACCCGCCTCCTCGAAGTGCAACGCGCCTTCCGCCAGCTCTCCTACTTCGACCTCCGCCGCCGCTCCCACCTCTCCATTCAGATCGCGCGCCTCACCCTCGGCCTCCCCATCGCGCTCGAAGACGCGCTCCGGCGCGAACGACAAGTCGGCGACGGCGACGCAGACGACGACGACGACGCGGGCCGCGACGGTGTCGGGGACCCTGCGTCCCGCAGAGCCACTGCCGCGCAGACCGCGCTGCTGAACCGCCAACTGTACGGCCTCCTGCGGACTATCGTCACTGTACTCGAGCGCATGGAGCGGCTCGTCGAGAAGTAGCCCCGGTCGCTGCCGTCGCTATCGTCTTCGCATACACTACATTATTGTTCTCCTTATCCACACGGTGCCCCGTCGCATATGCATCTCTCACATCGGATCCAGCCAGCATACTTACCATAGATATCCCCTCCCCTCTCCCTACTTTCCTTCCCCACCCACCACGCACCTTAGAGCGCCGGAAGTGTACGCATATAACGGGATCATGTACCAGGTCATGTAACGTCGAATCTACTCGTATTCACCTCATCGAATTCGCCTCAGCGATCTACGTACTGAACAGGCGGGTCACAGACAAACAGGGGATAATAAGCTAAACAGCAACAGCATCGAGACAGGCCCCACGGGCGCAAAAGGGGAACTATTATACACATCGCGCCGCTCTCGGCGAGCGGAGAAGGCGACGCGGAATAACGGGGGCGGAATAAAAGCATACAGTATGGCACACAGCGGGAGAGAAGACGGAGCTAAGAAGATACAAACGATGATACACTGTCCACCCTCCCCACCTCACGCCTCCCCACACTCACCCCTGCGGCGGCGGGCCGAACTGCCCAGCGGGCCTCTGCTGCAACAAAAGTGCGTCAATATCGTCATCCTCCTCACACACACCAGCGTAAGCACTCACCCCGTTCGCCGTCCACTGCATCTGCGCGGTCGCCACCGTCGGCGAGATGCTCTCCTTCTCCTCGAGCACGTACTGGTCCTGCGCGCTCTGGTACCCGTACGGGCCCATCCCCTGCACGTTCCCGTTCGCCGTCCCATCCTGCCCATTATACAGCGGGTAGAAGTAGAACTGCGGCACCTCCGGCATCTTCTGCCCATGCCCGTTCATCTCCCCGCCGCCCGGTCCCCCTCCCCCACCCGGCGGTCCCCCGCCCGGGCTGCCCTTCACCGCAGGCGGCGGCCCAGGCGGCACCCCGTGCGAGCCGTACGGGCTCGGGTGGCCCATCCCGCCGTACTGCGCGGGGCCCATCTTCGGGGTCGCGGGCGCCTGTCCGGGCTGCTGCCCGCCCTGTGGCTTGATGCTGCCCTCGCTGTCCCAGTCCTGCTCGGAGAGCAGCATGGGTGCGCCGGTGGGGGCGACTTGATGCAGGTTCGCGTCGAGCACCTTTTCCGCGAGCTTCGCGATGAGCGGGTGGCCGCCCGAGAGGTCCTTGCCCTCCCAGCGCCAGCGGAACGAGGGGAGCATGTCGAGCGCCATCCAGACGTCCTCGAGCGCGGTTTGCTTCGGGATGACGTCGCAGCGCGACATGTGCCCGTAGAGGATGACCATCGCAGCGATGTGCAGCGGGATCGGCGCGACGAAGAATGCGATGTCGGGGTACCGGATGAGCTGGTTGTGCACGACGATGATGTTGTGCGAGGTAACGATCGCTAGAAGACACGAATATCAGCTTGTGTGACCACAACCCGCAACTGATGCTTACTGACCATCAACGAGCGCACGGTGCCTCTGCGAATACTCGAGCTCCTTCGAGCTGAACAGCGCACGGAGCAGCAGCACCTTCGTGATGCCGATCTTGAGCATCGTCAGGCCGTCGTCCACGCCGATCTTCTGCACGAGCGACGTGCGTTTCTCGATCAGCCAGTCCTCCGTCCCGCCAAAGTACCACTTGTAGTGGTCCGGCAGCTGCTTCTTGTACAGCACCATGCTCCGCGTGATCCTGCTCGCATGGCGGATGATCGCGTCCGCCGTCTGGCGCGTCGGCGCATACAGCGAGTTTATGATGTCCGCCTGGATCTCCGCAATCGGCGCGCTCAGCACGAAGTGCTCAGAGATCTCCCGTCCCTTACCGCGCGTCGGGCGTGGGGTGTTCGAGTCCGATGGCGCAATCGCCAGGGGACGCCCGAGCAGGATGGACGTGCCGCGGTCGTGCACGAGCACGATCGCCCAGAGCCGGATCCGGAGCTGGCACTCCTCGTCGGAGAACACGTTGTCCTGCGAGGTCGGGTCGTGGTGCAGCCCGAGCTCGATAGCGAGCCGGACGAGGCTGCCAATCAAACGCCACAGCGTACGGCCCTGTCGCTATTCGGGCGTCAGTCGCGATGATCATCCGACCGGCTACAAGGCGCGATGGCTGCTCACCTCGGTATACAGGTACCAGTGCAGCAGAATGAGCGCCTGGAGGCTGGAGACCGTGACCCGGAGGTCAGGCTTGACGGCGAGCGCGAACTGGAAGAACTCCTCGTGCTCCGGCCAGTCGGGCGGCATAAGGTTCTTGGCGGTCGATGCGGTGGCGCCGACGTTGTGACCGCCGCTGTCGACCTTGCTCGCGCGGTGGTTGAGCTCGCTGAGCGTACCGAGCGCCATAACCAGGTACGCGCTGCAAACAAAGCCCGGGTCATGCGGAAGCAGCTGGCCTTCATACAGCGCGTTGAGCGTGTTTTCGAACTCCTTCTGCAACAGGACCGGGCGGTGGAAGTTGAGATGCTCGAAGTACGTGGTCGTGATCGCCCGCATGGTCTCGCGGGACTTGGGCAAGAATATGGGGACCGTCTGAGTGTTGTTCTGCTGACCAGGGCTGCCACCGGGACTGGCGACGGGCGGGGAAACGAGGCTGTTGCGGCGCATCGACACAGTCACCCATTTGTTCGCGTCGCGCGGGAGGGAGGCGGGCTCCCCAAAGGCGCGGTCGCGGCCCGAGATCAACGCGCTTGAGCCCACCGCGAGGTCCTCTCTGTCGGCGGGAGGAATTGTCACGTCGTTCATGATCGCACCTGACACACCGAATGTCTTCGCAAGAGCCTAGAAGAGGTCATAGTGTCAGAACTGCCGCCCAGTAGACGCGAGAGGGCTTATCGCTCCCCCTATGTCCCCGACCCGCTCACTTCGACGCAGGGCGGGAGGCAAGTGGGGACGCAGAGGATTTTGAACGGACAACTTGCCTGTGTGTTAGACATATCATGTGAGTGCGGGTCTTGACCTGGGATCTCATGCGGGGAAGGGGGCCTCTGGGGCATGCCGTGCGGAGGTGCCAACGGGTGCTGGAATGGAGGGGGCATGCGTGGGTCATACCCTTGAGGGGGAGGTCCGCCCTGCATCTGCATGTGGGGTGGGGGAGGTCCGAAGGGGCCAGGAGGAGGGTAGTGCATAGGCACAGGACCAGGGTACCCGCCAGTCATCATAGGCTGTCCAGGATGCGGAGGAGGTGGTGGTGGTCCAGGATAAGGATACCCTCTGGGCGAATCCATGGGAGGGGGAGGACCCTCGGTGCGCAGAGGAAAGCCGCGATTCGGACCGGCCTCTGGTGAGTTGGGCGCGAATTGGAAGGTAGAAGAGATGGCATTGTCGCTAGTGTCAATGTCAATGCCCTCGCGCGCGAGAACGTTGTCGAGGTCCTCGAGGGTGAAGCCGGGGTAATGACGCCTGAGAAGGGCCTCGCATTGCAGCAGTTGGCGCTCGATGCGTTCGGTGTGGCCGCGAGGGGTGAGGGTCTGGCGATGGCGGTCTTCCTGTTGGCAGACGGTGCCTGCGGTAGCACATGCAGTACACCGGGGATGCTTGGAGTCGCACTGCTCGAGGAGGGGACGAGGAAGGGGAGGGGGAGGAGGGGCGGATGTTAGCGGACTCGGATGGGAGACGGGGGATTTGCCGTCGGTGTCGCCCGACGGGACTTGCCTTGATTTTCTTACTCCTACATCGTGCGCACGCCTCATGCGAACGCCTCAAACGTCGTGGCTCGGCCGGATGCGAAGCTTCTTCACCGTTCTCGTTTCCCTTTCTACGCTTTCTGGGAGCGGACTGTTGACCTGGGTGCGGAGAGTGTTGTTGCTGCTGCTGGGGCGTCGGCGGGGGCTGCTGATTTGGATCGATCTGGAGTGCGGATTGGAGAGATGAGTGGGCGAGGTTGAGTTCTGGGTGAGGTGGTAGAAGGTGGGCCATGGCCGGGGCGGGAAAGGGACGCGAAGGAGAGGGAGGAGGGCGAAGGAGAAGGACTGAGGAGGCCGTTGTCAGCGCCCGGACGATGGCCTCTGCCTTGGTTGGGCGATGTAAATATGTAAGGCGCGCCCTGGCCCAGCGTCTCTCCTACAACCTCCGCCGTCCAATCCCGCCCTCCTTTCTCTCCCTCCCTCCCCCGCCCTCCTCTCCTCTCCTTCGCCACCTTGTTCTTCCTGCTGAACACGCCGCCAGATCGCCACAGCCTGCCTCCCGCAACACACACGCTATCTGTCCGCTAGTTGCCTCCCCTCGCTTCCGCCTAGCGAGGCTGCTCAGCCAATCCGACGCTGGAACGGGTACTCATCACATCTGTCGACCACCCCAGCCTTCTCTTGCCACTTCCAGGAAAATTACAATGCAAGCTCTATGTCTCACGTCACCACCGCAGGCCGTGTCCCAGTACTACACCGCCCTCCTCGTCCTGTGCTTGCTGCTATTCACACCCAATCTGGTATCTCTCTAGCCAACTATTATCGCTGCGCTGCGCTCACTGGCCATATGGTACCCAACTTCAATGCGTCTACCATACCCGTCACTGTTCCGACTCAATCACGGACATCATCCGATCGCTTTTCCGGTGCAGCTCTTCCTTTGACATTACCTTGACATACCAATCAACTCGCCGACGATGCCGCACACCATCCGGCCACCTCCTGACACAGCGGCCTATGATGGTCCGGTGTATCTACCCAACCTCTAGTACCTGTGACGTCCTGCGGTTCCTTCGTTTCATCTGCTCCCTCGTGCTGCTCCGATCCCCTCTACCCGTAAACTCTGGCTCTTTACAATCGACCTCCGGCTTGGAGTCGCTTGCTCGACAAGTATTTCTTTCCGGTGCGCCAAATGGCATATCAAACCATGAATATATGTCGTCGGTCTGTGTACTCGTCTACATATAGTTCGCGACCTCTGACATGCCGCCTAGATCTTCAGAAGCAAAGTTTGAGATGATCACGGTTCTGTCCGGCTCAACCGCCCAGGCACCTCAACAGGGACAGCATGCTGTGAGCCACCGTGTACAGGACATTTCTCACATGGCCGAAGCATCGAAGTAAGGACAACGGGGGGAAACTTGTTGCTTTCGACCTTGGAGATAAGTTAGCATCAGCTGTGCCCATACCGGCGTTGTACGAGGCTGTAACACATATACCTTCTTAGGCCTAAATTGAAATCATTTCCGTGTCTATTGATGTCGTCGGTTCATGCAGTACTTGCAGTGTATGTGTCCGAGTCTTTGCCCTCTGATCATGTTCATGCTGAGCGTCGAGACGTCGAATGTCCGCTGCCGCCGGGATATATCCGACTGTCGACGTCATTGATTCCCGGGCGTCTGTGGCTGCGTGGCTGACTACGCCCCGCCTTGTTTCGGTCGTCTGCAGCGAGGTCGACGAATGCAATACGGACGCGAAAACCATCCGGAAAACATATGGTCGTGGTTTGGGCCATTTTCGGGAGTGAGCGGATGTCGGGGTCGGGCAGGCGGAAAGGAAATTGAGAAAGTGGCTCGACGGGCTCGGGACGGAGGAGGGGCTGTCGGCCGGGGAACATTCCCACGCGCAGCTACGCACTCGTCCTCCGCCGTCGCCTTCTCCGTCTCCTGCAGCTTGTTCTCTTCCTCCTCTCTCGCTTTTCTCTTCAAGCATCCCGGGAAATGCTGCAAAGTACTGCACCCGACTACACTACGCCCTACACCGACACCGTCCCGGACGACCGCTCGGCATACTCGATGGCGACCGTCCACGACCCGCCCAACTCGCCCAACGCCCGCACCTCCCTCCTTTCTTCCAATGGCTCCGACGCAGGCTATGGTGTCGCTACGCCCTCCACGCCCTCAAATCGTAGACTGATATGGAACGCTACGCTGAAGATGGGCGCGATATTCTTCATTAGCACCGTGCTACTTGGAGGCACCCTCTGGCTCGCCTTGCCTACTTTGGAAGAGTGCGTTCCAGTGCCGCCTTCGACCAACCACATACTCACAGCGCTCTATCGTCGCGTAACAGGCAGGATAGACCGACGCTCAAAATCCCAAAGAGCTTTGCGGAACTCCAGGCCCTCAATGTACTCTTGAAGAAGTACCGTGATATTTATCCTTACAGGATCGTGATCTGCTATGTGATCACATACTTCTTGTAAGTCACTCCTCCCAGTTTTCTTGCAGCAACTCTGTGTCAAGAGCAGAGTATGTTTTACTATTACATGTTCCGCCGTTCGGTGGGCTGCTGCGCACTGAGGATGCTGCAGGATCGCTTCGTTCCCCCTGAGACCTCAGGCTTCAGCGCTCAGCGGTGTGCATACACCATCTTTCGAGACCACCATGGCCGGCAGTCCTCCCTCGCAACAGAGTCTGGCCGGGTATAGTGAAAAGGTCTGCGTGTCTTCTGCACACGTTGCAATGCTCCCGGCGTTTGGGGAGATGTTGGCGCGCGCGCACTTGGGAAACGTTGGAGGCGTTCACATCAGCGGACATACGTGAGGCATAAAATCCGCTGACATGCTATTTTCGACCTATCATCGCACCCGCATTGTGCACAAATGCTGACGACCTGTTACAGCCTTCAAGCCTTCTCGCTACCAGGGTCTATGTACCTCTCGATACTGGGCGGCGCCGTCTGGGGTGTCCCACGTGCCCTCCCGCTCGCCTGCGCGTGCGTGGCCACTGGCGCAACACTCTGCTACCTTATCAGTGCTGCGCTCGGCCCTGCGCTACTCACTATGCCACGGTGGAAAGCGAAGCTAGATGTCTGGGGCGACAAGCTGCGCGCGCACAAGGACGACATGATCTCCTTCCTCATCGTTCTGCGCATTGCCCCCTTCCCGCCGCACTGGGTCGTGAACGTGATCTGCCCGCACGTTGGGATCGGGATTGTCCCGTTCTGGATCAGCACGTTCCTCGGTATCCTTGGCGTCACTGTCATCCACACCACAATCGGCGGCTCGCTCGACGACATGACCTCCCCGAAGGACTTCCACCTTATCTCGTGGAAGAACTTCCTCGGGCTCGCGGCTATTGTCGTGGGCGTCATGATCCCCGTCGGGCTGCGCTACTACTTCAAGCGCGAGATTGCGACCGTCGCCGACGTCGAGGCTGAGGCTGAGGCGGCTGAAGCTGAGGCGGAGGGTGACCGGCTACTTGCTGAAGGCCCGCGCGCGGACCCCGGGAAGGGCAAGGCGGCGCCGCTCATCGCGTTCTCAGACGACGAAAGCGAAATGTACACGGACGACGAGTCGGACGAAGACATTATCCTTGAAGCGGGTCCGTCGCTGATTATCAAGTACGACGAGAACGAGCACAACGCGACGCCGAAGGCGGAGCCACGACCAGACGCTTCCAACCAAGAGGACCTGTTGTAATCCGCGGTGCCGGCCCATCGCATCCCGCCTTCCTCTTTTCCGCACGTAACGACCTCCGGCCAACTGGCCGTCACGATCACACCTATCTATCTATTCCATTGTAGACTGTCTGCGCTCTCGCCCGCCTTCTCCGTGTATTGTATGCTAGACAAGGCCCGCCACGCCCGTCCGAAACCGCCTTATTTCCCCCGCGTGGCCACCTCGTCTTATCTCCTCCCACCCTTCCTTCACCCCCGTCCCTCCTTCGCCCCTTCCGCCCTTTGCTTCTCCCGCCGGATAATCACTGCTTCGACTCGACGGGCCTCGCGCACGCACCGGACACTCCCCTCGTCTCGTCGCCCTCTCCCCTTTTCGTTCCCTCTCTTTTTTCTGGATCGTGTGTACATAAGTGTACAGCTAGGTAATGACTGTGCTTGTCGGAGAGTTGTATAAATATAACCACATACAAGACCCATAGCTCGAGACCCCGCTCCGTTCGCCGTCATCGTCCTCCGCCTCCGCGAGCCTCCCCACTACGCTGGCGCCTCCCACCCTCGCCGCATGACGGTGCTACCCCGCATTCGGGTTGTGACTTTGGGCTCGCTGTCCGCTGGCATACGCCCGTTCTCGCGGGGACGACGATCCTCGATATCGACACCGAACCCGGGCGCAATGTCACGCTGTACGGGGCGCAGCAGGTCAGCCGCCGCCAGGCCTCAACACGAAAGCTGGACGCCTGGTCGCAATTTCCCAGCGGCGACCCGCATGAACGCTGGCTTCTCTCCGCGTCGACCGTCGCAACCATGACGCTCGGCATCCCGAGTACGTCTTACCAGTACTGGTAGACGACCGTGACAGGCCCACCCACGCACAGGGGGCGTAGCGCCAATGACATAGGCATCCCCGTGGAGCTCGTATTCTCGTCAAATTTAAGCTCGAGGCCGAATATAGATCTCGACAAATTTACATAAAGTTGTAGATTAGATACGCGCTCAAGCTCCTCGGGGCGGATGCACCTCGGAGTCTGAGCTCGCTGAGCTCGCCAGTGACTTCCCGCGATGCGCCCAGCACATGGCACCCGCATGCGCGCACTCTCGCGCCCCCGCACCGACACAACGCGCACTACGCCAAGTATAGGCCATACCCACCGCCCAACAAAAAAGAAAAACGCACGCACCGAAAAACGCTAGCAGCACTTGCAGAGTTTCGCGCCCGGCCCCTGGCCCTGGTCCAGGCCGCGCCTCCCAGACCCGGAGTCGGACCACCCGCAACGTAAGGTTCAGCCCAGCGCCAGCCCCGACGGCGAACTGCAGCTTCGCGCTTCCTCGCGGGAAGAGCCACACCCTCGGTGGGCTGGCAGTGGATAAGTTTTGCACCTCGGGGGTGGACAGGAAACCCGCGCCCCGGGCCCGCGCGCAGAAGGCACCCCGGAGCGCACACGAGGCGTGCCTCGCGGGTCCCGGGACGGGGCGACAGGTTCGGGGGCGCGAGGGACGTGCACGGGCAGGAACCTGCGGCGTCACGGTGTGCCAGGTGCGGGCAACTGGGTGCACATGCGGCAGCGCGGGCCGCAGTGGGCGCAACGCTGCACTGAGCTGCGATCGCACTCGTTTCCGTCGAGGACGCTGGACGGGGCCGTGGCGGAGGGGCTCGGGCGCGCGCTGGCCTAAGCTCTGGCCCTGAGGCGCAGCGGCGCCCACGAACATCGGGGACCGGCGTCCAGGATGGCTCGGCCGTCAGGAAGGGAGATGGGCGTGACGTTACGCACGGGTCGAGGCGCGATGGACAGGGACCCGCGCGATTGCCTGGTAGTCGCTTCGATGCTGTTGGGCGCGCGGGGAAGCACCGTGACGGTGACGGCGACGACGACGGGGCGCGCGCACGCTGATTGTGATATCCCCAGGGTAATGCGGGCCCGGCGGCGGCGAGATGGCGAGTGGAAGGGCGAGGCGTGCAATGCAGCTGGTGCGGCAAGTAGCGGTAGGGCGGCAGCGGGATCGAGAGTTGCGAGGAGCACAGCTTGTGGAGGGTCCGAGCGCAGATGCGGCGGGGCGTGACATGCCTCGCGAGATAATCTGCGCGGCGTAACGTGGATTTTAACCGAATATGACTGCCTCGTGATAGACACATGCTGTCATGGAACCGTGAACGCAATAATGAGATGAACCGCTCGGTATTCGTGACGCACAATTATTGAAAGCCACCGTTATGATTTTTGTTTGTGTGTATTTCTCACTCGATGCGTACCGGAGAAGTTGTGATACAGCAGCACCCGGGGACCGCCGCGGTCGACACTCGAGCGGTGACCCCATCACTCGAGAAACGACGTCAGCGTCCCAGTATGCAAAGTTCACCGTTGCCGCCGGCATAACGGTGGGAACGCCACCAGGCGAGCCGCATCTGGGGAGTGCGCATCTCAATTCTCGGGAACGCGCGCGCATCTAAAGCCTCCGTCGATGTCGCACGCAGCACGCCGTCCGCGCGCGCACAGCGACGGGGGCTTCCGAGGGGCCCGCGGTCCGGGAGGCGATGGCCACGCGTCAGGACATACGCCCGCAGCTCGCGAGCTGTACGGGCGGGGCGGTTATGGGTCGGGGAGCTCGAGTGCTTGAGGCGGTAGCGTCCGCGCGCGCGTGCGCCCCGGTGCGGCGCGATGAAACTCGAGACGCGACAGAAGTGACAAGGGCGGGCGGCAGGACATTGCACGAGCGACCACTTGGCGCGGGCTGTACAGCATCACCGCCCGATAGTCCGTCGGGCCTAGCATCCGCAGACGGAGGACGCCCCGGCAGGATAACTGGTAGTGAGGACCGAAGGATGTGGGTACAGATACGCATATCTGGAACGGTGAACTGGCTGGGAGGACGGAGAGCGGAAGCGGAGCGGCCGATTATTCGCCGGAAGGGCTCGGAGGACGACGGCCTGTGAACTGGGGGGTCGCGGGGAGGGGGAATGGATGTACGGGGGAGAAGAGGTGCCAATGGGAGGGGGCTCTGAGGAATTGAGGGAAACGTCCCGAGCGGTCAGATGTCCTTTGGCATGCGTGGTGGCGAGATAGCGGGGGGTACGTACGGCGAGGACTGGTGGGAGACGGGTGCAGACGGACAGCAGGATGCACGGCGTCGAGGGAGGAGTGTCCAGGCGCGGAAGCCATTGGCCACAGCGCTCTCCTGACCTTGCCCTCGCCGTCTGGAAGAGGGAGAGCGTGCTCGATCCGGCACTGCTCCCTCCTCCGACGATGCGCGTCTAGCCACCCCAGACGCCCGTATATGCCATATATGGGGCGTCACATCCTATCGTCACAGACAGTCACAATGGCTATAACCCCTCCCTGCACCACACCTCTCTGCGAGCACAGAAAGATTTTTCAGTCAGGGAGCGGAGGGGGGCGACACGGACCTCAGGCAGAGAGTGCGCCTGTGTGGACTGGGGGCATGGGTCAGGAGAGGCAGAGGAGAGGAAGTGAGGCGCGAGAGAGACGCCCGTTGAAGCTCCGCCACAGATTTGTGTTTGAGCGTGTATACCGTTATTCAGGGCTTCGCCGAACTCACGTTGCCCCCGACCGCTCTTCCCTCCCACCACCACCGTCCTCCTCGTCCTCCCCACTCCGCCCCTCCCCCCGCCCGACTCCTCCCCTCCGTCGAGCGCATCCGTCCACGAGCAAGCCGCCCGCCCTACCCAGCACCGCCGCCTCGTGCGGTTCCTCGGCCCACCCACCCGTCCCGGGCCCTCGCCCTCCTCTCCGCCCTCAGCGCGTCTTCCGACTCTCCGTCCTCCCGCATCCACGCGCCATCGGCCCCTGCGGCGGATCGCAATCCCACCCTCCCAATGTCCATGTTTCCCAACAACCATCTCGTCGGGCAGCCCGGCATTCCGCAGCCACAACCTCAGGACCACCAGCAGGGCATGCCCGGTATGCCTATAGACCCCACCCGCATGTGGCAGATGCAACAGCAGCAGCAGCAACAGCAGCAGCAGCATCAACAGCAACAACAGCAGATGGCTCAGCAGCTCAGAGCTCAGGCTCAGGCTCAGGCTCAGGGGAACGGGACTCAGCAACAGGTGCGTCGATCGTTTTTCGCATCGCAGTCTTCCCATCTCGCACGCGCCGTTTTCCTTCGGATCCAACACCCTCGTACGACCTTATTCCGTTGTCCTCGCAAAACCCTATGCGTCTCTCGATATCCGCCGGTAGAGTATGCAAGGCCACTCTCCATCGCTTTCTCCACCGCCTTAATCTCTATTCAGGCATTTACTCACGCCCGTCTGATTATGTCATCATGCTGGGCTGTCTCGCCTCCGCTGTACGATTTAACTAATTTCTCTTCCATCCTGCTATAGATGCTGGACTTCCTGCGCCAACGTGGCGTCCCTTCTGCTCAGACTCAGGCCCAGGCTCAGGCCCAGGCAATAGCGCAACATCGCCAGCAACAACAGCAACAGCAACAGCTATCGTTCGGCGGCATGCCTTTCGGCGCTAACAACGCGACGCCATTTCCGCTCGACTCTTCCCACGGCCTCCAGCCTTCGCAGCAACAATTTGGCAACGCGCAAGCCGCTCAGAACATGGCGAACCCGTTGCACATGCAGGCGATGGGGCGCAACACGAACCCGATGTTTCCGAATCAGGGCGGGACCATGCGCCAACTCGATCTCATGCTCGCACAGCAGCAGCAAAACCAGAACGGCGTGCAAAGCGCGCAGGCTATGGCCGCTCTCCGTCAGTTGCAGCAACAGCAAGCTCAACAGCAGCAGCAGCAGCAGCAACAGCAGCAGCACGCGCCTCAACAACAGCATGCTCAGACGATGGCAGGCCCCCAGGGGCTCCCTCCAGGCTTCTTCGGCGGCGCGATGAACGCACCGGCCAATATGCAGCAGGCCATCCGCCAGAACGCGCTGATGCAGCAACAGCAACAGCAGCAACAGCAACAGCAGCAGCAGCAGCAGCAGGCGCAGGCGCATACGGGCCAGGACGGTCAGATGCAACCCCAACCCCAGCAGGGGCGCCTTTCGCTAGAAACCATGCAGACTCAAGTGCTCAACCTGAGGACAAGCGTTCAGCAGGCCGAGAACCGCCTTAGCGCCCTTATAGCGCAGCAGCAAATCACGGTGGGGAACGAACGGCTGGAGGCGGAGATCCACAGAGTTAAGGAAGAGATCAACACTCGCCGTACTGCGCTCGACCGCATCATGCTCCTCGTGAAGCAAGTTGCCGCGGGCCGCGCTAATGCCGGTGCACAAGGGGCCATGCAGAATGGGATGAACATGTACGTTCCAAGGGGTATGTCAAAGGGTTTTCTGACTGACAGTGGCGTTCGCAGGAACTCGATGGCGACGTCTCCCGTCCCTCCTCAACGCGTCGCGAATGGTTCGCAGAACCCAGCTCAGGTCGCGTGGATGCAGCAGCAGGCGTCACCTGCCCATCAGTTCAACAGCCCTCGCCCGGGACCCTCGGGATCGCACCTCATGCCGAACGGAAACGGCCAGCAGCCCAACCTCCAGATGAGCACGCCACAGCTTCCGCCGCAGATGATGGCGTCCCAGCAGAATCCCCACATGCGTACGGTCACCACCCCTCTCCAGGTGATGAACGCTGGCGCCACGCCCTCCGGTTCACAGCAACCTCAGAACGGGATGTCGAGTGCTTTCGCGAACGCGGGCATGGGTGGACAGGGCGGACAGCCCGCTCAGAACCCTCAACAGTCTCAGCAGCAACAGCAGCAACAGGCACAGGCACAGGCGGCAGCAATACAACAGCAGCAGCTCGCGCTACAGCTTCAAGGCTTCGTCCTGCGTCCGATGGCTCAAGAGGCGTTCAAGGCAGTGTACAAGAGCTGGCTCGCGAAAACCCCGAAGGACCAGTCGCTGCTCCTCTACGAGAACCGCCAAGTAGACTTGTATCAGCTGCATTGCGAGGTGATCAAGTCTGGATTCCTCAACGGAGGCATCAATCGGGTAAGCATCGTGCATCACTCTTCGTAACGAGTCTTGTTACTGAGCAAGCGCAGGCGGAGAGCGACCTATGGGCCATCATCGGTGCGAAGCTCGGTTTCGTCAACATTCCTGGCACGGATACGGAGCCCGCTCGTTCCGGGCCTGCGTTCGCCCATCGCCTTCAGGCCATCTACAAGGAGTTCCTGCTCGGGTTCGATCTCCAGTACCGCCAGTCCATGGTCCGCCGGGCTCAAGCGCACCTAGAGCAGCAGCGGAAGGCAGCCTTAGAGAACGGCCTTCAACAACCGCAGAACCGACAGCCCGCTCCCGCCGGTGTCCCTGCTCACAAGCCCGCGAACGAGGTGCCCGAGCCCAAGCTGATGGGCGACCTCGTCAGCTATTCGGTCATCCCCGCCGCCGAGCTCCAGCGTCGCGGCGTCCCGCACAACGTCATCCAGCTCGTCGAGCAGAACCGCGTCAAGCTGCGGGAGATGCACGACTCGCAGCGCAGCTTCCACAACGGTGTCGAGCAGAACTCGCAGAACGGGCAGAATCAGGCCGGCGGCATTCCCCAGCGGAACGTGTCGAACCCGATGATGGAGATGCCGCAGCAGAACGGGATGCCTATGCAGAACGGGATGTCTTCGCTCGGCCAGCCAAACGGTCAGCAGATGCACTCGCAGGGCCCTAACCATGGCATGGCCGTACGCGCGATGCCTCAGATGGCTCCCGCCCAGCAGCAGCAGCAGCCGGGCACGCTTCAGATGCGGCCAGTCCGGCCTTCCGCAGCTCAGCAGCAGCTCGCGTTGGAGATGGTGGCGAGGGTGAAGGACGAGTGCAAGGGTAAGCGAGATGGCACATTTTGATGCACGAAGATGCTAATGGCGTGAACAGGCCAAACCTTCGGCAATCGTAGTATCGTGGTGCCCGACGCTCAGCGTCTGGACTACAACACCTCGTTCGAGCAGCTTTACCGTCTCGTGTCGGAGCTCGACCAGAAGTTGCACCATTACGCATGCGTCATGAAGGAGGATGCGATCAAGAAGCTGGTGGCTATGGTAAGTTCACTACGCACTCGTTTTGGAGACTAGAAGGTTAACATCGCATAGGTCCACGCGGTGCAACAGCAGCGCGACCAGCTCAGCAACGGCTCACAAAGGTACTTCCTCCCGCTGGAGACGATCAAGCAAATGATCCGGCAGGTGCAGTCCGCGGCGGATGCGTTCAAGTCGTACGTCTTGGCTATGACGCCGCTCGGACAGGCCGCGGGACAACAAGGTCAACAAGGTCAACAAGGCCCGCCTGGTCCACCCGGTCCTGGTCCACAGGGCATGCCCCACGCCGTCCCCCAACGGCCACAAATCCCTCAGAACCCTCACCCGCCTGCTGTCGCGCACCCCGCGCCATCGGGCTCCGCCTCCTCCCCCATCGTGGTTTCTGCCGCGACACCGATCCAGAAAAGGCCCACGCCCAAGCCTATCGCCGAAACTCCCTCCGCCCCGACTCCCTCCGCATCCGCCGCTACCCCCGCCGCGAGTGCGCCCACCCCGACGCATGCCGTCAGCTCCCCGCAGACGCCGAAGTCGCCCAGGAACAAGCCTGCGCCGAAGCCGAAGCAGCCACCAAAGCCGCGTAGAGTGTCGAAGGTCCCTCCATCAGCATCCGCCGGTCCTTCCGCTGCGAGTCCGGCCGCGGACGCGAAGCCCCCAGCTACGCCTGCGACACCAGCGAGCGCGCCTACACCAGAGTCGACCTCGAGCTCCAAGCGACAGCGCGAGGATGAGCCTGCGACGCCGTCGACTTCTGCCGCCGCACCACCCGCGGCTAAGAAAATCAAGATGGAGTTCGATGAGCCACCAAACGATGTCCTCGCCAAGCGACAGGCTGAGGCAGACGCAGTGAAGACCGACGAGGAGGCCATCAAGTTCTTCGAGCAGATGTCGAACTGGCTCAACCAGGTGACGAGCGAAGACGACGGGCAGGACAGCCTGAAGACGCACATCGCCGACCACCTAGACGAGATCTTGAAGGCGTACCCAGACATGTCCGACGACAGCGCGCTATCATCGCTAGCAGGCACGAGCTTCCTCGACGGCATCACCATCGGGAGCTCGTCGCCACGACAGTCTGCGGTGACGGTGGACCCCTCAGATTTCTTCGACTTCACATCCTACGGGCTCCCGGAGGAAGACTCGGGGTCGAAGGCGGCGACCCCGGACCTTGTGCAGGCATCGTCGTCAGTCGGTCCTAGTCCAGGATCCGCGTCGGAGACTGAGGCGCACCCTTCAGCCTCTTCCAGCACGGATACGGCGAAGATTGCTGAGCCCAAGAGCGAGTCGAACGAGGACACGATCCCGCAGGAGCTCTGGCGGGCGTTCGACGGCGGCGAGTCGGCATTCTACAACGCATCGGACAACTGGAAGTGGGACCAGCCGATGCCGGCGGTAGAGCAGCCATGGGCGTTCTACCCGTCATCATAGTCCACTTAGACGGAAGGAGAGGAGGGATGGGCAAACGCAAGGCGTCGGACGGACTGGCCGCCCCGGCCTGGTATTATCTCGTAACATATTTCTCTGTGCTTTTAGTCTGCGTCTCGCCGTGGCTTGTCTATCTCCCCGCTCGTCATCACAGTATAAGGATCCGCGGTCTCTCATCTCATCGTGCACCTCTGTCGTCGCATATGTTGTTGTTTCTTGATTACATTAGTCGTGTGCGCTGTGTATTTTTACCCCTCGTCTAGCATGCTATCGATACCTTGCTGCTGCAGATTACCTAGCACGCAATCTTATTCAGGCGCGATAATTGGCTTCCTCGACCACTCCATTTCGTCTGACTGCCTGAGCTAACCGAGTGAACGCGGAGGGAGCGGGAGGGGCGCGGACTAAACGGCCCGTCAACTCCGCAATGGACACTACGTTATGGGCGCTCGAGAGATGGACGCGCTCTCCGCGCTCTGCTCTTCACGCCCATCTCACGCGCCGTATCTCCCTGTGATACCCTACACACCATCATGGCGGCGGTGAATCTCAACATGCTGGCTGAAAATGCCTCCAGGCTGGGTATGCGTTTGCAGGAAACGTTCTCCGAACACACAAGGGACCTCGCGATCGCGCGGGGCTCCGGCTCAGCCTTCCTTGACAACCCGGAGGAGAAAGTGAAGAACATTGGGAAGCAGCTCGATTCTAGTAGTGATAGAGAAAAGCTTGAGGCAATGAAGAGGCTCATCGCGGTACGTCCGCGAGTATATGTGGACCCACGCAGTCCCTGCTCACATCCATGTCTCCCCCGCAGCTCATTTCGAGAGGCCGCAACGTCTCCGAGTTCTTCGCGCAAGTCGTCAAGAACGTCGCTTCGCACAACCTCGAGATCCGAAAGCTCGTGTACATCTACCTCCTCCGCTATGCCGAGCAAGAGCCCGACCTTGCGCTCCTCTCAATCAACACTTTCCAGAAGGACTTGTCCGACCCCAACCCGCTCATCCGCGCCATGGCCCTCCGCGTCCTCTCGGGCATCAAGGTGCCCATGATTGGCAGCATAGTCGTTCTCGCTATTAAGAAGTGCGCCGCGGACATCAGCCCGTACGTGCGCAAGGCAGCCGCGCTCGCCATCCCGAAGATATACCAGTCAGTCTGCCGTGCCCCCACCGTCCTTCGCACGCTCACTCACTCGGCGCAGCTTAGACTCCACACACCAGCCCGAGCTCATCAGGATCATATCTACGCTTTTGAAGGACCAGTCCCCGCTCTCCATCGGCAGCGTGGCCATCGCCTTCGATGCGGTATGTCCGACGCGGCTGGACCTGCTGCACCAACACTACAGGCGGCTATGTAGAACCCTCATCGACATGGACGAATGGGGCCAAGTCGACCTCCTCAACCTGCTCGTCCGGTATACACGCGTCATGCTGTCGCGACCTATACCCTCGAGAGACGCGAACGCAGCGACACCATTCGAGGTCGATAGCGACCTAGCGCTATTGCTGACCTCGGTCGAGCCACTGTTTCAGTCGCAAAACCCGGCTGTAGGTAAATGGGTATCAGTGACTTGACAGAGCCCTCATTCATGACTTACCAGGTTGTACTTGGCGTCGCACGTGCATTCTACTACCTTGGACCGTCGTCTGATCTGCCCAAAATCGTCCCGCCCCTGCTGCGCTTGCTGCACATTTCTCGGGAGATTGAACGCGTAGTCCTTACCAATTTGGTTTTGATTTCCTCATCACTCTCCGTGAGTCGCCTCTATGGTGCGCGTGGTAGCGTGCTCACCGTATACGCCCCATCGCTTTCTAGGAGGTTTTGGCGAAGTCTTACACGCAGTTCCTGGTACGCGCGGACGACCCACGACAAGTCAAGAAGGACAAAGTGCATCTTCTCCGCTCCGTGATCAACGTGGAGAACTATCCATCGCTTCTCCGAGAGTTTATCGTGAGTCATGTCCATGTACAACCTATGATATGCTAAAGAATTTTGCAGTGCTATGCAGACGATGCAGACGACGATTTGGTTGCAGAAGCGACCCAAGCAATTGGCTACATTGCGCGCATAATTCCAGAGGCAACGCAGCAGTGTTTAACGGCCCTAATGGCGTTCATCCAGAGCAAGCATGGTAATCCTCTCCGCTGTATATACTCTGCGCCATCGCTCACGTTAGTACGGCAGATGTGATCGTCGCCAACGCCGTCCTCGTTTTGAAGTCGCTAGTACAAATCCGCATACAGCAGCAACAGAACGTCATCGCCGCCGGCGGGCTACCACCACAGACCTTCTCTCCGCTGGAGATCATCTCCCGTCTCGCCCGCCGAATCGATGACATCCGCCATCCCAAAGCGCGAGCGTGTGTGGTCTGGTTAGTAGGGCAGTATGCGGTCTCCCCGGCTCCTGCAGAAAACGGGACTACATCTGCAGGGCCCGAGGGCATCGCTCCCTGGGCCCCAGATGTTCTACGTAAGATGGCAAAGTCATTCATCCAAGAGGTGAAGCCTTTCTTCCCCATTTTTGTCATCCGTTTTCCGCCCTGACCGCATGCCCCTCGAACAGACCCCCGTCGTAAAGCTGCAAATTGTCACGCTCGCGGCGAAGCTCCTAGTGCTGTGCCCGACCGACCGGACGATCGGGCTTCTGTACCGTTACGTGTGCTCGCTCGCGCAGTACGACCCCAACTACGACGTGCGCGACCGCGCGCGTATGTACCGGGCGCTCCTGTCCAGCGTGACCGCTGGCCTGTACGGCGAAGCCGACTCAGACCGCGAGGACGTTGGCGGCGTGGTCCTCCGCCGTGAGCAGATCAAGGTCGTCTTGTTCGAAGGAAAAGCCAGCCCAGATGAGGACGTCACCAAAGACGGTAAGCTTACTCGCCGCAACGTTCGCTCTACCATGCCGTTCGCTCACACACACTTACAGAGGACGACCATGGCCGATTCGGGTCCCTGGCTGCTCTCACGGGGCGTTGGACGGGCGGCGACGGGTACCTGCCCGACTGGCTGGAAGAAGGCATCGACTCGTCGCTGCGGGATACCGAGGCGGACATGCCGCAGGCCCCGGTGTACGTGTCCCAATCCTCCTCTGCTGCACGCTCGATCGGCCCGTCTAGTCGCGCATCGCCGGTCGTCCTCACGCCCACGGGCGGTGTGTCCCCCGCAGGCTCGATCACGCGGCCGGACGGCGGCAAGGCAGCGTACATGGATCTGGACAAGTTCTACGAAGACGCCGAGGAGGAAGACGAGAGCGAGGAGAGCGACAGCGACGAGGAAGACGGCGAAGAAGGCGAGGAGGACACCGCGAGCGGAAGCGGCGAGGAGGACGCCGGCTCAATCGAAGGCGAAGACCATTCCGAGCCTGGGAGCGATGACCACGACGACGCTGAGGGTGACGGTCTGCTCAATCATGTACAGGGTACAACACAGTAGTTTACAACACTAGTATATACAGCAAAAAGACATTATAGGACAGGCGGCTATACCGCCGGGGATGCTCACACCTGCGCCCCCTCGGGGATCTTGTAGTACAACGGCTGCACACGCATTCAGCGCACAGTCAGGTGAGTCCAACGAAGGTGCGCTCACCGTGCCGAACACATGGTAGAAATGGCCTCTCATCCCGCCGTTTTGCTCGTAGTACTCCATCGGGAACCACTACCGCCGTGTTCAGTCGACAAGACACACGCATCAGGAATGTGGACTTACGTGGTCCACAGGCAATTCCTCCTTCCACGCGCGCATGTAGCGCGCCTCCTGGCTGTCGTCCACGATGCCCGCGCCGTGTCGGGGCACGACGAACTGCCCAATCTGCATCTCCGTGTCCGTGATCGTGCTGCGCGAGACCCGCGCGTACGCCGTGCGGTACAGCCCGCGGTAGAATATATACTCGCACCTGTCCCTCGGTGAGCCTGCACACGCTAAACAAAGACAAGGCAGGGGGTGCACGCACCACCTATCGTAGTCGTCCGCATCGATGTCGTGCACGCGCTCGTCCGCGACCATGATCTCGTACGGCGCCGGGCGCGGCGCGAGCGGCTTCGTGACGACGTACCCGAGGAAGATGACCGGGCGCGGGTCCGCCGCGGCCATGATGCGCGCGAGCTCCGTCGACTGCAGCTCGCGGTCGAGCGGCGTTTCCTCTGCTCAGGACAAGTCAGCGTCCGACGCAGATGCAAAGGCAAGGACATTGGGGGAGGCTTGCCTTGGCCGTTGTGAGACACGATGACGGTCACCTCCGTGCCGAACATGTCGAGCACGGCCTCGATCGCGGGCGCGAGCTCGCCGTCTGGGGACGGGAGGAGGTGGTGCGTCGAGTTCAGGATCGGGAACTTGGACAGCAGGACGGCGCCCCACGTGTGTTGGTTTGGGCCAGGGCCAATGTCGACGTACTGTTGACAAGTCCGGTATGAGCGACCGAGGTTCGAGCCGGAAAGCTAAAGCGACGCCAGAAACATACGTAGCCAAGTTCCTCCGCGATGACGCGCGTGCTGAGCGAGAACGGTCAGTCCGTCTGAGGTACAACGGCACACGCAACAACACTCACAGATCCCTGTTCCCAAACGGAATCCGCTACAATTGCAAGGTCGTCAGCCCATCTCCTCCCCTCATCTCATCTCGCGCAGACACTCACATGCAAGTCCGTCTCCAACAGCCCCACAACATCGAGCTCCATATCCCTACGGTTACCCCTCGTCAGCACCCCGCTCCGCACACACCCCAACCAACGAAGCAGACGCACTTGATCAGATCCCGCATCCGCCGCTGGCTGTCCCGCCCCTCATTGTCGATCCCAAAATGCACCGTCCAGATGCCCGCGCGCACGATCCGCGCCGCCTCGCGGTGCGGGCGCGGCACGACCCCGGGCCAGCTTGCGCGCCAGAGCGACGCGAGGAGCGAGAGCGCGGTCAGCAGCACGAGCGTGTACTGCACCCTGTAGTGCGCCGCGCGGGACAGGCGCGTGGTGGCAGGGCTGGGGCTTGAGGGAGAGGCAGGGCGCCGGGGGAGGCGCCAGTCGAACGCGAGCGCAATGAGTGCGACCTGTGAGATGAGCACACTGGGGCGATCGTAAGCATCGCATCCCCACAGGCGTATCGAGTGCACTCACAGATCCGTGCGCTCCCTGAAGATCTCCCCGCCCGGCACGAACGCATACGCGACCGTGAACGTGCTCACGACATCATACACAACAACGACCAAACACGCAACCCCCATCGTCCTTGCCTCCCTCCCCCTCCCCGCCTCCGCCGCGCGCGCCCACACCGTCGGCACCGCGCCCATCAAGAACGCCGCGAACCCGAGCCCGCCCGCATACCCCGCCCAGTCCCTGCCCTTATACATCACGTACGCGCAGCCCGCCCCCCACACGAGCCACAACGGGTGCCCGCGCGCGCTGTGGGGGAGGAGGGCGGCGAGCCCGAGCCCGAGCGCCTGCGCAACGTGCGTGAGCGAGCCGTGCAGGGCGGGCACGGGCCCGCGGACGGGGTACCCGGTCCAGGACCACGCGATGAGCGTGCTCGCGTCTGCGAGGAGCGCGTGAAGGGAGAAGAGGAGCACGCCGAGCGCCAGGGACGCGGGGAGCCAGTGGTGGGATGGGGCGGACGCGGGAGGTTGAGTTGCAAGCGACTTGGATTTGGCGGCGGGGGGAGGGGGAGGGGGGCGCGAGGCGTACTCGAGGATAGCGAGTAGCGCGAGCGCGATGCCCGTCTTGTTGTACCCGCCCGACCGGCCGTCGACGAATGGCCAGACTGCGCAGTGCGTCGAAGCGATTTAGCCTCTACGCAGGGCGCAGGAAGCGCACGAGCATACCTGGATTATTGGTGTGGTTCGCGTGCTTCGACAGCGACGACACGAGGAAGCCCAAGCCCGCTACTGCCACCGCTCGCGTCAGCACCCACACACGCCCACAAACCTCCTCCACAGTACGCGATCACGCACCTATCGCCTGGTACACCACGTCCTCGCCCTCGCCCCCCAGCCAATCCACCGTCACCCCAACCACCGCGTTCGCGCTCGCAAACGCGACCAACAACAGCCGCCCCAAGGGGCTCGGCACGACGTACGCCGCGAGCCCGACGAGCGTGAGCCCATGCAGGATCGCACGGCCCTCGCGCCCTACCGCCCACTCCCACAGGGGCGCGATCCCGAGTATTATTGGTGCGAGCGTGACGAGCAGCGCGAGCTCGTGCCCGGCGAACCCGAGCTCCCACACGGAGAAGTAGAAGAGCGTGGGCACGAGCGCGGTGTACACGGACCAGAATATGTACGCTTGCGCGGGGGGTCAGCGGGCAAGGAGGGCGGGTGCGCAGGGGCACGACGTACAGAGATACACGTCGCTGGCGAAGGCGATCGCCGGGCGCGCACGCGTGAACATGGACGGGTGCTGCGCGGGGGCGGGGGCGCCCAGCGGCGCATTACCGGCTTGCTTTGCGTCTTTCTCATTTACCGGGGGCAGAGGGGTTGCTGCGACTTCTGCTGTCGATGCGACTCTACGGACTACGTCTCAGTTCGTGGTACTCATGCAAGACGGTGAAGCTGCTGGTACATTTTATCTGCTTCTGACGGTCCGCCAACTAATGTGCCCACAGTGATCTAGGGGTTGTCGCTTCAACGAGGGGTAGACAAATATTGCTAGAGGACTCCTGCTCACCTTCAGGTCGGCTGCCTCGAAGTCAAGCGCCGCCGAGGAGTCGTACAACACATCCAAAAAGATGAGGCTCCATTCAAAGAAGCTGTACCGGGTGTATGCTGCAAGTGCAAGCCAGTCAGCGCATTCATGAAAGTTTCAAAGAAAGCTCGAATGCTACCTCCGGGCACTCGGTGAACCTTGTGCTGTATGAAGAAATATATCATGGGCACTAGAGCTGCAAAGAAGCTGTTGGGGCTGGTTCAATAACATGCCCCAGAGTTCTCATGCATGAGGGGCTCACGTATACGACGCCAAACGCCTGTTCGGTAGGTCAATAGGCGTCTGCCAAATGTACAAACTAAGGAGCTCACCTTCTGCGCCTAGATGCAACATGACCGGCGGGTGTGCAAGCTGTAGAGCCGAACATCCAGGGTATATTGAGTACAATATATCCAATCATCAAGACGTCGTGGGCATCATGGTCGTCCGAAGACGTAATGTACACCCAGCCGCCGCATGAGAGGGTGCGGAGGACACCAACAAGGAACAGGAATCCCGGGAAGCTTGAGCGCGGGTTGCGCTGCAGGTAGTACTGCAGAACGACGAGAGCGAAGCGCGGGCCTGCGAACACGCCCAGTTCGTAAGTTTGGTTCTTAACTACGGAACGGCTACATAGATCTCTTACCGGAGTTGATAGCGATCAATATCTGGAAGATATTTCTCTCGGGGTACCAGTCGCCAATCCTACCGAGTGCTGCGTTGAACATACACTGACAGGAGCCTTGTGGAGTTTAGGAGGCTCACGTAGCAGAAACGGACGGGAACCATTCCTCCGGGTAACCCGCTACGCCATTCTTCACGATCTTCTTGTAATGGAGGGCGCAGCCGATGAGTAGAGCACTGATAAAGGCCGCTAGGGAGATGTAGGTGTGTGTGCGGGCGAGGGTCGACGCGTACAGGGTGAATGGTTGCGGGGGTTTAACGGGTGTGGAGGCCATGGTGGCGGGTGTGGTGGTACAGGATCTGTCGAGAGTGGGCCGACGTGTCTGCCGCAGAGGGCAGCGTCAGACCAGCGTCCCGAGGGTGACGAATGCACGGCGAGTAATGGACAGAGGAGAACGCGCGCCCTTGCGCCGACCCTGTCCGACGCTCAGCGTAGTAAGAGAACAGGACAGAAGGCTTCTCAGCCACTGCCCAGCCAATCTCGATCCTCGATCACCACCGCGTGCGACCATACGTCATCCCCCTTTCTCACGTCCCGACGCCGCCATGACCACGCTACGCGAATCCCACGCAAAAAATGAGAAGCACACAAGACCCTTTGGCAGAGGCAGTGAGAAGTAGTGTTACGGAAACAGTCCCATTGATCATCAATCATGCCTCGCCGTATTCAGCGTGAGTTGGGCCGTCAACACAGAGGCACCACAAACGCGTCTACTCGCGATCGTGAGGTCACTACATTTGACACCATGCAAAATCCATAGTATCACTGGTATACAGTGAGAACGTGAGGCACGTAATGCCACGACAGTATCGAAGACATAGAAGGCAATTAATCCTGGGTATAGGGCGTCAGTCGTATCAGAGCGTGAGGCATGGTGGGACATACGATACCTGGTCATGCACATACTTGGCCTTCTTCTTGATGGGAGAGGTCGGGGACGGCGGGACGTCGCGCGCGCCGACAGCCTGCTGTTTCTCGGACTCCAGAGTGCCATCGAAAGCAGCCGTAGTTCGAATCCCAGTGTGGCTTAACGGAGGCTCAGCTATTCCGACCTGCGCTGCCCGAACAAGCACGTTGGCATGGGTGACCCCGTGCACGAAGTCGTCTCTCTTCTTTGCCGCATTCCGGGTTCGCTGCTCGTCGTCCGTCGACTTGTTGGCCGGGAGCTCGCGCACCATCTCCAATGCCCTCTCCAGAAGCTCGATCACAAACTTGTGGATGTTGTGGTACTCGTAGCCCTCGAACTTGTATGCAAGCAACAGTAGTTCCCACCATTGACGCAACAAGGGCTTGAGCGGCTCGAAGTAGCTGTGGACGTGGACAAGGAGGTGCGTCTCGAACTCCTTGCTGGAGCTTTCGAACAGATCCTTCTTGTTCCACGCGATGATCTCCAGGCCACCATCGAAGAAGCAATGGACCATCCGGCGCAGTTCCAAGATCTGTGTGCGGCTGGGCTCACTAGCAGCGTTGAAGTCTTCGGTGAGTTCCTTCCGCCGATCGCCACCTGGTCCTGAGCGTGTGATGCATATGTAGAGCAAGACCCAGAAGAAGGACTCCATGTCGTGAATTGCATCATGCACGACCGGATAAGATTGCAGAGCGCCTGTCACCTCGGAGTCATGCCGTCCGACTGTGACACCGCCCGAGTTAAGTATCTTGGCGCTAGCATAAGGGGGAGTGCCCTGGAATACACATCAATGAGGACAACGGTGTAACAGGGCAGTCACTCACGGAGCGGGGTTCTCGTTTCGGGGTGGTGTTGGAAGTGGTGTCAGACTCGCGAGGAGGTGTCTAGAGTACCATCAACCTTTGACAACAATGTGATGGACAACAATAACATACCAGCAATGCCGTGTTCCAACCCAAATCCTCTGGAGTGTAAACATCGTCCGCCGGCGGTGTCAGCCCCGAACTCTTGTGATAGCGGAACGCAGCGTGAATGTATTGGACGACGTTCATCATGTAGTACGCCGGTGGCACAGAAGGTTTGGTCCCGATGAGAGTGGGGTGCTCCGGTGGGTTAGAGCGTTCGTACCGGAGCCTGATTAGATGATGAGCGCGCTGGACCACCGCTTCGCTCACTTGGCCCGGCGGCGACTCCCATGCTTGAAGGTACATAGGAAGAAGGGGAGTATCGATTTCTTCGAAACTGATCTTGCGCTCCGCCACGGTTTGAATTCTTTTCGCATGGCCGAAGTCGATGAGGCAGCCTCGAACGCCCTGAGAATGGGGCTGCGGGCCAGTCCCACTATCAGCTGGAGCTATAAGCAGATTCGCGGCGCTGACGTCGCGGTGAAGGACGCCGTGGACGTAGGCGAACCGATGTCCTTTCAGTAGCTCAGCTTGGGCATCATAACACTGACATATAAGACCGACACATACCGCGAACACCGTGCAAAAGGAGCTCAATTAGCTCCCGCAGCGTAGTGAAGAACCTCATAGAACAGCCGAACACCGCTAGGATGACCCGCATACGAGTGCGCTTCCGGGGCGCTGTCGCGTTTGGTCCGACGTTGTATAGCGCGACCATGTCATCAATGATGATGGGTACACTTCTCCCATGAAGTAGCTCCATGTCTTCATCGATGTCGCGATATCTCTTCTGGGAGGCTACAGGCCTTGGGGCTGGAGGCACTGGCGCCGATTTGAGGCCCCTCTGTATGAGACCGTCAGTGCTGTCGGCCTCGCCCGCAATTTTCACAGTCTCGTGGTAATGCATCCGGCCAATGTACTGTGCATCTGGGTCGGGTGTCTCATCGCTGATCTTCTGCAGGTGCTCGTACATAGCACCTTCATCCACCCCGCCCTCAGACTTCCACCACTGCTTCAGCACATAAACCTGCGGAACGTGATGAGTGCACATACACGGCGACGAAGTGCACCACGAGAGACCGTACCGCGCGCGTGTCCGGACTTTGGTGACGTTCATCATATCGAACGACCGCCCACACCACACAGCCGCTGCCAATCACTTGGTCGGTGCGAAGCTCACTCAGCGCCTTCAGCGTCAAGAAGGTGTCCTTCTCTGTGGTGATCACCCATTGCGTTGCACATTCATTCTTCTTGTACACTGCGATGTCGAACCTATCCGGGCCTTGTGACGACAGTCGGTACGTGTGAATGGGGGACCGAGGCTCGCGTGCGAGCCGCATGCTAGGGTCAAAGCCGAGACAATGTGCAGGCAAGATGGCCAACGCGGCCATGACGTGAACGAATTCCCTTGGGTTCTGCCATTCCAAGTCAGACCAAGCGTGCACGACAGAGTTCAAACCGCACCTCGTGTATCTTGATTGGCACGTCCATGCCTAGCACCCCAGACCTATCGAGGCACCAAACAGAGACTTCATCGCAACTGAGGATGAGGCCGAGCGCAAAACGTCGGTCCTGCTGCTTAACCATGGTCAAGCGCAGATAATCAACGAGCTGAGCGACGAGCTTTTCCGCGTTCTGGCGGTGGTCGCGTTTGGCCTCTACTGGGGCCACACACTGTAGCCACCAGAGTGCCTCCTTCTGCTGTGCCTAGTCTAAGTCATGAGCAGGCGCCTCACACATACTCATCACATGCCAGCGAAGCTTACCGGAATAGAAAGATCTTCAAGTTCTTGGATTGTGCTTCTCATCCCACCCAGCGCGAGTGCGCAATCGGGCCGAACGCATTCAACGCCATCGTCGGGGTCGAGAGGTTGCGGAGTGCTAGAGTGGTAGTCCACCCAGACAGCTTCACGGACTTGATCGTCTTCGTCCTTGTGTACGTTCCTCGCCGCATCCGCAATCTTGTTCGCAGCTTCGACGAACGGCGGATAGAGCTGATCTTCTTCGAACGCTTCCCCGCTGGGTGGAAAGCCCCTCCAGCGTCGTTCCTCACCATAGAGCCCCGGCTCGAGTTTCGTGACATTTGTGTAGATTTTGTCGAGGACTGAGTGATGGATGGGCAGGATTTTGTCGAGGAAGTCCTTCGTGGGTACGATACGTATGTCGTCGATGTTTACCATGGCGTGTTCCTTGGGATAATGTCAAGCGGCCCAGCAGCCTCGTCCGAGCGCGTTCCCCGTCTTTCCAACCACCGCTTCGCCAATCTCGATCTCAATCACGACCACGTGCGACCAGGTCTTCATCCATATTTCTCACCCGTCTGGCCATCCGGCCGTGGTACCTCTGTGCTCGCACACATCTGCCAACGAAACAATATGACACCCCGGCGCACGGCTCATGAAGCGCGCAGGCGCTGTCAAACTCGAGGTAGCACACCTTAACGAGACGTGGAACTTGGGCTATAATGACACGGTCTACCTATATACAATACTATACACTGCACACCCTGCAGGGACATACTGATATAGATATCTGCGAAACAAGACAACAAATCGAGAGCAAGACAGACAAATCGACGACTAGATCCCCACGCGCATGTCCAACATACCCACTGCTCCGACTGCACGTACACGTCCTCACCGCCGCTTCCTCGAGCCACTCTCGCCCGTCCCGCTCCTCGACCGCTCAGCGCGCGTCGCCAGCCATTCCGCCGCCGACGCGCCCTGCACATACCCCTCGCCCATGAACACAGGCGCACCCGCCCCGCCGCCCCTCGCCAAGAACCCCCGCTTGCTGCTCCGCGTGCCCATCGCGACGAGCTCCCCGCTGTCCACGTCCGGCTCGGACTCGTCCTGAGCCCCCGCCGCATCCGCATCCTCCTCATCCGACGGCTGCCACAGCGTGTCCCCAGCCCGGCGCAGCTCGTCGTCCAGCGTGAGCCGCCTCCGCGCGTGGTTCGTCATCCGCCCCTCCGACGGTGCGTCGCCGCCCACTGCGCGCGGCTGGCTCCGTGCAGGCGGTGACGGGCTTGACTCTAGATCTCTGCGTACACGCGACGGACCTGCGCGGGGCGCGTCATCGCGAGCGGCATAGCTCCGGGCACGACTTTCGGGCCGCGACGGCGGGCCAGCAAGGGGATCGTCGCTCTCGGACCCCTCGTCGACCACAGGCACCCTTCTCGGCAGCGCCAGCGGGATCTTCGACTTCGCAGCGCGCGCAGGCGGCTTAGGCTTGTCCGGCGACTTCGCCGAGGCGGGCAGTGGCGACGCGGGTGGGCGCCGCGCGAATAGATCCCTCTTATTCGCAGCTGAGGGCTGCGGTCTCGCGGGCGTCTCCAGCGCATCGACGTCGATGATTTCGTGTTCCGGCTCTAGTTTAGGCACGCGTTCGGGCGGGGCGGCGGATTTCTCCTCGGTACGGTTCCGTCCCGAGTCAGAGGGTGTGTCCGGAAGCTTGTCGTCATGCGACGACTGCTCATTCTCGTTGTCCGAACATAGTGACGGCGTCGTGAGGTCCGTTTCCGCGGTGGAGGCTGTCGGCCATATCCGTAGCGGTGCGTTCGTCTTGGGTCGCGGTGGCTGTGTCCGGGGCGGAGCAGCCTCGAAGAAGTTCGTGCGCGAGCTCGAAGTCCGACCACTTGACGAGGAAAAGGACGAGTTCGCGCTGGAGGCGGAAGACTGCGAGCTCGAGGGAAGCGACTGCGAGCTCGGAGCTGACGGCCTCGTTTCTGCCAGCCGGTTCGTCTCTCGCCGTTTGGAAGGGCCCGCTGCAAGGACGACGATGAGAACTGCATGCAGAAAATTCTAGCACACAAACTCACCACTGCTTTCTTCAACTACGCTTCTTTTCCTCTTCGCGCCGGTCTCTAGGCTAGCAGCCACGCCTAGATCGAATGATCTCTCTCCCAGCGTAGCCGCCATCCTCGCCCTGCTCATCCTAGTCGAAATCGTACTGCGGTCTAGCTCGCTCACTCCCGCTCCTGCGGCTCTCGCCGTGCTCGCAGGAGGACCCATAGACGTATTGCCGGTTAGTCCTCCCACCCGCCGTAATCGCACGGTCTTCATTTCCCGCAGGAACGCCGCCATCTTGTCTGACGGCACGTTGACTGTCGGCTGCCCCGTCTTCTTCGTGCGTGCGCCATATGCCACACTGTTAATCGGGGCTTCAACGGGAGGCTCAGTCCGCTTCAGACCTGCACGTGCAGATGCAAGGAAGTTCCCGCTCTCCCCAGACAGTGTTGAAGGTGCCTGTGAGCGGAACAGAGGAGGCGGAGGCGGTGGTGGCGGGGGAGGAGGCATCATGCTGTTGCTGTTCTTCAATGCGAGCTAAGAGGTATTCCTGTTAGCAATTATGCTGAGGCACTCCAACAGAAGACATACTTCTGCTCGGAGCCGCGCGACTTCCTCTTCCAGCATCCGGATGCGCTGCTTGTCGTGATCACGCTCGCCGTCACCACGATCGCGGCTATGCCGTTCATGCTCTTCTCTAGCCTCCTGTAATTCCCGCTCCTTGCCCCGGACTCGTACCTCTCCGGAGGTGTCCCATGCGCGTTCCTTGCCCTTCGACGACCGCGGTCGATGCACGGGTTCCACCGGCTCATCAAGGGACCTCCTCGAGCTGCTCGCATCTCTGCCGGAGGCATTGCTATGGCGGGAAGACTCGCGCACGGGAGAAGGCGCTGCAACCTCGGCACTTCGATCTCTCGTCTGGTCGGTACGCGTTTTCAGCGTCCGTCCTCGTCGAGATGATTCCTCGTGTTCACTCTGTGCGGTCTCCGGTTCGGCCTCCTCCACGATCGGCTCAATGGGCGGAGGGGGCGGGGTTGGTGTGCGTAGGCGCGGGACAGCGCGCTGATGTTTCCGAGGTACTGTTTCGGGCATAAGAGAGGCGGAACGGGGAAATAGGGATCCAGGCATGGTCGGAGCAGGCGTCATCAGGAGCGCAGCGGGGGAAGGAGGGGATCGCATCGGGGTAGGCGGAGGGGGCATAAGCTCGCTCCGATCTGCATATGTATTGGTTTCACGGCAAATATATGAGCGGAGGGACGGACGCACCAGGAGATTTATCTGCAGTCCTCGCCGATTTCTTCTTGGGTGGGGGCGCATCCGGCTCTTCCACGACATTAGCCACATCTGCAATACGCCCTGGGTCCTCGGCCGTCTCGCGCCTCTTCTTCGCAGATTTCTTCGGGGGTGGGGGTAACGCAGGCTCATCTATAGCAAGCCACCACGCGAATCACCGTCAATCATCATGCACCCTCGAAGCGCGGATCCGAGACACAACTCACCGTCCTCATCATCAGCAGCCGCCCGCTCGGAGGACCTCGACCTCGGCGCAGGCTGCACCTTCTTCTTCAACGCCCTCAACGCGCGATCCCGCTCATCATCACTACCGTCCTCGTCCTCCTTCCGAACGCGCCTCCTCGCCCGCGCCCGCTCGCTCTCGACCTCGCTCCTCTTCCTGACGCGCTTCCCCCTCCTCTCCTTCTCCCTCTCCCCCTTCGCCTCGTCGCGCGTCCGCCGCTTCCCATCAAGTGTAACGCGCGAAGAAGACGCCTCCGGCTGATCCTCCTGGTGTGGCTGCTACAATGCGACCCAACCAGTCAGATCTCCTAACCCTACTCAGCGCGCGACTACTTGAACCAACTCACCCTTGATTCGACCTCCCCTCCAGCGGCAGCAGTCACAAAAGATCCAAGTTCGCGCGTAACAAAACTGAAAGCGGAGGCGAGCAGGCCGGGGGCGGGTGGGGGGTCGCGCGGCCGCGGGGCCATAGTACTAGACTAGACTGTGTAGCAGATGGGTGAAACAGAACAAGGTTGGCTATACACAATAGTAAATAACGCGACGCGAACGCGCGATATTAATTTCCCACGGTCAGCACTTTTAGGCGCTCGTACTAACAGTACCACTTCGACGCTCGCGCAGTTCTGGCAGACACGCACGCCTCAGTCCAAAGCACCACAAGCTGAGGAGAGAAAAAATTCGTGTAGATGGGAGCTGTAGTCATACATGAGAAACGGATTAGATGCAGATGGGGAAATCGTGGCCATGATAAGTTAGCGTAAACCGTAGCCATGTCACCAAGCAACTATAGTAGCAGAGTCTTCTGTGTGACAGCGTCCGCGCCCTCCGATGCACTACAATAAGTGTTTCCAAGTGTCCAAGGGACCCGCATGGGACCATTCACCGGTAACCACCGTACGACGAGTAGCCCGGTGGGGGAGGTCCGCCCGAGGGAGGCGTCGCCGCACCGCTACCGGGAGCGGACTGGCCAGTCGCGATGGATGCCCGGACTGCAGCATATGGGTCCGCGTACTGCATCGTTCGGCTGACGCGGGGCGTATCATCGACAACTTGAGGAGGAGCAGAGAAGCCGCCAGCGAATCCGGACGGTGCAGGGTCGGAGAACGCGCCGTAGGCATCGATGCTCGGACGTGGTGCAGCCTGGCTGCTCGCGAAGGGGGTGGAGGCGGGCGCCTGGTACGATGGGGATGTGGAGACACCGGATAGCCGGTTAGAGTCGCTGAAGGGCGAGTATGGCTTGTTGGAGTTGTCAGAGAAAGGCTTCTGCTGAGCACCCTCGTCCGTGTAATCGTCGTCGTCGTCGTTCGCGCGGCTGTAGTCCGAGCCCTCCGAAGCCTCCATAGGGTGCGTGAAAGGGGGGTCGCGGGCGCGCGAAGACTTGCCATTGCGCCAGTCCAGCACTGCGAGCGTCAGGGTGCAGCACCAGAACACTGGTAGAGGGGAGGGGGTAAGCGACGCATGATGCTACAGCATAGAAGACGTCACGTACCAAAGGTGAGCCAGAAGAAGATAGCTCCAGCTTTCTTGGTGCTGCAGAACCCACTGAGCCCTTTCTTGAAGTCATCGCCGAGGGAGGCGTGAGGGTCATTGTCTGCGTTCTTGCAGCCCGCCTCCGTCCACGCCGAGATAGTCACAATGAAGCTGCACATGTGTGTTAACAACCAATGCGCTATAGGAAGTCGGGCGGCACTCACGATATGAGGAGACTGACGGCAGTTCCAGCGCCCGAGAGGATGAACCCAACACGAACTTCCTTGAGAGCGCGAGCGAGACGGGCGCCCTTGTCGTACTTCTCGTAGATGACGGGAACAAGGAGTAGGAAGAGCGAGAACAGAATGCCGGTGACCGACACGAAGACTGCAAATCCGCTGAGGCCGGCTGGAAAGCGCTCAGGCAAGGGGCGCGGTATATGATGGCTGCGCACTTACAAGGTCCTACTTTCCATTTCGCTTGGAATGCAGAAATGGACGCCATACAACACATCGCGAGGAAGTTGAAGAACGCTTGTGAGACATAGAATACTATTGCTGGTTTTGAGACAATCATCTAAGGGACGCAGGAAGACGCGTCAGTTGTGGCGGTCAACGATCGGCAGGGACCAGGGGGGATGCACCCATATCCATAGTGTCGAAAGAACAGGAATGAAGAGCAGAAAGACCAGGTATCCTCCAGTGTCGGCGAAGGTGGTCATATACGCGGTGGGGGGGAGGTTGAAGGAACATGAACATTACGTAACGCGCGACGCGTGCAAAGACGGGTACGCCGTGCCGCAGTAGTTGAGCGCTGAGCGCGCGGCGGAAACCGCTGGGCAGCGTCCGGAGTATCGCGCACCGCTTCACGCCGTTCGTGTCCGGACGCGACGTGGCGCAAAGGGGCAGAAAGGGCGAATTGGGGAAAATGAACAGGACTCACGTCGTCTTCGAAAGGCACTACTCCGGCACTCCCGATTCCTCCGGTGGTGGAGGCGGGCATGGGAAGAGATTGCTTCCTCTCGGGAAGCACCTTCATAGCAGCATTCTGTAATGTGTCGAGGAAAGGCATGTCGTTCTTCGGCTTGACGGTGTCGTCTGAGGCGTTGAGGGTTGGCGATAAGAGGCCGAGATTGGGAGGGAAGGGGAGGTCGTCAAGTGGAGCTACCGTCCGAGCAGCGTGAGGGTCGTCAAAGTGGGAGGGGTCGTGATTGTTTACAGCTTATGTAGAGATGCCAATGCCAAGCGATGCAAGTCGCAGCTGAGGATATCGGGGAGGGTCTGCGGATGGGCAATGCAGGGAGAGGACAGCCTCGGTAGAGACACTGCGCGCTGTGCCCTTTCCAGTTGACTTTCCCTGCTTTCGTAAGCGTGATCGCCGCCCAATTCGGTAGCACCCCCGGCATCCAATGGTCATCTCGGCCTCGTCTTTACAATCCTGTACCGAGCATATCACCCTCAGCTCTGCCCCTGGACCACTGGTATCACCAAAATACGCCGTACACGCCGTTGTCTGAATGAACCACCACTTTTTCTGACCCAGAACTCGAGTCTTGCGGCTTCCTTGGCTTTAACGCCGCGGGCGTCTACCTCTTGGCGCTGACGTCAATTGCAAGCGACCTCGCCCGCCCGGATTTCTGAGCATCGAGCCTCAGCGAGATAAGTGTAGAGTTGTAGAAAAATCGCCGTATATCAGAGCTCTCCTTGTCAGCCTGCAAGAAGAGAAACATCCGGGCACGGCTTACCCGGGCAAGCGTGTGCGCTTGTTGTTCAAGACCTTTGGAATTCAACAAGTCAAAACATCCGCTTCCGGCCAAAATCCCGCCTAATTCCGCTTGGGGCTACGAGCGTCTCACTTGGCTCAGTCCTCATCAGCTTGCTCCCATTTCCACAGAGGGTCGGGCAATCCCAGAGGTGTGGAAATACTCAAGTTCTGGTCACGATATCGGGCTAATGATACAAACGTCCCACAGTTGCGCGGCAGTTGACGACTCTTGCTCGCTTGCAGCTCATGAGCTGAACTTTGGGTCCCCCAAAATTCGTCATGTCGCTGCTCTATAAAAATCTGCGGATACACCAGGTCTTCGGTGCAAACACAGATGTCGGGAAAACCGTCCTCACCTCGGCCCTCGTCCGCGCGTCGGCCGCCGCCGGGCACTCTGTGTACTACCTGAAGCCCGTTAGCACCGGACCTATGTCCGATGCAGACGACGAGTCAGTGCGCGCCATTTTGTTCCATCCCCGGCGTAGGGCTCACGCACCGCAGGCGGATCCTTTCTCTAGTCGGGAAGCACAAAGCACAAGTACAGAGCAAATGCTTGTTCCGCTTTGACGACCCCGTCAGTCCCCACTTAGCAGCTCGCCGTGCAAACGAAACTAGCGTCATCGAGGTATACATATTTTAGAATCCTCGATATCTTTTTTTGCTCACGTACGACTCTATAAGAGGACAGTACCCACTGACGACGCGTTCGTGAACGCGGTAGCGAGCCATATTCGTGACTGTGGGGTACAAGCGGGTGTTCCAAGCCACATGTATGTAGAAACAGCCGGAGGTATGTGTGCAGTTCGTGAGGCTACGTCCAATTTGATCAACTTTTATAGGTGTCCACAGCCCTACCCTGTCGGGAACGACACAGCTTGACGCTTACCGACCTCTATTCCTTCCTACTGTGCTCATTGGGGACTCTCGGCTCGGCGGCATCTCTTCGACTATCGCTTCTTACGAGGCCATGTTAATCCGCGGGTACATCGTAGACGCCGTGCTGCTCTTCCGCGATGAGTACTACCGTAACTGGGAGTACTTAGCACCTTACTTTGCTGAGCGTGGAATCCCGGTCACATCGATCCAACCGCCGCCAGAACGCAAACCTGACCCCGCCGCGGACGCTTCTCTGACCGAGCAGTATTATCAAGGCATTGTACCGGAAACAGGTGATAGCACGATCTTCGACGTAGTCAAGCATCTCGACACCTGCCACACGCGCCGACTGGAAGAGCTCGACTCCATGCCCCGCCGCACACTCGACTCCATATGGTGGCCCTTCGTACAACACGGGCACGTAAAAACCGAAGCGGACGTGAACGTCATCGACAGCGCATGGGGCGACTTCTTCAGCGTCTACAACGGCAAACGTCCAACGGCCTCGTCCAAAACTTCCATCCTGGAGCCCCAGCTCGACGGCTCCGCGTCCTGGTGGACACAAGCCATCGGCCACGCGCACCCGTCGCTCGCCCTCGCCGCCGCCCGCGCTGCCGGGCGGTACGGGCACGTCATGTTCCCCGAGGCGACGCACCTGCCCGCGCTCGAGCTCGCCGAGCGGCTCATCCAAACGGGGCCTGGCCGCGGGTGGGCGGCGCGCGCGTTCTTCTCCGACGACGGCTCGACGGGGATGGAGGTTGCGATCAAGATGGCGTTGCGCGCGTACGCGACGCGCGCGGCTGGGGAGCTCGGCGGCGCCCGCCGCAAGGACCTGGGTATCCTCGGGCTCAAGGGCAGCTACCACGGCGATACGATCGGCGCAATGGACGCGTGCGAGGAGGGCGTGTACACGTGCGAGTGGCACGATGCGAAGGGATACTGGTTCGACCCGCCCACCGTCTCCATCCGCGATGGCAAGACGGTGGTGAGCCTCCCGCCGGCCATCGCAGCGGAGACTGGAGACGGCAAGTCCGACGTCGAGACGGTGTCGCTCTCGTGGACGTACAACATCGACGAGCGGCTTCAGTCTCCCCTCGCTGAGGTTTACCGGAGCTACATCGAACGCACCCTGCAGAAGCTGAAGGACGGAAAGGGACCTCGGATCGCCGCACTCGTGCTCGAGCCGCTAGTCATGGGCGCCGGCGGGATGCTCTTCGTCGATCCGCTCTTCCAGCGCGTCCTCATCGACGTCATCCGCGGCCCCCGCAGCAGCACCTCCCCGCCCTCCGAGTGGTCCGGGCTCCCCGTCATCTTCGACGAGGTCTTCATCGGGCTCTACCGCCTCGGCCTGCAGTCCTCGACCGCGCTGCTCGGCACGACGCCCGACATCTCCGTGAACGCGAAGATCCTCACGGGCGGGCTCGTCCCGCTCGCGGTCACGCTCGCGTCCGACTCCGTCTACCGCGCGTTCCTCAGCGACAGCAAGGTCGACGCGCTCCTGCACGGGCACAGCTACACCGCGTACCCCGTCGGCTGCGAGGTCGCGAACGAGACGCTCGACATCGTCGAGAAGCTCGCCGCGAGCCCCGCGTGGACGGCCGCGCGCGAGAAGTGGAAGGTGCCCGAGCCGGAGAAGGCCAATGAGAAGGCGGTGTGGAGCTTCTGGGACCCCGAGTTCGTGCACGTCGTGTCGAAGATGGACCGCGTCGCCGAGGTCATGGCGTTTGGGACTGTCCTCAGCATCAAGATCAGGGATGATTCTGCAGGTATGTGTAGTGGAATTCCCTGAGTCTTTTCCCTGGCGCTGATGTTGGCGCGTTTGCAGGGTACGAATCGCACTCGGCGCGGGCCCTACTGGAGTCAATCAAAACTGCCACCGAAAGCGATGCCCTCTCGCCAGCACCCGGAGGCTCGCCGTTCGGCATTCACTACCGCACCCTCGGGAACGTCGCCTACTTCATGCTCAGCCTCAACACCTCTCCGAGCGTCGTCCGGGACATAGAAGAGAGGGTGTGGACGGTCCTCCAAAACCCCACGTAGATGCACCAGTCTCTTCGTCTCCGTGGTTTGATATAGCAGCCAGCAATAACACATCTAGAAAACAAATATACAGAACCCGTCTAACTCCTCCAATACTGCGCCCAGTCGTGCATCCTATCCAACACCGCCGTGAACGGCGAGATGTCATTCAACAGACGCTCAAAGTGCTCGATCGCCTGCTCCTCCGTCATTTCGAGGCAAAACTTGCCGAGCACCTGCTCGTGCACGTCGCGCTGCTTGATGTGCGGGATGTTCGCGTCGACCATGAGCGTGACCAAGTTCAGGATCAGGTTCGCGCTCTTGCGCAGGATCGAGAACGCCGTGAAGCAGAAGCTCTTGAAGCGCGTGTAGTGCACGGACTGCACGCCCCCCATTGCGTCGACCATCTCCTTGCAGATCTTGACGGGCGGCGCGAGCGGTTTGGGGTCGCGGCCGAGGATGTACCCGAAGTCGACTGTAAAACAGTTCAGCTGGACTAAATCTCTGTGTAGACAGAATCAGACGTACCGTGGAAGAAGTGACCATCAGGGGCAAGGAGCAGGTTGTCCAGATGCCGATCCCCAACACCGAGAAGGTATGTCATGACACAATATCCAGCTACACGACATCAGCAAACGACAGTATCGGGAAGTCCGTCCTGACAACTCACCGCAACTTCTGACGAACGTATCAATGACCCCGGGCTCGACACCATACGTCCCCACACTACCCTCGTCCGGATAGTTGGCCCGAAGGTAATTGAGCAGCGTCCCGTGCTCGCTCACGATCGCCGCAATCGTCTTGCTCGGGATGAACTGCGCCATCCCCTGGCTCGGGCCCGTCGCCAGCACATCGTACGGGCTCAGCTTCAGGTCCAGGTTCTCCTTCCTGAGCAGCCGGTCCATCAGCGTGAACAGCTGGATCACGAGCTGGTCCTGGCGCATGTCGTCGCCGTCCTTGAAGATCACCGGGTACTCGCTCCCGCCCGCGCACTGGAAGTAGAGCAGCATCGGGTACATGTTGCTCTTGAACATGCTCGACTTCTCCGCGATGATCCCCGTGACCTGCACGCGCGCGTTGAGCGGCAGCGGCAGCGGCGCCATCGAGGACAGGTTGCTCTTCGAGTCCCCGAGGAACGCGCGCAGCTTCTCGATCTTCTTCGGACGCGGGTCCTTCGACGTGCGGAGCTCGCGCGCGCGCTTCGAGAGGGTATCGATAAGCTCTCCCTGTCTTCGCATGAGGTCGCGTCTCTCGTCGCCGTTGTCCTACAAGATGAAGAAATCAGCTTCCGTACTATACAGCGGTGGGAACACTGCTTACCCCCAGGATCTTCATAAACTTGAACACAACTCTGCCGTACATCTTGGCCATCATCTTGTCCTCCATAGCTACCTCGACCATAAGGTACCAGTGGAAACGGTTCCCCAATATAGGGTTGCGCATCGCCCGTGAAATCAAGAAGTCCGCAAGACCGCTATCATCATACGATACCGCGCTCGTGGTCGACCGCGAAGAACGCTGGTCGCTCGCAGTGCTCTCGAACTTGAGCGCCTGGACAAGCTGCAACAGATAGAGGAGTAGCTCCTGTAGCATCCAGTTAGATCACCGCCGAGTAGCATAGATTGGTTGCTTACATCGTCGTCGGCCCTGTTCAGCTGCTTGACGGCATATGCCCTGACGCGGGAATCGACAGTATTGGGTCCGAGGAGCTCGAGAGCATCATCGATGTCGATCTCTGTCCATTGAGGCAATAGCTCCTCCACTGCCTGTTTGACCTCCGACGGGTCCCTCCACGTTACCGACTTCAGGAACTTGGTCAGTCCACGCTTGTCCCGGGTCAAGTAGAAGCGGAATTTCCAGATGAGGTCCTTCTCTTCGGACGTGAGCGGCTGACTGGGTGCGTAATTCAAGATATTCTGATGAGTAGTGAGAGGCATCAGCGTCTGGGAACAAGCGATGTAAATGTTACGCCTACCGAGAGTTCATCTCGTATCTTGGCGTTTGGCTTCAATTCGCGGTCGTACGGGCTGCTTCGGTGACTGCGGACCAGACGGCGATGCTTGTCCTCCACCGGATTCTCTCGTGCAATGTCAGGATCAACAATTTGCCACAAGTGAACGTCTGAAGTGAAGGATGACGTCAGGGGTGCAGGCGTTGCCGCAGTCGACGACGCTGTCGATGTGGACGGAACGCTGGATGCATCCTGAGGCGAGCCGTGAGCTTCATTCACAGCCAGATGCGATGGCGGACTCACTGGCTCGCTGAAGATGACGGGGAAGTCGAAACGTGGGAGGTCGATGTACAGATACAGATTCTCGCTCTTCTCGGTCTCGGCCTGGTTTTGCGGATTGAGATTTGGGGTCTTGCCCAAGCATACCGAACGCACTCACAGCGTGTATTTCCTCCATCTTCCTGAACGCCATCGAGTCCAGCCACTCAGACTTTGGCAAGTCCCCTCGCTCGTATTTCTTCACCAGCTGTTGAGAATGTTAGAGTGCTGAACGCCAGATATATTTCGTGAACACACCTTCTCCAGCCGACCCATCTCATCCCGCGTGCCAATCTTGCTGGGAGTAGTTGGCTCATTCGCCCCATCCGCCTCTCGGTCAGGCCATAACACCATGCGGTGCTTTCCCCGCCGAAGAGTCCTGTATGGCCATCAGCATACCTCTCAGTAAGCGTATGGAATGCGATTGACTGACCATTTCTTTCCAAACAATCGAAATGTGGTGCCTCCCACCGGGATAGCCGACCTCGGGCCTGAGATGTCCCACACAGTGAAAGTGATTTGAGAGTTCAACGGAAGGTCGCAATAACGTATAGGCAGTGTGATCCATTCATTCCACCTTGCAATCCGTACGTCAATCCTCACCCCCACGAGCGCTGTAGCCACACCACTCACGTATAGTCCTTCTTGAATGCCTTGAAAGACGTACGAAAGGGTATCGTCAGCGGCTTGTTGTCCGCGACGAGCTGGCAGGTCACATAGAGATCCGAGAAGTTCCTTCGCTGAGGTCATTCAGAGAACCGGTGGGCGAGCGGAATGGGACATGCTCACGGAGACTGCTGCACCCCGTGAAAGCGTAACTCCGGCTTCTCTAGGACTTCGGTGAAAGGGTGTGGCTTGCGCGTTCCCTCAAGCTGAGATCTGGTGGGTATGTTCAGTGAGCTCACGAGGCCAGGGGCGAGAGGGTCGGGCGTGTTCCATACATCCGAAAGGTGACCGGCATCTTGAGGTCGCTGAGCTTGGCGAACGTGAAGTCATCGCGGTTGTCCTTGTCCATGGCTGGCGCTGCACAGCCGTCCACAGGCTGATAGAGACGTGAGGTGGTCTTCCACAAGGTTGGAGAGCAGCGCAGTCGGGCGCGTTCGAGCTCAGTACGCGGTAGCGGAGAGGTGCAGAAAGCCAAATGCGATCAATTCGGAGACGGAGGGCACGCGTCCCGCCACCGGCGTCTCTTCTCCCTCAGTCGTCTCATGCGATCGTCATGTCGGACGTACAGAATACCTACTCTTGACCTCCAACCTCCTTAAACCTGCCCGGATTGCCACGAAAGCCCTCCGAGAAGATGAGCGCGACACATGAGATCCCTAGCGAGGCGTTGGAGACCTTGTCACCCCGGAACAGGGGATGCATCGAGCGGCTGAGGGCACACCAGCCAGAGGAGGTCGATCTGTTCGTCCATCTCTACCATCTTCCTGTTACCCCAAGTCCTGAGGCTGTCGCAAGCTCCAACTATCCTTCCACGAAATTGGCAGCAGTCCTCGTCTTACTATACGAGAAAGCCGGCGAACTGCGCGTACTCCTGACCACCCGCTCGAAGTCCTTGCGTGCCCATCCAGGACAGGTCGCTCTCCCGGGAGGCAAAGTCGACGCAACGGATAGTGACGTCTTCGAGACCGCTGTGAGCACAACGCCGTGCGTATGAACCGGTTGACACCAGAGCTCACCATCTCTGCAGTACCGCGAAGCGCACGAAGAAGTCGGGCTCCCGCTTCACTATCGTCACGCGCATACTATATGCACCCTCCGGCCCTACATCTCGTCTAGCAAGCTGCTCGTTACGCCCGTGGTAGCCCTTCTCACCGAACCCTCAATTGTCGAGACCTTTGTGCCTTCCCCAGGAGAAGTGGACCGCATATTCAACCATCCCCTCGAAGCAATACTGGACCTTAGCATTGCAGCCAAAGAGGAAGTGTCACCTAAAGGAAGCACGGACTGGCCATATGAAGACGAGCTATATGTGCGTTGTGTGTCGCTATATGTTCGCAACACCGTCTCACCACATACACAGAATTTCTCGGACATAGAGTTGCCATGGCTGGGCGACAGCACCTACCGCATGCATAGATTCCGTTCAACGGCTTTCGCGATCAAAGGCCTCACCGCTGACATACTCGTGCGTACTGCAACTCTGTCTGTTGCATCCTTCATCGCTGATTCATGACCGGTCAGATTGCGACAGCCATTATCGCGTACGACAAGCAACCATCGTACGACCGTTGGGCCCCCCGGCAGCTCCGCACATTCACGCCCATCCTACGCATACTCGAAACCCAAATTGAAGTGCAGCACGCTGTCTCGGGAACATCGACCCCCACACCGAAGGTGGAGGTGGGAGTGCCGTCAGGACTGGAGAACGCGGTGGTCAGCGCAGACAAGTGACTAGTGTTTTCACAATGCGGTTGCTATATTTATGACTATAATTTGTACGACTTGAACGTCACTGAGTTGTCTCACGGCTCGCTAGCCTCACATGTACAAATCCTCAGGAAACGCCTTCTGCTTTTCCTGCAACTTTGCCATCCTTCCTCGTCATGCGCGGTCACATGATCGCGTGTCTGCATATCTCTCTGGATCGTTTCGCATTTCAGAGTCATACCAGCATCCCTAACGGCTCCTTTGTGCGGTGACAACCCGTGTGAGTTCCTCAGTTGATGCGTAAGCTTAAGTCGAGGTCGAAGTCATATATTTTCAGTTCAAGCGCGGTGCAGTCAGCTCCCTTCACCCCGATGTCAATGTCATCCATACCTACACATAAACGATGCTGCCCCACTCGACCATTCTATCCTTACTGGACTCGTAGATCGCGGACTCGCGCTCCCGGTTGATCTACCTCCACCGGTGCTTTTGGAGAACGCCTGTCCGCAGAGTGTCGACAGCTTCCATCTCGCACAATGGGCGGTACTCGCTCACATCCTGAAGTACGTTGGTGGTACTAGTAAAATTACAATACTGCCGCTGAGATAGTGTGTGTGGTACGCTGTATCCGCTGCTCAATCGCTCTACCCATCAACATCTCACAGAGCAGGGTGCCAGATACTGCGGCCGTTCACGCTCGCTGTCGCAGCAGTATCCTGGGTGACGGGGTCTGGGGCATACCGCTCGCTGAGGACGGCAAGCTTCGACCGGTACTCGTCCATGCCAATGTATGCGCCACACATGCGGCGCTTCCCGTTAAATGCGGATCGCCCATGCAGCACACGATGGTTGTCTACGACTGTGAGGGGCGTTAGTGGTCAGCGTCAGCGTGAAGTCAAAGGGACGGGCGGACATACCGACTGCCGTCCCGGGCGACAGCTGGACCCAGTACTCCGAGTCCAGGCTGGAGAGGAGCTTGTACCAGGTGCGGATAGCATCGTACCTGTGCCCATATCAGCCCAATACCGGATACATGCGCCTACGCCTCGCGCTTACCACGGCTCGACTTGATCGGGCTTGAGGTTGCGCAGCACGCTGCGGTCGTCGTTGTTCCACCGCACCTGCACAAGCGCATCGTCTTCATGCTTTAGCACTGGGGTATCGCGTATGCTTGGAGTGAACAGCGCCCCGGGCTCTCCCGCTGCGTGCGTCGGGACGGGGACTGTGGACAGGAGCTCGTACGCCTCCGGGTGCAACTCCTTCAAGATGGAGGCGACGTAGAAGCCGTCGACGAGCAGGGTCGCCCCGCCCGTCCCGCCTGTATGCTCGAGAAGGTGGAACAGCTGAAGACCGCAGGGATCTGTCTGCGGGAGTGTCAAGCCACAACGCGGGTAAGGGTTTGGAATAGGCTTACGAAGTACGTCGTGTCTGTGTGCGCGCCCAGGGCTAATGTCGTGTATGCCGTGTCGCCCTTCGCCAGATCCGATGTGAAGTCCCAGAACGCGCCGTCTATATCGACCAGTTGAGCATATATCGGAGGGTGCCTCAACCTGCCCTCACGTACACTGTGTTTCTCGGATAAAGGCAATCCGTCGGGATAGTTCTTCCGTCGCCTCTGGTGTTGCAGGCACTCCCGAGACAAAACAGAATCCGAACTTATCATACACAGCACGCATAAGCCACAGAGTGACTATCTGGCGAGCTGTACAGGATTTACTTACGACGTTGGATAACCACTTGAACAGACCGCGTTCGTCCTCCGCCATCGCCTGTTCATAAGTCACAGTAGGTGGGTCCTGCAATATCTTCGAGCCCCACAGTATCGGCCTGGAATGAGATGAGTGGATGCGGGTTGGATAGAGAGGACTTAGCGCACTCAGTAGCAGCTGGAGGCGGTGCCAGTGCTGGATCATATGAACTGTGTCGGAGCCAGGACCACGGATAGAGTGATATATGTGGTTGCGATGAGGGCCCTGGTGCCAAGGTTAGCATAGCGCGGGGAGATATGGGTGATGGTACCGCGCACAATGCACTTCCAGACCTTCCGGCTTGGATTCGACGTGGGTAGGCTTGATATCTGCTGGAATCTATGTACACGGTTTGATAAGGGGACACGGCGATAGCTTGAAAATGTAATGGGCACCTCGAAAGTATTGACAAGGCGCTGCTTGGTGATAGGATGGAAACATTCCGGGCAACGGCAGTGGTCACGCAGCCATATGTGGTGGCTGGAGACGGGTCATATGTTTGGAGACATTCTTGCAAATTACTTTTCATGACACTCACTATCGGGAATATGTAGTGGTGTCCCAGCCAAGAACAACGTTTCGGTCGTCTATCCGGCTCGTTGGAGCAACCTGAGCAACGTTTGACGGCTCTCGGGGTGTGTTATGCGATTGGATTGAGCTGGACGAGAAGTCTGCTCTGCACCGTGCGCCAGTGCCCACTGAAGCATAGCCTGGCCACCTTGGACACGACTAGACACAGAAAAATCTTGAATAGGCATGCGTGGTCTTCAAGTAAGCAAATTAAACGCACTTGGATGCTTCTCATGCCGCTATTCCCCGCCGAAACCCTCTTCAAGCATCTTGAGTACCGCAGTAGTGCACTGCCGCGAATCATAGCTGGCAAAGAAGGACTGAGGAAACCAAGCCACCCAAGATGTCGATATCAAAGTCCTAGCGCGTCGCAGCTCCTGTGGTCGAAGGATAACAAACGACCGCTCTGCAGTTCGAGGGCGCGCAAGGCTGGAGCAAAGGCCACGCTCCGCCCCGGCCGGCAAATCCAGATCCATCGTGAGCCTCGATCCCCGCAATTTCGGATGGTTCCGGGCCGCTCGTCATCAGGGTTGTGCGTGGCCAGGAAAGGAAAGCGAGTAAGTACGTTCAGGCTCCCTGCTCAGCTCAACCACGCAAGGTCATTGTAGTGATGCCCGCCCCGGTCAGTGTGAAAAAATACTAGTTGCTTGATTGAAGACTCATGCCATACATGCGTGCAATGCTACAAATGTGATCCATATCCCTCTACCTCATCGTTCATCATACCCCCCCCCACTCACACAACTACACCCTCAGATATTGTACCCAGCCGAAGCGAGCCCCTGCAAGAACGTGCCCGTCAAGTTCGCGTCCGTCTGCCCCACCCACCCCGCCACATCCGGGAACCGCCCAGACAGCCCCGCAAACTCCTGGCCCACGAACGCCGGGAGGTCCCTGACGTGCGCGACCGGGTCCACGGGCGCGGTCTCCGCCGCCGCGAGCCGCGAGTACGCGGCCTGGTACCCCGCCGTCTGCTCCTCGTAGTCGATCTGCGTGAGCCCCGCGTCCGGGTCCTCGTCGTCCTTCTTTGACAGCTGCTGGCCGACGCGGAAGAGCTTTACGAGCGCCTCGAACGTCGGCGGGCTAAATGTTTCATAAGCGGGCTGGGTGCAGCGCAGAGAGATGGATGACGTACCATGACTGGACTAGTGCACCCTGGTGCATGAGCGTGGACTGGGAGAGGAGGCGCGTAAGGCCGACAACGACCACCTTGCGGTCCTTCTGCGGCATCTTGGGCACCTGCGGGATCACAAAGTTCGCCAGGATCTGCGACCAAAGCCTGAATGGGGCGTCGTGTGTCAATAATGTTCGCAGAAGGAGCAGGAGGGACGTACTGTGGCTGGATGGACTCGACCTGGCCCACGATGTAATCGGGGGTAATGTCGTCCTTGGCGATGGCGAGGCAGAACCCGAGGTAGTACACAAAGTGGTACACAAACTTGTCCGTCTTGCTCGTCTGCAGCCGGGTAAGCAACGTGATGATGATCGACTTGAAGTACTGCTTCACGGTCGCCCTACAGACACCCATCAGTCTCGGTTCTCCTAAATTACAGACAAACAACACTTACGAAGGTACATGTTGGACGACCGCCTGCAGCAGCTCGAAGCCCCACCCGTCGTTGAGCTTCGACGGGATAAGACGCTGCTGGACGACGCCGAGCACTTGCGTTAGCTGGCCCGCGGCGACCATTGCCGGCGCGTCGCGCGCCAGGAACGCCTTCAGGAGCTTCACGAGGCCCGGGATGCTGCCCTTTTGCTGCCACGACGCGGGCGTGAGCAGGAACGGCAGGAGGCTCCGGTACTCGGCCGGCACTTCTCCCGCATGCAGGTCGAGCATCTGCGCGAGGATCTGGAACACATAGGGGATGTACTCTGGAGGCGCCCTAGTCAATAGCTGTATTGGCGGCGAAATTGGTGGATGGTTTACGCACGCTCGATATCCTGCTGGAGGATGATGGTGAAAGGCCCGAATAGCGCTTGCTCGAACGTCGCAAGAGTGCTCGGGTTCGCCTGCACAACAAACCTAGGACGTGGGTGTCAACTCGGTGCCCTACACAACCCAGCTCTTCCACTCACCTTAACAACGCAGAGATGCTCTCAAAGATGTACTGGTCGAAATTCGGGTTGCTCGGATTCTTCGAGATGACGCCCAAGATCGCGACCAGCCTTTGCAGGAGGCGCTGATACCCGTCCGCCAGCCCTGAGCGTGCCGTAACAATGACCCTCATCGCGCCTGTAGAATGTTTGTCAGCATCAGTGCGAGGAGATGGAAAGTTCACTGACACTTCATCAGGTAGTCGTTCTCCGCGACCTTTTCGGGAGTAGGCGCCTTCTCGACCCTGGAAAAGAGCGCATCGAGCGTCTGAGGCGCGATCTCCTTGACATCCACGGTCGAGAACCTGCAGGACTGGTTGAGCGGCTACACTGAGGGACAGACCGGTAGGCCACGCACATGGGCTGGTTGCCTTGGCGGATGAACAGGATACGCTCAATACTGATCGCGGCATACGTGTAGCATACATAGTTTTCTGAAGACAAATGGCGCACGAGCGACGGTAGCACAGAAAGTAGCTGTGGCTTGACGAGCTGAGACGTATCAAACACTCAATATGTGTTTGGTGACTTCAAGACACGAGTACGCACCTGGTTGCGGAACGTGTAGAGGAAGCGGATGGCATCAACCTGCAGGATCGGGTGGATGCTGCTCGGGTCAGCCTGCAGGTCCTGGAACACATGGTCCGAGAAGAACTGCACGACGTCGATGAGCGCGTTCGTCGACGTAACACCGTGCTGTCATCCCCCACACCGTCAGTTCGCATTACCCTTCACAACCCGTACTGCACCCGTACCTGTGTCGTGCTCCCACGCGTCGCAACCGCCGTCAGCAGGTAAATGGCCGTGTCTTTTGCGCGCCAGTTCTCTGTTTTGTTGGCCGCGTACTCGTTAAGCCCCTGGCCAATCCATGCGCCGGTCACCTCGGTCGTTTCCGCCTCGAGGCCGGAGGCGACCAGCGCCCGGAGCACCTCCGCGGCGGCTTGTCGCCGAGTGACTGCGTCGTTTGACACGCCGAGGCCGCCCATGGATGGGAGCGCGAGGTCGAGCCGGATGTACTCAAGCGGGTCGTCCTCGAACTGCTCGAGATCGTGTTCTGTGAACGTCAATTTAGCACAGGGGCACGCGCATTGTTGTGAAATACACACCCCGTAGAGAGACATTGGGAACGACGACACCCTGCACAAGCCCTGAAATAGTCTCTTTCGAGCCGAACAGGTCCTTGTAGTAACCCGTCCGGATCGCGGAAGCGATGAACCGGAGAGATTGGGAAACGAGCTGTGGACGTTACGTCAGACGTATAGCTTGATTGAACGAACGTGGAAACGCACCCCATCATCCGCAACCGACGGCCTCTTTCCGCCACCGACGAGGTCCCAGATCGACCGGACGAAGGCCTCCACTGATGCGGATGCCTGGAGCGTTTCCGGGTAGAGCTTGACGAATAGCTACACAATATATATTGGTGAGAGGTCGGGGAGCAAAAGGCCGCTCGGTGAATGCGCACCTCCACAATCTCCAGGATGCTCGTTTTGATTTGCGAAGGGAGGGACGGGGTAGTATCATCGGGCTATGCGACCGTCAATATACAGCGCCGGAAGTACGGGTATGATTACTCACATCTCCTTGGAGCGAAGGCGGGTCCCACTGAAGCAACTTCAAGAACAATCCACTCTCCGGGCCAAAGAACTGTGCATGCGAGTCCTCGATATCCGGCGGCAGATCTTGGCAAGTCAAATCGTAGAAGATGTCGACGAGGAAGACCATTGCCTGTGCAACCTGTGGCAGGTTGGCAGGCGGAGGGCTCGAGAACAGCAGGTTGGTGGTGTGCAAGAATATTTGGAGGAAGGGACGCGTGAAGCGGGAGAGGACGTAGTTGATCACGGTGAAAAGCGCGTCGGAGCGTGCTTCAGCGCGCCACGGGCGGAAGATGGAGTGCGCGGTTTGGAGCACGCCGATATTGACCTCGAAATTGGTTTCGGATAGGGAAGATACAAGGCTCTGTAGCAGACAGATCCCGTCAGTCGCCGTTTCAGCGCAGCAGAGACAAAGTTAACTGTTAAGGCGTGTGGAGGCGGTCATCCATTGATTGGTTTACGTGGACGAAGTCCACCGCGGTATGCCGTACAGTGTACCCAGGACACACAAGTGCCCCAGATGAGAAGGTGGTAAACACGCCTGCTCTTGCACTAGCGCATACAAGCACGGACCGAGATTGCAACGGTACTCACGTCGACCAAATCCGGCCACTGCTCGGGGAAGTCCACCTTCGCGATGAGCGATATCGACTCCGCGACCTGCGCCCGGACAGCCTTATCCGACGCATTCGATAGCTGAATCATAGCTGGAACGAGTGCATTACGGAGGGCAGCTCTGTCTGCCTCCGGCACGGGTGGCTCGTCCTGTACAAAGACGCGTCTGTGAGCATGATCATGCGCAGATCAGCGGGCATCCAGCGCGTACGCACGTCTTCCCATCTTGACTTGACGATGTTTTTGAGGTACACGCTTGCGGCGAGACGGACGGCGCGATCCTGGGCGCCCTGGAGGACAAGGGTGAGGAGGTGCGTGAGGAAGCCGGGCTGAACGCTGAGTGATTGGAGGCTCTGTTCCGCCTGCTTGCGGGAGGATGGGTTCAGAGAGGCGAGGAGGAGGGTGGGAAGCTCGGCCATGGTGCAGCAGACAAATTCGAGACGGCGAACGAGACGAATGGAGCCACAGGAGAGGAGGCGCAAGATCTGCAGAGCCAAGCCGCCAGCCGTTTCACGACGCGCTTCCAGTCCGAGGCGCGCCCCGACGCGTGTTTTCGTTTCGGCACGTGCGCGAACCTAACCTTGCCCTCGGCCATCTAACTCCTTTCGGTTTCCTTCTTCCCGTCATCGCCCTCTCCACCGTTCTTCCCTTCCAACAAACTTTTGCCCTCACACAGCGTGTCGCCGCTGCAGCGTCCATGCACCACGGCGTCTCATATGTTCCACAGCTAGCGCTGCAGGTCTCGGACTGATAACCTGGCGAGTCCGCCCCGAGTCAATTATAAAACATTGTTGATCCCACGCGCGTCTCGGCCTCTTCACGATCGTGTCACAGAAGTTGACCGCGTATTCTCGCTTCGGCCATAATGCGCTTGCGCGCTCCACTCCCGCTCGCCGTCGATGGCGGTCGCTCTCCCTTGCCCGGCCTGCTTCCGGTCTTCTTGCTCGACCTGACCGTCCGCGGCGATCCTCCCCGGCACGGTCGACGCGCTTCCGGATCGTCCAAGCATGTCTCAGCGCCGCGGGGTTCCAGCTGCAGGACGGGACACGGGCGGAGTGCAGGCCACGTCCGAGACCGGCGGCAAACGTAAGACACACTTGGGGGGTCCGACTTCTTTGATTGGAAGAGTTGCAGCCGAGGCCTCGGCACACTGCGCACCGCTACCCTGCTGTGGCGCGCTGTGTTTCGAGCGAATGAAATATGCCAGATGCCAGGCCTTACCGTCCCTGCCCTATATAACCCGACCGCCCGAGTAGCCTCGACCCTCCTCGCTTCTTGCATCCCCCTCCCACCCGCCCCATAAAGCCCCTCGCCCGCCCCCGGCCTCGAGCCACCGACACTCCTTAGTCCCCAGTCACTCCTTGCTTTCGGGCCCCTCCGAACCAATCCCTTGCGGTCGCCGTCCACATCCTCGCAGACATGAAGTTCGCATACGCCGTCGCCGCCCTCGTCGCCACCGCCGCCTCCGTCCAGGCCGGCGAGACCAATGGCCAACGCCTCGCGCGCGGTCTCTCCCCGATGCCCCCCAAGAGGATGTACCACCCTTCGCGCGCTTCTGGTCAGTAATTTTTAGTGCGCGTTCGGGCGGCAACAACCGCACCTCTCCGCTTCCATTTCTCATCCCACGTACATCTCCGCTGACGTGGCATCAATCCTCTTCCACAGAAGCGAAGCGGGCGACGCCCTCTGGTACTCCTCCCAGCGGTGGCAGTGGCAACTGCAACACTGGCCCCGTCCAGTGCTGCAACTCCGTCCAGAAGGCGGGCACTGGTGGCGTTATTGGCGCTATCCTCGGCCTCCTCGACGTTGTCCTCGACCCCGAGGCGCTCGTTGGTCTCCAGTGCTCTCCCTTGAGCGCTGTTGGTGTCGGTGGATCTTCCTGGTGAGTTACAGTGTTATATGAGCGATGGCCGGTATTGATACCCTCATCCCTGTAGCTCCTCGACGCCCGTCTGCTGTGAGAACAACAGCCAGGGTGGCCTGATTTCCATCGGTTGCATTCCGAGTGCGTTCTATCTTTCCTTGCGCTCTCCGTTTGTACGACTGACGACGTGTTCTAGTTATCCTATAAGCAACCAAGGACCTAATAAAATAGACCGCCCGTGATGGCCACCGCGACAAATATCCTCGTCTCCGTCTAATAGTTTCAGGGCTCTCGCTACGTTATCTGGTTTGAAATGTATCGTTTTCCTCTCGTCTTCCGTTACCCTCTTTGCACACTGTTGGATATACGTGACGACGAGCCGCGATACTGCGCTATACCCTCGAACCTTTGTCTCCCCTCGCGATCCTCGGACTTGAGTTGTGTATCCGGTCTCGCGTGCTGGAGGTGCTACTACGTCTCCCCCGCCGTAGAACTTTCTCCGTATGCTCTAGGATACACATGCTCTTCCAATTCACTCTGCTTTCTGGGCTTAAGTGAACGAGTGTGTCATGGTTGTCTGCAGCACAATGCCCCACTTCGCGACGACATGGTGGCGTGAGGTGGCGTGTGCGATGATCCACCTTGCAAGAGCTGTCAAACTTACGTGACGGCTTCGCTTCTTCTTACATGTCCCTATATGGATCTGTCTTTCCCTAATTGGGAAGAGGAGCGCTCGTAGAAGGTGAGTACGAGCGCCGCCCCCTCGATCCCAGTCACCGTCCATGCTTCTCCCCCTCTTGACGTGAGGAGCTCTCTAGAGCTCCGCGGAGCTACTCGCTTTAGACTCGCAAGTACTCCGTAGGCGGGCGCGGGCGGGAGCCGTCGCAACACGTGGCCGGAAATTCACGACTCCGGTGACTAGTACTCAAGGTGAGAAGTCCAAAGGTTCGGGAACCATATGCTCCACCGATTGACACTGGCGCCCACAACTTACGATCATCGAATGTTGGCACAGATCGACGGGCATCAGAACCATTGCGGCGTACATGTTCTATGTAGCCGGAATGAACTTGCCACTGACAGCATCCCGAATCCGGAGGATGACAGCTCCGACAGACGGTCCCGAACTTCGAATTCGTGCCAAGCACTATGCACATCCCGATGTTGCTTTGCCAGGTTCTGTGCGAACTGCCAAGAGACGTGCTTGAAGCTTTTGCGTACGGCGTACCTGGGCGCGATTACAACATCGTGGGTCCAGTTATGCCGTGACTGTGCAGACGCCGCGGCGGTACCCGGCTATAAGAGCATGGTCTTTCTTTCGTTCTGTGTATCCTCGTTTATTGCCCTCCAGATCCGAGCTCTATGGTATAGACGTCGACAACAGAGCACAGGAAAGGACACTCACGAGCCTGAGTGACTCCTCGGTAGTTGTCTTCTGTGGGGACAGTACCATGGTGGCGCCCTAAATACTCGGATCCGGATTGTCAATCTCCGCTACGGACGCCAGTAGAAAGGCCAGCGTGAGCGGGGGCCTTGCCATGGTCGCGAGGGAACTCCGTGTTGTGCCATAACGCCGTATAAGTAGATGCGAGGATGATCAACCCATTGCAAGCTATCTCCGACCGTATCTGCTAAGTCAAGCACCTCACCACACAAACCCAAATACTGGCCAGAGCTCCGAGGTAGCCGTGACTTCTCTGCCGCGGTACGTTCCACCGATCATGACTCTACAACAGTTGGCTAATGATCCGGCAGCTGAGTCCGCACAATGCAATCCTCCGAGGTAAACCTGATCCGTTCGGCCGTCGCAGACATACCGGTACAGTCAATCGAACGAGGATCAGGGCGCGATTCACCCAGACCTCTATCGGCTGACTTGAATAGCCCGGCATATTGTTTCGATGTACCAGCAACCGTAACTTTAACCTTGTTCCTCGGCAGCTAGAATACTTCGAGTCGACGAGGAAATGCGTCGAGGTGCGCCTCGATTTCGTGAAACCCATGCAGCGCACTGCATGGGGTGATGACTGGTGCAGTCCCACTGCTGTACCTGCTGTACAGCAGCAGTGACTCGCGCGAACTGAATATGCGCGAACCATCGGAGAAACGAGCCGCGCGCGGCCATGTCCAAACATAGGGCCGGCGACTCCGAGTCGTGTGCCACCCCGAAACAAGTCGCCCAAGTGCGAAATTAGCTCAAAGCTTTCGTCCTTCGGCCGACGCGTTTAGGGGCGTCGACCTTGCTTTATCGGGGGCCGAGTGCCAGCGGAGGACCAGAGATCGTTCCACCGGCCAATCTGTATCGCATTTGTGGTGGAGAGTATCGTCGTGACTCGAGTCTCGCAACGCGTGCGATGGCAGGCACGATCGAAGTACGTACATAGCCGGTTCAGCGACCGGTCGACGTTGTGTTGCCTCAGGCCGCAACATCCCGTCCGCGTTACTTTGTTGTGTTTTGGTGCGTGATATGCTGTCAAGCCGGGTGCGCTGTAAGTTCATTATCCGGACCACGGCCTTCTCCATGAATGTAACCAACACCTAGATATAATCGGCTTCCTTCCGTACCTGATCTCTATGGCTAACCCGGGCCGATACTAGAAGGTCCGCAAAGAAGACGGTTGACCCGCGTTGAGAGCAGCGACTGCTTGAGCGCTATCGACTCTGATGATAGCGGCTGTGGTTTCAAAGCTTCATTCTTGACGCGTTTGGTGCAAAGGTCCGCGGAGGATGGCAGCGTCGACGTTTCGCGAGCATGATGGCTCGACGGATGCGTCCTCCGAGATCATCGCGGGGATGTGTCCTGGACGCTTACGATGCGTACGATGGCCGCGCATGACTTAGTGTGCGAGTGAATCTATATTGAACTCGAGCTGTGCATGCGCGCACCGCGGCCACGGCTGCAACACCCGCTGAGGCAGGCAGCTGCATGTACAGTACTTTTGCGAGCTTGGTTATCGGCCGTACGCAATTCGATGGAGTGGTGGAAGCGACAGCACCGCCTCAAAGTCGGGCGAGACTCCTCGATCACGGTCCAATTGGACCGGAAAAGGCAGGCGAGTGGCCTGATTGGGACGGGGTAAACAGATCGGCCGTTTCGGCATTATCGGTCAGACGATGTCATTGGGAGCGCGATGCCGGCTCTGGCTGTGGGACGGCAAGCAGATACGAGACTCTGTCCAATCGCTGACTGTTCCTCTCCCTTCTCATGGCTCCTGCGGCTGGCCGGCTCGAGTTATACATATACCCCCGCCCTCCCCCGGGCCCCCGCTGCTCCCCAGTACTCTCGAGCCTGCAACGTCCTCGCGCACATGAAGGATACCAGCCCAACCCTCCAGGACTCCGGTCTCTCGTCCGCTACGCCCACCGTACATGGCGACCCCAGCATCTCTCAACCAGTGCGGGGAGAAAAGAACAAGAATATGCCTAATGACGACGATGACGGGGAGACGCGCTCAACTGAGGAAGATCTGCTCATAGTTGACTGGGACGGTCCGGATGATCCCCGTAATCCTAAAAAGTGCGTCATCTATCAGCCTAAGAAGCAGCAGGGTCTGACCGTCTGTGTGCGCAAACGCCCATGTACCTTACAGCTGGTCGTACAAGAAGAAATGGGCTGCAACGTTAATCGTCTCCGCGTTTACCTTTATCAGCCCAGTATCCTCTTCTATGATGGCACCTGCCAGCACGCAAATCGCCCAACAGTTCGGTATCACGAACACCTCAGTCATTGCGCTGATTACTTCGGTATTCGTTGCCGCATATGGTCGGTATATATCTCCAGGAAGATCTTAAAACGCGTGCTCACATCTACCCTTAGCGTTCGGACCATTATTTCTGGGGCCCATGAGTGAGCTGTTCGGTCGCTCGCGGGTGCTTCAAATCGCGAATATGTGGTATCTCGGTATGTACGACTTCCTCATATCTAAACTGCGCATGAGCTCATCTTACTCTAGCGTGGAACCTGGGCTGCGGCTTTGCACAAAACACGGGGCAGCTGATTGCCTTCCGCTTCCTCGCCGGTCTGGGTGGGAGTGCACCATTATCTGTCAGCAAACTTCATCCTTCATCTACGCTATATGTGTACTAAACCTGGGTATCTTACAGATTGGTGGTGGTGTACTTGGCGACCTATGGAAACCGGAGGAGAGAGGGCAAGCTATCGCCCTCTACTCATTAGCGCCATTACTGGGGCCTGTCATCGGGCCTACCTGCGGCGCTTGGATCGCTCAGAGATCGACATGGCGCTGGGTTGTACGTGTTATATCACCCGTTCTCGCTGCCCGATCCTGACGGGTAATTACTACAGTTCTGGTCCACCACGATCGTGGATGGTTTCATTCAAGTCCTCGGACTGTTCTTCCTGAAAGAGAGTACGTCCGCCTTCTGCTCATCTTATTGACTAAGCCTTTCTCACCACTTGCCCCCATCACAGCGTTCGCTCCAGTCCTATTGGAACGCAAGGCCGAGCAAATACGGGCCGGTATGGACCCTGAGAAGGCCCAGACGCGCGAAGTCCGCACGGTGTTCGACAACGCCGACAGACAGTACGTATATAAAGGGCCTGACTTCGTTCAAGATTTCAAGCTGACCGCTTTGCAGCTGGAAGAACATCGTCACGAAGGCGCTCATTCGCCCGTTCTCCTTGTTCTACCACGAGCCTATTGTGCAGCTCCTCGGCCTGTACATGGCATTCGTGTACGGCACACTGTATCGTAAGTTTCGCCGTTCACGCTCATTATGAGACGCTTTCCACTGATACATTGGACAACAGTCTTCCTAACAACAATCCCCGGCATCTTCGAGGGAACGTACCACCAACCGGTCGGAATTGCCGGCTTGCACTACTTCGCGCTCGGAGTCGGCCTCACCGGTGCATCGCAGCTCAACGCGCGTATGCTGGACAGGATATACAAGTACTTCCAGGAGAAGAACGGTGGTGTCGGAAAGCCGGAGTACCGATTACGTGTGTATCCTCCCCTCTTCCTATACGTCGGCAGACAATTGACGAAGAGCTGCAGCGTCGATGGTACCTGGGGCATTCCTACTCCCCGCCGGCCTGCTCATCACAGGCTGGACTGCTCGCGCTGACGTTCACTGGATTGCACCTGACATTGGCATCGCCTTGGTCGGTGCGGGTACCATCCTGAACTTCCAGTCGATCCAGACGTACATCATCGACACCTTCACACTTCACGCCGCTTCCGGTACGTTTTTGCCTCGTACATCCGCAGTTTGACGTGTGCTGAATCGAGTTCGCCTCTTGTAGCTCTTGCCGCAGCGACGTTCTTCCGCTCACTTGCAGGCTTCGGTTTCCCGCTATTCGCACCCGCGATGTACAAGGCGCTAGGCTACGGCAAGGGTGATACAATCCTTGCGTGCTTTGCCATCGCCGTTGGTGTCCCCGCGTAAGTCATTTCCCAATCTCAAAGTTCTTCGTATGCCCTGACGCAACGTTGTGTAGGCCATTCCTATTCTGGACATACGGCGAGCGAATCCGAAACGCCAGCAAGTACGCCAGGTAAGGTGCCTAACGCACCCCACTCCGACATGCGGGCTCTAGCCCCACGACCCCCTGTTGCTCCATCTGACACGTCTCCCGTCGCATTGCTTTATGTTCTCTCGCATCTTCACGACTCCCTGCATTTCCTGCTCACGCCCCCGACGTCTCATCACGCCGCCGCATCTGACTCACATCCACGCCCTTCTTGGTTTACCACGTAACACCATAGAGTACGCACATCGGGCACACGGACGCTGTCCCGCCTCACTGTATTATCGTACACATTCAGTAATTCCATATCCGCCTGGATGGTAGAATACCCCTTATCATGTTCTGCGTGCGCCAAGACGATGCCGGGATGAGTTTAGGGGTGACCAAGGGCTCACGTCGCCCGTGTGCCATTCCCGCTGGGATCCGCGATCGCAAGGAAGCCGTACGACCACAGCTGGATCGCGTCCGACTCGGTGCCCGAGGGCGAGAGCGCCGCGAGGTCCGCCACGCTGAACGCGTTCGTCGTGTTGTCGAAGCTGTACGACCAGACCTCCGAGTACAGTTCTATCGAGGGACTGAGTCAGCTGCAACGTGCGACAGCGCCCGGAGAAGGGGGACGTACGGTCTTTAGCGCCACGGATAGACGTCCATAGGCGTGTCTGCGCATCGCGCAAGGCCTGAATAAAATCCGCGTCGGCGCACCAGTCCGGCATCGGCTGCGGAGCACGATCCGTGTCCGCGCTCGCCGACTCCTGCCCGCCCATACAAAAGCCGAGCTGACGCGCGAGGCCCGCCGCCATGAGACCCTGCTGGAACGACCTAGGGAAGCCTCAGGATTTATAATGGAAAAAGGATGATGACGGGGGCCGTGCGTACCAGACGACGGTGCCGTGGTATGCCGCGCGATTGAGAACATCTATATTGGTGTCGTTCGAGTCGTAAGCAGGGTTCGCGACGACCATGCCGATATTCGTGAGCAGCCCTGTGATGCGTCCGTCAGCGTGACACAATATGACTAGAGCGAGGCGGCACACATACCTCTGGGATACGGCTGAAGCACGTCTACGACGTGCTGCAGAAATCCGCGCGACACGTTCGCTCCGTAAAGCAGGTTGAAACCCAGGTCCGAGTTGAGCACTTCGACCGGCGCGCCGTCCTCCTTCAGCGATAGCGCGTAGAAAGACACGTTCCCGCTCGAGCCTGCCAGTAACGCTTCGCTCAAGTTCGCGATCCTTACATAGTTCTCCAGCCGGCTCTGCGCAGCCTCCTCCGCCACTTGCACTTCAAACAGCCCCGCAGCCTGCGCCTCCCACACGCTCGCAACATCCCCTACCGCGCCCGCAGCGAGCCCCGAAAAGTCAAGTAGACCGGCGGTCAGGAGCGCCTGGGTCGCGCGCAGGGACGCAGGGACGAGCGCGCTGTTGACGTCGAACGGGTACACCCCAAACCCGAGCCCCTCGTTGCTGTCGCGCCAGTTCCCGACGGGCTCCCCGGGACGGAGGCGGATGAGATTGGAGACCTGCGGAGAGCGCGCGAAGGGTGCGGCGCGTGCCAGGTTGTAGGATATCGTCCTAGCAGGGCCATTGAGGTCACAAAAAGCTGGGGGAACGGATAGACGGAGAGGACATACCGGTTCAGAATTTCGGCGTATGTGCCGTTTTGGAGTGTCGCGTTCTGGGCGAGAAACTGTTCCGCACGGCCAGGGCCTTGCGGGAGGTCGAGGAAGTAGTGGCTCAGTGCGGGGAGGAGGAGTAGATCTGTATTTCGGGTATAATCAGTCGTTCGACTTGAGGAAGCGGACTCGTTCACTGGCCTGTATCAATCATCTGAAGGGGTGAGTACCGCTTCTATGTAGTGACGCGCGGCATAGTGGACGATACCTTGTAGTCATAGAAGGGCGCGTTCCCCAAGTCACTCCTACCAGTTTGCATGTTGACCTACACTAGCCTCAGTAATATAGTGCAATACACTCGCGGGACCTGCGACTGACGAAAGAAGCATAATCTCCTATATCTCTGTCAGGAAACAATCACCGTAAGAGAGAACGTTCAATGCCTACCGATAGTTTCTTCGTGGCATAGGGCTCCGGTAGCATTTGTGCGCTCTATCACGGCACCTAACGCTGCCTCAATCGCCTCCGACGTGAGCGTCGGCATCAGGAGTCGCAGCGCGATGAGCGAGTCGCGGCCGAAGTACTAGCGCAGCTCAGTTGTCTGACAAACGGCCACTCGCTGGGCTATATCCTCACTGTCAAAAAGCGCCATCCGCCAGCTGTGAACTTATCTTCATACGTGAGGAACGAGACCTGTCGGGGCACGCAAGTCAGCCAACGTCTGTGCAGTGGGTCCCGTACCTAGGATATACCTGTTTTGCCGCGTCGTTCTCCCCATCGGACAAGCCCTGCAGCACATTCTGTAACGCAGTGGTCTCGCTCTCGTTCCCCGGTAAGAACAGCCGCTGCGTATCCAGCCCTGGCAAGCTGGTCTCGTTCGTCACCACCTTCACCGTGACCACGCCAGCCTGCCCAGCCTCTACACTCGCAGGTATGATGATGTCCACCGTCGGCGGGGTCCATGTCCCGTTGTCCCCTGGAGTTACTGCAAGGCGTACGGGACTTTCAACGGGAACGGTCAAGTAGAGATCCGCGCCCAGGTAGCGCGAGGAGTCGGGCGAGGTGGTGTTGATCCATTGACGGTGCAGGCGGACCAATGTCTCGTTGAACGAGATGAGGGTGTAGTTGAAGATCGAGTGCATCGTCCCCCCGCCTTCAACATAATCTACGACGTCAAAGTACTTGTCAGTTCTGCATGCTACAGGCATCGAGAGTGTGTCCGTGTACCTCTCATGGCGCGGACGGCTCCGATAATTGTGGCGCCCAGCGTCGCGTTCCGGTCAAACGCTAGGTCCGCCTGCACGCCGACATTGAAGTAATCCGCCGTCGCGCTCTTGAACGAGCCTTCCACGAGCGTCACACCTAGGGCCGTTGGCGAAGTCGAGTTGCCTCCAGGAGCACTAGCATCCGCTGAATCATCCTTGGGCAGGAAATAGGCGAGCGCGCCAGAGTTCCCCGCAGGCAGCGCGACGACGAGCCTTCGCACCGCGCTCGTACTGCTCGCACTCGTGAGCACCAGCTGTCCGCTTGTCCGTCCATCGCGCAGGAAGTAGTTGTCGTTCTCGCCCGATGCAACGTGAAATGCAAGTGTCGTGTTCGGCGCGCCGACAATCTGTGCAACTGTGGTACCCGCAAGTGCAAAGAGGGAGATGACGCAAAGAGTTTTGACGAGACGCATAGTTACAAAGTCTGAGGCTGGAGGTGTCGCAGTCAGGGATCGACGTCCAAACCTAAGGCAACTGGGCAACGGTGTTAAGTACCACTCACCTCTGGCTCGGCTAAGTATCATATGCCCATAGCGTCATATGCGCCAAGGTCAGCTGGCTCCTAATGACAGTCGCGTGGATGCATACACACAGGAGGCGCGCCGCGTCCCATCGTAGCGTATTTACGATGACGTGCTCGTAAACATTGCCTGACCTGTGTAGATATAAATCAAACAGCGGTTATGATTCGCTTCACGGCTTCACGCAGCTACGACGCATATTTGCAACTTGGAACGGGCGAGTAGAACGATGTCAACCACAAAGAAAACGAGAGTATACCCACGTACACGAACGATCCACTTCCACAATGTTGCAGTATATAACCATGCACCTTGTGAACCATTACATTACCTCCTGAGCATACATATACACATGTGCAGAACATAACAATACAACACACGCTCAAGCACTCCCTACGCTGACAGCTGCGGCAGTGGCAGCCGCAACTGGAGACGATTCGAGTACTTTATCCGTGACGGCGGACACCGCGGCGATAGTCGAGGCGACTGCGCCAGACGAAGCCTCAGCGGGAGGGTTGTGGGCCATCTTCGCCTTCTTCTTCTTCTTGAGCATGGCTACACCGAGGGTCAGCAAGGCTGCATACACGGACGACGTAGGCAGGTGTACGCACCGACAGAGACCGCGCTCTTGACGTTCTCCACTATATCCTTGCTCTGCTCGATGTACTCGGTATCCTCCAACCGGTGCTTCTTGCCCGCGAGGGGGTCCGGAGGCGAAGATGAGCCACCAGGCGTGATACCGAGCTTCTTCTCCAAAGCCTCCAGTTTCGCCCTCTGTGCCTCCTGGAGAGCCTTCTTGCGGAGGGGCTCACTCTCAATGTAGTCGGCAAGCCTGCAGTTAACGTTAATAAGGAGTAACGAGATGGGGAGAGTATAACATACTTCTTGGCTTCCTTGATAGTACTCAGCCGCCGCCCACTGAGGTCTCTGCAAGAATCGTTATTGCTCGTCTTCTGGCTGCTCATGCGCCCTCCGGCAGCACGCAGCTGCGAGCCGAAACCGCCCTTGCCACCGCGAAGCCTTGGCACGAGGCGCAATGTGAGGAGGCTGTGACCGTCTGCTTCATCGTCAATAAGAGATGCAAGCGAGGTGTATGGTTCCGGGACGGGCCCGGTGGTGGTGGAGAGAACGAGGTCCGCAGCCACGGAATGAAGAGGAAGCGAAGGGTAGCGTTCCGCAAGAACCTCGTAAAGCTCGGAGAAGGATGTCTCAGAGGGGACTGAGAGAGCCAGGGTAGGGAATGGAGAGAAGGTCGAGATGAGGACTGAGGTCGACATGGCGTGCAACAGTCGAGGGCAGGTAGAGCGATAGGAGAAAGCGGCGGCCGTCGTTGTGGTCGATGAGCAAAGAGTCAACTAGCGCTCGTTCACGACGGATCAGTCCACGGGCGCCTTTGCTTATGTAGGTGTACAAGCAGGGACAAACAGCGTCGCCCACGTGGTGCGGGGTAATAGGCACCGACGTCAACGATCGCAGGAGCAACTTGCGCTCTCCTGCTCTCACGTACGACCGCCACGACGACCACGACCACGACTGCGGCGTACGACCCTCGTTCGAATCGCAGTTAGCTGCCTTATATTTTAAGGGAGCAAAGCAGCTTTCTGAACCCACAGGTACGCATGCACACGCAACAAGACAGCGCGTCCCCTAACGCGTCTCGTACCAGAATATGGCACCACTCCCGCTCACCATTTACCGCGGCATTTCGCCCTCTTTCCAATGGCCTATCAAATTTTGTCTGTACAACAGCGCTGCTGCCTTCATATTGTCCATCATCACTGGCAATGTCTCTCAAGTCGATAGGGTGTGGACATTCTTGCCTACCATATACACCGCCTACTTCGCGTTACTCCCTCTGTGGCCTAGCAAGCCCCGTCTGTTCTTCTGGCCATATGTGCCCGAAACAATCGACCCGGCGGTTGCGCAGAACTACAGCCCTAGGGCGCTACTAATGTTCGGTCTCGTGGTGAGTACTAGTCCGACTACCACATTCCCCGCAGTACCGATCCACAGCTGAATGGTCTACAGTTCATCTGGATGTGCCGGTACGCGAATTTGGTATATATTATAAACGGGCAATCTGACTCGCTTTTCTAGACTATCATACAACACGTGGAGACGTGGCCTTTTCAACCTGTATGTACTACGCCGTGCTAAGCGTTCCATGTGCTCATGCTTCGTGCAGGAACGACGAAGACTATCGTTGGGCCATCCTCCGCCAGAAGGTCCCTGCTTGGCTGTTCCAAGTCATCAACTTTGTCTTCATCGGTCTGTCACAAGGCTGGCTCTGTGGGTATGGCGACCATACTCATTAAGGAAATCTGTAGCCTTCATCCAGAACGTCATCTTGTTCCTGCTCGGTATACCCACTCAAATCGCGGCAGTTCAGCAGCCAAGTGCTCTAAGCACCTCCGACTACATCCTCGCTACCCTTGCCCTCGTGGACATTGCTACCGAGTTTGTCGCCGACAACCAGCAGTACTCGTTTCAGACGTACAAGCGCCTTGGTGTCCACGAAAAGAACGAGTGGCCGGGAGCGCGTATCAAGTGGACCCCCGCCGACGCCAAGCGCGGTTTCGTGACGCGTGGTCTGTGGGCTTGGTCCCGTCACCCCAACTTCTTCTGCGAGCAGAGCTTCTGGGTACGCTCGGGAAGCCTGGTGCTTGCATTCTTGCTAACCGCTATGTTCATGTAATAGGCCATCATCAACCTCTTCCCCCTGCTTGCGCCGGAGTCGCCCCGCCTCGCACCCTCGTCGCTCCAGAGCGTTACTCCCATCTGGCCGCTGATTCCGTCGATCGTGCTCTGCTCGCTGTTCTTCTCGTCAACGCGCTTCACCGAGAGCATCTCGATTTCGAAGTACCCGGAAGGCTACCGCGCCTATCAGAGCCGCGTCGCGATGTTCGCCCCCTTCTTGACTCCCGTGTGGGGTCTCCTTCTCCAGCTGCAGGGAAAGAAGGAAAAGGTCGACCGCCTGGTGTACGGCCAGGACGTCGCCGAGGAGCAGAAGAAAATCCAGTGATTTTCCGATTGTGTGTTGTTTCCTTGGACTGAATCGTGTATCTTTCCCGCCTAGTGTCCTTGTCGTAATGATCCGCATATATTCGTCAAATGCATCGTAGCTTGCTTCTTGGACGACCTGTGTGTGCTCGGGGCATCAGCATTCTGGCAGGCCAGAGCGCTGGTGGGTGACCCAGTCCCGATCGTGATTTCTCTCATGCATAAGAGACCGTTCGGGTCAGCCTCAATCACTCATCTTCCTTGCTCATTCTCCACCATCACCACTCACTGTCCTCGACGTGTCTTAGCCTCTGTCTGTTATGCCTTCTCGTTCTGCCCCTACCTGCATCGTCACCCTCCGCAGCCCGGCCGAGGACACCACCCCCACTCGCAAGCTCAAGGTCACCTTCTGCCCCGTCACAACGCGCGGCGAAGCGGCGGAGCGCCGGTCGCTACGATCCCCAACCCTTACCACGCCCGAGCCCAAGTCGCCGTCCAAACTCCAGATGGTCCTGCTCCCACTCAGGCTGTTTCAGTAGAGACGCAGAGGAATCCGGCGTCGGCAACGCTCTGCTGAACACCATACGCTTCTCTCCTTTGGGTCCTAGTTATGGATGCGCTCTCTTGTCACCTTTGCTGTCTTGCTCCACCCCACCTTCCTCCCCCTCTGATAAAAGCTTCGAAGGTGAGCACCCACCGTTCGACCCGCCATAACTTTTTCTGACCTTGCATATCCGTATAGCGCGTGAAAATTCGCTTCGAAGTATAATCATGTTACAGCGGTACATGGCATATGCAGCGCAATAAAATTGAAGTGGCGTATCACTCTGCAGGCACATTCGATTCTCCTCTCTCTTCCGTCTGCCCCTTTCGCTTTCGAGGGCCAAATAAGCGTACCAACATGTCGACTGCTACGGCGGATTGTCGAAGGTAAACCCGCCGCGGCGCATGCCCAGCGTTCTGCTCCGCCTCGGAATGCCCCGCATTCTCGGCACCAGCGACCTCGGGCCCGGATGACTGTGCCTCAGGGATTGGCGGCGACGATCCCAGAGGATTCGAAGGACTGGCTTGCCTATCCGTCGAACTAGCGATAGCGTCCGCCTCCGTTGCTGCAGGGCTATCGACCGCATCTTGGACATCAAGAGATACGCTGTAGCTCCCCGCGATCGTGCTGAGCTCAGGCTCAAACCCCTCCCGCTGCTGGACGCGAATCTCGAGCCTGCGTCCTGGCGCGTTGAACGCCACGACGAACGCGTCGCTCGCGCTGCACAGGTGCGCCCTACCCGCGCCACACCCTGCTGCTGTCACGGTCCCAGCCCCGAACGTCAGCGGCTCGCCGTAAGCCTGGGCGTACCCCGGCGGAGCCACTGGCGCGACGCGCGCGTCGATCCAGTACTGGTCAATCACCGACTCGTCTATGTAGGCCAGTGGGGCGCCAAAGCATGCGCATCCTACCCCAATGCGCACCGTCACGATCTCCTGGCGCGCCGTGTCGAGGAACTGCATAGAAGATACAGCATGCTCGGGCCTGCCTGAACTGATTTCGTACGGCACCTGGAGCACCAGCCCGTCGAAACTCGCCGGCCGCACGCTGAGCGAATGGCGCGCCTCGAGACGATTGAGTGCCCACTGTGGGATGTGGAACGTATAGAGCCCGTAGCCTTCCTCCTCTTCCTGCGTGTTTTGCGGATGCCGCGGCTGTCCGAGCGCGAGCGTCGCGTATGCATGGCGGATGTACAGCTCCGCCACCACAAAGGATCTCGCGGGCAGCGTGCTCTGGTTCGAGGGCCTCTTTGAGTTGACTTTGGCACTGAAACTAGGGCGTAGCGCCGCACGATAGTACTGCCGACCCGTGCCCGCGACCTCGTCCCCAATATGCGCCCCAACGACATACTGGGGCGAGCTCGCGTGCTGGGTGGGGCGGAGCAGGAGGACGATGAGCGACTGTTGCGGGTCCACGCATGCGAGCACCGCCGCACAGACGGAGCGGACGCCCGACGCTTTTGCGGGGGCGCCGTCTACGCCTACGAGGTTTGGGGACAGCGGGAGCTGCACAAGCATGCCGTAGCTCGTGAGGGTGTACTGCGGGACCCGCCCTCGCACGCCGAATTTGGTGGCAAGGTCCTGCATCGACAACGCCTTGATCCCGGCGGAGTACGCGAACTCTGCTGGCGAGGGGGCGAGCAGGTCCTCCAATCTCGTCTGCTCTTCCTGCGCAGAGTCATCCACAGACTCTGTGCCTGGCGCGACGTGGGCAACCTGCAGCCCGCGCTTGGCATCCTCGAGATCCGGGTGTATTCGGCCCCACGCAAAGATGCTCTGGTCCGGGATGCGCTGCAGGATCTCCTCCTGCAGCCGCATGAACGCGCGCGGGCCCTCCCCGTATATGGTCGGCATGTTGATGCCAAATATGCCCATGAGTGAGTACGCGCGGTCCTCGACGCGCGTCGTCCGGCGGTGCGCGGCCCACGACATGCGCTCCGCGACGCTCACGCCCTCAAGCCAGTCAAGGCGGCTGCGCGTGAGCACGTCGCGCTTGATGCGCGAGACCTCGGAGAGCGCGCCGACGAGGGAGTGCTTCGAGCCGAGCGTGTGCCACGTCCTCGAAAGGAAGATGACACAGGCGGGCGCGAGCAGCTCCTGGAGCGTCCAGCCGCGCGTGTACCAGACGCTGCGCCTGAACGCGGACGACTCCGCGCTTGGGTCCTCGTCGTCGCCGACGTCGTGCAGGTATGCGTAGCAGACCTGCGCGTCTGCGTACCAGGTGAACATGGAGTTGATCGCCTCGGAGAGCTCCGCGCTGCTGTTGTGGTCGATGCAGACTGCGTCCATCCACAGCCATTCATACCCCGCCTGCGCGGCCACAGCGCAGCAGCCCCGTATCTTGTGGGACAGGAGGGGCTTAGGATCTGTGCCGGTGTCCTTGCACTGGACGAGGATTGCGCGGACTTCGTGAAACGTCTGTTCCTTGGGTTCCTGCTGCCAGACATGGGAGACGATCGCGTATCGGACGTCCTTCGAGCTGGGAAATTGCTTCAGTTCTGCCGTCTTCGTGTTTAGCAGCCACATAATGTGAATGATCTATCCGCGATCAAGAGGCTCGTGTTGTCAAGGATAGAGGTATGGCTTTACGTCTTTTCTGTCAGCGACGTTTAGTCAGTTGTGAGCTTATGCGGGATGTATACTGTGAAAATGGACATACCTTTTGAGATAAATCCTTATAAACCGCTGAGAGGAAATGCGGAGAGATGATGGTGGTGAGATTGCAACGGCTTACGGGTATGTAGGTCGAGCGTGTTGAAATACCTCCTTCCGAGGCGATGCTGCTTCTTGCACAGACTCCTGACACATATCTACGACAGGATCGTGAGAGCATATGGACACGAGGCGACAAGCGTCGGTGTGAGAAACGCAAGAGTTCGGATTTGTCTTACTAGGACGCTGGTCATTTCTATGGGGGGTTTTTGTGGCCATGTGAACAACAACACAGGGCGAGGAGAGTTGGACTCGGACTCGTCGTGTGGGTTTGATAGAAACCGCTGAAGATGCCATCTGAACGTAGTCGCCCGAGGTCCACCAAGCATGCCAGATCCCGTCGTGGTCAACGTGCGCGATGTGTCGTGCCACACGTGCTGGAAGGCCGGCGCGACGAGCGCGACGTACGTAGGTAGCTGACGTTCTGCGGGGTACATAGAGCACCTAGACTTCGTACTCGACGAGCGCGACCCCACCCATCGTGATCGCGGCAAACTCGCGCGACCTGATCATATGGCTCCTCGGCACAGTGACTCTCACTGTGGCCACCCACTCTCAGTGGGAGTCGTTGGTCTCAGTGAGAGTCACTCTCACCGATCTGGTATATACTCGCGTTGGACGAAGCATACGCAATTCTGGGACCACTGGATCCAGACCTTGACGGGGATGGTCCGCGCTCATACCTGGCAAATGGAAGGTAATTCAAGCATGGGCAGGTCAGATGCTAGCTCGCCACGCTGTTCAAAAGAGACAGAGTGAACAGGCCGCAGCACACAGGCAATGCACGCGTCAACATGCGAGGGGATATCGCGCGGTCAATCGACGAGCTTGCTTCCGTGCGGCCCACAAGGAGAAATTCCTTCCGGGTCTAGTTTATCCCTGTGGAATCCGGCTGCCTTTGACAAGGATATGGGGGTCGGTTCCTCATTGCAGCGTCCATTGTGTCGCCCCCGGACGAAAGTTCAAGCTTTAAGGCGGGCAGCATACTTGTAAGACGTCGCCGAAAGATCAGGAGCTGGGGCAGGTCTGATGATCGAGCACAAGGAAAGCTGGTCGGGTGCGGGTGGCATGGCTTATAAGATGGTCGAGTGGCACAGAGTGAGTAGCTGCCACTGGTAGAGTTGCCAGCAGGAGCGGCAGTCTGCCGCGGTACGCGTACGACCATGCCACCCGGAAACACCCGGACGACTTGGAAACGCCCACAGGCCACAGACGCCTGTTGAACAAACGACGATGCGCAACTCCCTTCGTGGCACACTCATTCTCCCCGCGACCAAAGCGCATTGCGGACTGCCACTGGGAGGCTAGGTGAGATCTGGGCCACCGGGAAAGCGGTGAGAATATTAACGTACCCCCGTACCTGTGGACGCGCGGCCACACGAGCGGCAACTTTGTGGCACCTTCAAGTTCGTGGCACCATGGTCGGTGTCTTGGAGGAGTGTCGTCTCGCCCGTGCACCAGGCAGACAATGGCTATGCACCACGCCGCTCCCATGGAAGTCTATAAAATACCCTGCAGCCATGGATGGCCTCAGCAACTCACCTCTGATCACCTCCCCAGCCTTGCGAGATGAATCCGAATACGCCCATTCAGCCTCACTCTTCCGCTCAGGATAGTCAGGGAAACCCATCTGGCTACCCACTTGCACCCACTCGGCTCGAAAATCCTTCCACTGGCTCGGCCGGGCCTAGCAATTTACCCCAGGGTCCATACGTCAACCAGGAGCTGAATGCGAGCTTGTATGTGAAGCCCGCATCGAGATCTTTCTGTGTCGCTGACCGTGATTTGTTAGTTATCGCCCTTTGTATGGCACAGCCGAAACTACAGGCGCACGTACTGTTCCACTGCGACCCGTCGTAGCCTCGGGGTCGTTCGCCCCGGGAGCGGCTCCTGCGAACAACCCAGGCGCATTCCCTGCCCCACAGGGCAGCACTTCCACCGCCACCGCCACCCAGGCCCCACCCCCGAACGACAACGAAGACAACGACGACGCCGCCGCGTGGAAGTGCCCGCACTGCACCTACGTCCAGCGCAACCACCGCCACCAGGAGCTCCGCCGGCACATCCGCACGCACGCCGAGCCGACCGCGGCGGGCGAGCCGTTCTGGATATGCTGCGGGGTGCCCCTCGCGGAGGCCGCGGCGCGCGGGGTGCCGCTGGAGATCATCGCCGAGATACCGTTCGTGTACAACGGCCGGCAGTTCGTGGGCGGGTGCAGGAGGATGTTCAGCCGGCGCGACGCGCTGGCGAGGCACCTGCGGAGGTTTGAGACTTTCTGCTATGGGGACCAGTATGGGCAGTGGCTGCGGGGTAACCAGGAGGGGACGCGGTGAACAAGCACATGGCGGGTTTTCTAAATATCGTGGACGTTCGTAAAATGACTCTAGTGACAATGGCGTACAGCCTCAATGACTTACTTGTACTGCTTCAACGGGCCATGCTCGCGCGGCTTGCTATTTTCTGAATGTACTCTATACGTACGCACATCTAAGAACGAGGACTATATACAACCGTGTAAACCCTAAAACCCAATATATCAGCCTAATCATCCTCTCCTCTGTAACACGCCCGGAAGCCACTGGGTTGCGAAAAGACCTATGATCGAGATAGCGCACAGCACCCAGTATCCAAGTGTCCCTCCAGCCAGATGGTGTTCTAGCGTCACGGAGAACAACGAGGATGCGAGTGACGGCCCAATAGCGCGGATGATCGAACACGTCGTCTGAGCGAGGCCGTTCGTGAGCCCAAGCGCCCTCTGGTTGGGTGCCGCGTCGCTGATGTCGAGAAAGACGCAACCTAATACACGACATGGTCAGTGCACATTCTGAACTGTTAGATGTACATACTCACCCCAGCTCATGTACGACACGACGTACGCGGCATACTGCAGCACCACGAGCGCCCATGTCACCGCGCCCACGCCACCCGCCCTCTTCGTCACAAAGCTCTCCAGCGGGAACAACGCAAACACCATGACGTACATCACGTACGTGTTGATATACAACTTCCGCGCGCCAAACGTGCGGTGGAACCACGGGAACGTGAAGATCTGGATGAGCCCGCCGACGCACCCGCCAACGCCTTGCACGAGCCCAATCGTAAACGGGGCGAAGCCGAGCCCGCCGAGCGCGATGCTCGTGGAGTACATGAGCGGGACGAGCACGGTAATGGACTGGTCAAGGAGCGTGAGGAAGGCGTAGTTCAGGATAGCCCAGAGGACGCGCGGGACGAGGATGGAGCGGAAGCCCACGGCGGGAGCGTCGCGGTCCGTGACGGCAACAGCGACTTCGTTTACGGCCACAGCAGGATCTTTCTCGACGGCTTTTGTAGACGATTGGCCGGGTGTAGATTCGTTGAGCTTTTCGATATCTGTCGGCGCCGGCGCCGGCACATCGTGTTTCTTCCGCGGCTGCCTAGGCAGTGTCTGCAGAAATATCAGCAATAATTGAGCCGCGGACAGCTGCTACTGCTCACCTCCTTCAGGCCAATCGCAGCCAGCACGAATGCGCTGATCGAAATGCTCGCCGCGATCACACAAGGCAAGAAATACGGATAAGTCTTCCAAAACGCAGACTCCCGGAAACCAGGCCACCGATCCGCCGGGCGCGCAAACACGCCCCCAATGATCGGCCTGCCACCACGCATCAGCACCTCTCCTCAACGCCCACCCCGCGGCACGGACACTGCAGTGCACTCACCCAAGCGTCCCCCCAACCTGCCACGACATCGGGAAGAACGCGAACGCCTGCACGCGGTTCGTGTGGTCCGTGATCTCCGCCATCATGCTCTTCGTGACGCCGATGTTCCCGTTCAGCGCGCCCTCCGCGCAGCGGCTGAGGACGAGCGCCCAGTACGCGCGCGACACGCCGAACCCGAGCATCGACAGCGTGAGCCCGAGCAGGCCCCCGAGCAGCACGGGCTTGCGCCCGATGTGGTCTGACGCGCGGCCCCATTGCAGCACGCAGACGGCCTCTACTGCGTAGAAGCACGATTCCTGCGATGAGGGTTGGGGCGGTAAGCGATGTGCATGGGCACGCGGAGCGGATATGGGGCGAGCGTACGATGAGCCCGGCGAAGTAGCCGGTTTTGCGCTCGTCGCCGCCGGTGATGCCGGTCTCGCGCACGAGTTGGTTGACGAATGGGTAGATGACCGTCGAGGTGATTGGCTCGGCGAGCTGGAGGTAAAGCAGGATGAAGAGCTGTAATTTGGGGAGCGGTGTGGCCGCGACCTCGACATCAGGAGCATCAACAGGATTCAGTCCTGGAGGCGTCTCCCTTGGGGCCTCGTCGCAAGAGGGAGCTGGGAGAATAGGGCGATTTTCTGTCTCGATCATGGAATGTAGCACCGGGGCGTTGGTTTCGAGGAAGAGCTTGCTACACGGGCCCGTAGGCCTTTTGACCGAGACAAAACAGATGCATTTTCAACGCACCACGGTAACCTCAAGTACGTACACAACCGGTCCGTACGCTTAGATCGTCTTGCGCTCGGTCAGAATTTAAGCATGTTCTTCCGGAAGACACAACACTCACGCCTGCCCGCCTGACCACTTTGTTAGGAAAACATAGACCTTCCGCGTGGTGACTTGTGCACGCAAATCGCACGTACTATAAAATTGGATACGTAAGTATCACTTCATCCATACGTGGGAGGAACAGTGCTCATCGAGCGATATACATCTAGACTCTGTTGGCGATTATCCTGTATTGACTACGTCCCTAGGATGAATGCTGATTGGCAGGTCAGTTGTATCAGATCGGCATTCTTCACACGCTGATTCAAACGGAGGACACATACGGATATTTTTCAATTGCGCGAGATGGCGTATCCTTCGTGGAAGGTCTGTCCAAGCAAAAGCGACCCACGTGGCGGAATATATTCGTTAAATCAGCGTGCTCTGAGACGGGTGGTGTAATGTATAAGCCATCCAGCAACTGAGGGTCTATGGGGGTCTATGGGCTTACCATTATATATGACCGAGTCAACGATACGATTTGTTAATCTATCCGAGCTATCGGACTAGTACTGCTTGCGTGGTTGCTAATACATCGGGGACCGTGAGCTCGACTTCATGCAAAAGCAGCACCTTCCACAACAAGGAAATCCGAACCAAGGTCTGGTCGCAGTGCATCAACTCGCCGCGACGGCCGATCACCTTGAGTGGTAATGCTAGCATATCCTGGTCTGCCAGCTCTTTTGGGACTCGCAGATATACGGCGTGCGGATATCTATCAGGAGGCCGGTAGGTCCGCGTGAATGCAGTCTGGGAGGTAAGCGACGCCGCATACAAGCGGAGGTTGTATCGATAACGTACTGCGACATGTGCTTCGGTACTGAAAGTCTTGCCGGGACCTCAAGTTCATCCGGCGTGGTTCCCGTTGGTGACAGCATCTGCGAAATCAGAATGGCGGGCGGTACATGTCCCGCCGGCGACTCGTAATCGGAAGGGGGCGGCGGTGGAACAAACGTCGTTGAACGTCCCCCCGCTGGCATCATCAGGCAGAACAATTCCTTGCAAGTTGACGCAGCTGGAGATGATGGACGGCGACAAAGCAAGGATGTCAGGATCAGATCTAGTGCATACAAACCACCCGGGAGTCCTTGACGGACTCGTGAAGAGAAGCACTTTAGTGCGAGTGGCAGTGGCACGCCCGTTAGACGCCGGAAGCGAGAGAGAGGTCATCGTGGGAAGATTGCCGCTCTTTGGCGTTCGACCCTGCTCGACCCGCCCGTGGACGTCTGCTTGCTTTCTGCGACGATCCGGCGTACAGACAGGCTCCCGCGTGCATTTGGAAGACCAACAAAGGTTGCCGTAGATGCTCTTCCAGGGCTCCGATATATATCTGCCCGCCATGCATCCCTATGACCCGACAACAATCCCCCATCTCTTGTTGAATCCGCGAGATGGACGCCTCTCCCACCTCCGACGCTCAGCCGTTCCTCCCGGAGGACTTTGAAAGTCTACATAACGGCTCGTGCGTATCCGTGGAGGGTGCCCGTAAAACGCCAGATGGGTTCGGTTATGATGCTACCCCGGAGGAAGTGCAACTTCTCCGGGCGGCATACCCGGACTATGAACGTAACTGGGCCGAGCACTTGTGAGTGCACATTATCGTGTTCCTTATTATACGTTTATAGACCGCATTCTAGGTTAAGTACCCAGCCACTGTACCAGCACGTCGCTGAGGGTGACCTATCCCTCGCCCCGCGGTCAGCGCCCGCGCCGCTCCCATCTGAAGCGGCGGCACTCCATCACTACTATACGAACGAGTCCGGTGCATCCGCCGTTCCACAGGGCAAGGGCGCGTGCAACTGCTTCGAATGCTGGCTTGCCATCGACATCGAACGCAACCGGGCCCTTCATGCTTCTCCCTACGGTCCCCTCTCCGACACGTTGCCACCGATGTATGCGGGCATGCCGAACATGGGACATGCAAACTCACCCTCTCTTCTACAAGGCACATCGGCGTGGACGCCATCACCTCCATCCCTTTTCCCGCAGCAATACCACGCCACCGCCCGTGAGCTCTCCCTAGCCCAGGCGAGGCTGCCTTACATGATCGCCCCACCGCCTTCGTCCACAGTGCTGGACACGGCCCAGCACAGCAGAGAGGGCTCATTCTCGGGCCTGTCTATCGAGGAGGATGCCTCGAGTCCCACTCCCTCTCAGGCTCTTGCAACATTCACGCGTGGCACTCGCGCGGCATTTCCCTCCCCTTACTCCGTCTCCTCATCTGCCTCCTCAGCCGCTTCCTCGACTGCACCCTCTTCCCCGTCACCCCGCGCCCGCAAAAATCCCCGCTCTCGCCCCTCATCCTCCCACTCATCCTCGAGCGCTTCCGACGGCCTCCAGTCGAAGTGCCCGGAATGCGACTGCGTCGTCGGCCGCCCCCAGGAGCTCCGCCGGCACCTCAAGACGCATGAACCCAAGAACGGCGAGCCGCGCTGGCCCTGCTGCGGAGTCCCTCTGGAAGACGCCGCAGAACGCGGTGTGCCCGTGGGAGGCACGCCGTTCGCGTACAACGGCATGCAGTTCGTGGGCGGATGCGGGAAGCCGCTCTGCAGGCGCGACGCGCTTGCGAGACACCTTAAGAGGAAGGGAAAGGGAAAGGAGCGTCTTTGCCATGGGGATCCGTACGGATGGTATTTGCGGGGTAACCAGGAGACGCGGTGACTGGATAACTCCTGCGGCCGGACTTTAACTTGTACATTTACAACATGTAGTACTATATGCGGTCGTGCTACATACAGTCTACCTTACTCTTTTCTCACTTACTATCCGTCGCGAACCGTTCTCTTTTCTCCACCTGGCCTCCCCCGTTCCCAACCTCACCAGAGTCACCACGCACTTCAAGAGGCGCCTAGCATTTACTTTCTCTTCCCGATACCACCATCTCGAGTTCCCGCTATCGCTCCGCAGAAGTCAGCGTATCTCATGGATGAGTGCAGACGCACTTCCCAGACGAAATCGTTTCATCGTATCACTTCGGTGTTGACTGAGCGGCGCCGCGGCTCACGTATCCTAGTGCCGCTGAGTTCGCGGGACGCGTGCCCTAGCGCTCCGACTTGCGCAACAGAATCTACTTACAGTCAGGTATGTACTGTCTCCGAACATATTGGGCACTGTATTCACATAGCCACGGGGCCTATCTAACCTGACGGTATCTGAAGTATGACGTGATAGATGTTGACGAAGTTGATGTCCTTACCGAAGCCGGGATGGCACACATCGTCACGACGACACTTTTTACGACCACTATCAACTCTTAACTGCTCTCAGTACTGGCCAGAATTTCATTTAGATCATGTTGCAACCCACTAAGCTCCACAATGGAGCCGCCGACGATTTGGGTCTTGAGCAGTGAGTGTCCAGACAATACTTATACCGTCATCGCGGAAGGTTCACATGTATCATGAGCGGTCGCACACTTCTCCCTTCAGACCACAGACTGTCTCACACTCCCGTGATGCGGAGAGACGATACATTGGCGTGCTACACCACTGCGACAGTCACGCCATTTTTGGCACTGGCCATCAATATCTGCGGCTTCTGTGAGTTCTTATGTTAACAGTTGGCTTCGACGATTATCTGCAGCTGCCAGAGCTTCCACGACCATCTGTGATATAACTATCCAATTGCTGACATACGGGACAGCCCCATCTTGATTGTCCCCGCTGATGCTTCCCAGCCCCTCTATATGTATACTGACATCTGAACATGCATGTACGATGATTCTACCATTCTCGACTCTCGACTCATTCATGTACCCGCAGACCTTACTTGCTCATCTGGCATGGACATCGACCTGACCTTCGGCGCATTCCTGGTCGGGACGCTGGTGGGGTTAATGTAAGCCGGTTTTGGTCTCTCCGTCTCGTCAAAGCGTTGATCAGAACCCTACATGCAGGCTGTATGGGATGACTATCCTTCAGATATATCACTATTGTCGAACATATTCGGATGACACTGTAACGAATAAAGTCTTGGTACGCTGCCTCATCAGGGTCCGATGACACTGTTGTGACTATGACGGTTTTGGCGGAAGGTTTTTGCAGTAGCGTATGCCTTTGCGTCTCACTGGTCTGTAAAGCCACTGCCACTGACTCGATCCTGCTAGGACGCTCGAGACCTTCCATACAGTTGCGTGCGCGCACGTGTGGTAAGCGGCGTACTTCGCATAACATATCAGCAATAGGTTCTAACCCGTCGCTGTGGTGCAGTTACTTCTATCTCGTTACAAGCTATCCGAATCCCAAGGCCCTTTCCCTCGGCGTCTGGTGAGAAACTTACTACATTTATACGTGGTACATGACCGGTTGCTGACTTAGGAACGCCATTCAATTACAAGGTCTATCGACGTAAGTGAGGGCGTGATATATTGGTCCGTTCATCCTGAACTTAACCAACAGATTGCCGTTGGACTTACGGTATGGCCATTCTATACGCTTCCCCCGATCAATTACGATTTTCTCATTCGTACAGGGCATGATTGTCGTACTGAGCCAAAGGTCAGCAGCCTTAGCATACAGGCTTGACTTGGGCTCCATCATTTCTAACCTTGCTCTCCTATAGTTTCTTCGCGCGTCGGGTTTATTTAGGTATGTGTCGCTCCGGATCACTCGTAGATGAGTGCACAATGCTCACTAGAGTTTATTAGTCGGGCCCTCTTTCCGTTTTTTAGTTCTCGTCGCTGTAAGCTTTACTTATACGCATAGTGGCCCTGCATCTAATTGCACATGTAGGTCGTCCTACTTGTCGGAGAGCTTGGTACACCTAGAAACTCCTCTGCTGCTTCTGTCTGTCGCTCATGATATGATGCGCGCAGGATTCTTTGTTGGTGCGTATGGAAAGTCTCCCTCGCGAAACTGATGCTAACGTTGATTTTTCTCAGCGGCAACCACCGAGGCGTATGCAGTTCTATACCCGCGGCTCGGTTCAACACTTATGGTCTCGCCATAGATTCGTAATACCGGAGCTCTTTCGTTTCCAGAGGGTCACGGTGCGAAATTTGCCAGATCGCAACGAGATCCTGCCACTGACCGAGGACTGCATTCTTTTCAGTGGCTGATATCTACCGGGACTGTGATGGCTGTTGTGGCAGATGGCCTCTTGACGAGCGTCCTCGTCACCGTTCTGAGACGGAGCAACACTGGGATGAAGCGGTACACTCTACGTGCGTTAATCAGACTCGACGCAGCTGACGGTCATTGAATCAGTACGGACACCATCGTTGATCTCCTCATCCTGTACACGGTCAGCACTGGTACGTCCCGTCCTTCTCGCGAGAAAGTGGCAAAAGCGCTGACGCGAGCCGCACAGGTTTGTTGACAAGGTTTCTCTCTCCATTTGTGTGACGACGACATCCTCACCATTCTCTTGGATGCAGCGTGGTGGACTTCTCATCCTTCATCTTCGTGCGTGATCTTGATCCTTCTAAGACCCGTACTCTAAACCATCGATCTCTCAGTCGCTTGTGAGCACAAATACGCTCATTTACAGCGCGTTCGGAATCGTGGCCACGAAATGTATGCTCTGTCTTCACTTTGTAGTACGAGCACTAACATAGTTGCCGCTGCCCATGTAGTATATGCGAACTCGCTCCTCGCTGCGTTAGTACCCCCAGACTCCACGTGCCCTCCTTCCCGTCTAATATTTTCGTAGCCTAAACTCGCGAAAGTACCTCGCTGAGCGCGCCGCAGCGGACATATTCTCATGCTCCATAATCAATGTGGAGGCTACGCGGGAACTGCCTGGGTCGGGCCAGTTCGCGCGAGCCCTGCCTACCATTTTTCGCTTGTCAACGATAATTGCTCAGGTCAGCCCGAATTATGTAGCCGGATCGAGTTAAACCTCAGCTGACCGCCTTGGAGACGCCATTCGCTTCCCCGACGTTCCCACCAACTCCGCGAGAGAATGGTTTCCCGGTAGCCTAGATGGACACCGCTGAGCCTGCTGTCAGCGATTACGCTCCGCTCCGCAGCGCGGCTTGCCAGTGTACTCTGTCTGTAGTAATTCGCCTCCCACTTGCGCTCTACTCACCGACTAGTGACTGTCATATCATTGTGATCGTAGTTGTACAGGTAACCACCGTGTCGACGCAATGCCCATTACGACCACACCGCAGAACACCCAATAAACCAACGTCCCGCCAGCGATGTTGCCTTCCAGCGACGCCGCGAACAGCGAAGATGCCGCAGATGGCGCGACCGCGCACACGGTGGACACGGTAGTTTGCCCCAGTCCGTTCGTAAGTCCTAGTGCACGCTCGTTTGGCGCCGCGTCGGTGATGTAGATGAAGATGCACCCTATGAAGAATCATCGTGAGCTGCCGTACGTCCGTGCTGTGCATACAGTGGATGCTCCTACCCCATGTCATACTGGCTAGCGCGTACGCAACGAATTGCACGACGATGACCACCCACGTCCCTACACCTACCTCTCCACTGCGTCTCGCGAGGAACGCCATCAGCGGGAATGCGGCGAAGACGACGATGAAGCACGCGTAGGACGCCGTGTATAGCCTCTTCGTGCCAAATCTGCGCTCCATCCAGGGCAGCGTCACGATCTGGAGCACGCCGCCCATGAAGCCCGCGACGCCCTGGATGACCCCGATGGTGAAAGAGTCCATGCCGAGTCCGCCGGCGGATATGTTCGTCGAGTACATCAGCGGTACGAGCACGACGATCGCCTGGTCCGTAAACGCGAGGAAACCGAAGTTCAGCATCACGAGTAGCACGCGCGGGACTAGTATGGACCGGAGTCCTGGCTGTGCGTACGCGTCCTCGTCAACCTGAGAGACTGCCTCGATGACCTCGTCGTTTGGGGTTTTCTCATCCTTGTCCTCAACACGGGGATACGTTCGATTTGGTGTCCAGGACCGGGTGACTTCTTGGATTACCGGTGTGGAGCGTTCGACGTCGGCGGTATCGGGCTCAGCATGTACTTGGGAGGGCATTATCTCTGCTGGTCTCTCCTTGGAAAGCCGTGACCGAGGCTTCAAGGTCTGTTGTATGAAATTTCAGTTAGCATGCCGAGGCTATCTCGTGGGCCTTCGCTGACCTCTTTGAGACCTAGCGTAGAAAGAACGAAGGTGCACATGATAAGGCTCGCCACCGTGATACATGGAAGGAAGTACGGGTACACTTTCCAGAAGGCAAAGGGATGCATCGCACGCCGCCAACGATCTGCAGGTCGCGCAAGCACACCACCCACAATAGGTCTGACGAGCGCACAATCAGCGACCAAGGCGGCTACGACGAGGAAGGCTGCTCACCCTATAGTCCCTCCCACAGTCCATATGAGGTGTATGAACGCGAACCCCCTTGCGCGGTTGGTCTCGTCCGTGATTTCCGCCATCGCGCTCTTCGTAACACCGATGTTCCCGTTCAGAAGGCCTTGCGCGCACCTACTCAGGATGAGAGCCCAGTAGCGCCGCGAGAAGCCGAAGCCGACCATGGAGAGCGTCTGACCGAGCAGCCCGCCGAGCAGGATGGGCTTTCTACCAATCCTGTCTGACGCCCGGCCCCATTGGAGAATGCAGACCGCTTCTGTCACGTAGAATAAGGACTCCTGCGATAACGCGGTGAGTTGAGCAGGGAGGTAAACTCAGAACCCGAAGAGAGAACTCACGATGAGGCCGGCGAAGTATCCGGTCTTGCGCTCGTCCCCACCAGTCACGCCTGTCTCCCGTACGAGCTGGTTGACGAACGGGAGAATGACCGTAGACGAAATTGGTTCGGCCATCATCGTCAGGAGCAGCAGCGTGAGCTGCATTCTGGGAAGGGGTGTCTCTCCCGCAGGCCTCGAATCTGCGTTTTGCGTTTGCCGGTCTTCTGGTGCAAGGGCAGCTCGAATAGTTGACGGCAGTGCCGACTCACACCGGGTATTGCGGCCTGCCTCGATCTCCTCCGAGCCCTGTGTGTCTGAAGGTGTTGCCATAGCTCCGTTTTGTAGTGTTATGCACAGGATTCGCTGGAATGGCGGAGGGGTGACTGTGAGCTCGCGCTATCGACGCCGAACGCATATGAACGCAATCTGGTCTGCGGTGAGTCAGGATTCAGAGAGAGTCATCCACTCGATATCCCCATCATCATGTGCACGCGGGGTTCAACTACCCATATTGAGAGCATGTGCATCCCGCCCTTCTGTCAACGAATTTCCCAAAGTCAGTCAATGAGCCAGTCATCGTTTCAGTGGTCAAGATGACGTACCTCATGCCCCCAGGCCGCGTGGTGTTTTATAAGGAGCGATACGTGCAGCGTGTTTTAAACTAGGAATCACCGCTCTGCGATCACGCCACGAAGTCTCCGCCGTGTTTCCAAATGCGCGAAGATCTGGTACATATACTTCTCATCATATCGCAATGGCGAGCCGGAGCTGCGGAGGCTTGTATCGAACATGGAGAGCACGGCGACTTAAGCTTGAAGTTCTATACGCATCTATGACGCTCCTGAGATAACAATACAAAATTTGCTGAATATGCCAAACGTCATCTGATCCTACTTCGCACCTTCCATACGTAACGTGGCGGGAAGCCACCGCGTCGCAACGAGGCCCGCGAGCGTAATACCGCACAGCACCCAGTAGACGAGCGTGCCCGCCGCCAGACGATGCTGCAGGGTCACCGCGAAGAGGGACGAAGCGAGAGATGGCGCGATGGCGCGGACAGTGGACGCCGTGGTCTGTGCGAGGCCATTGGTCAGCCCGAGGGCCTTTTTGTTCGGGGCTGCATCGCTAATGTAGATGAAGATGCAGCCTGCAGCGCGGCGTAATCAGCACACCATCCGACTCGAGCTAAGGACACGGACGCAGTGACTTACCCCAGGTCATATAGGACGCGACATAGACGACGTACTGGACAACGACCAGCGCCCAGGTTGCCGCAGCCGCCTCGCCTGCGCGCTTCGTCACGAAGCTGTTCAGCGGGAACAGCGCGAAGATGACGAAGTACATCGAGTAGGAGCAGATGTACAGCTTCTTTGAGCCAAGCTTGCGGTGCATGTACGGGAATGTGAAGATCTGGATGATCCCGCCGACAAACCCGCCGACGCCTTGGATGATACCGATGGTGAATGGGTCGAAGCCGAGGCCCCCGATGTCGATGCTGGTGGAATACATGAGGGGAACGAGCACGGTGACGGATTGGTCGATGAGGGCCAGGAAGCCATAGTTGAGTATGGGATACAGAACTCGAGGAACCATGATGGAAGGAAGTCCCACAGGGCCTTCGTCCTGAGCAACGGCGCTGGCGCTGAGGTCGTTTGGGACCACTGGTTGGACCGGCGATGCAACTAGCTCTACCGCTTGGGCAGTAGCACAATCGAGACGTGGCACCTCAGCCACGTCCACGCACGTGCTTACTTTGTCTTGCTCGGTAGGAGACGTCTTCTCTAAATCTATTGGTGCCGGTTCTGGATCCTTGCTTTGGAGGTGAGGGTGTCTAGGTAGCGTCTGCATGCCGTTAGTCGCACCCTTCGCCGAGCAGACTTCATCGCTCACCTCTTTGAGCCCAATTGACGCAAGGACAAACGCGCTGACAGATATACAGGCCACGATGATGCAAGGCAGGAAGTACGGGTAACTCCTCCAGAACGCCGAGTCCCGAAATCCAGGCCAGCGGTCCGCAGGGCGCGCAAACACGCCTCCAATAACAGGTCTGCACCCGAATTTCCACTGTGAGCCTGGCCCCATCTCAAGCACACACGTTCAACCACACTCACCCAAGCGTCCCGCCAACCGACCATATCATGGGCAAGAACGCGAACCCCCGCGCGCGGTTCGTGTGGTCCGTGATCTCTGCCATCATGCTCTTCGTGACGCCGATGTTCCCGTTCAGCGCGCCCTCCGCGCAGCGGCTGAGCACGATCGCCCAGTATTGCCGCGACACCCCAAATCCGAGCATGGAGACCGTGAGGCCGAGCGCGCCCCCGAGGAGGACGGGTTTGCGCCCGATGCGGTCGGAGAGGCGTCCCCATTGCAGCACGCATATCGCCTCTACCGCGTAGAAGCACGATTCCTACGACAATGACCGGGGCAGTGAGCGACTTCTCTGGACGGCAGACGAGTCGACATCGACATACTATGAGTCCGGCGAAATAGCCCGTTTTGCGCTCGTCGCCCCCGGTGATACCGGTCTCGCGCACGAGCTGGTTGACGAATGGATAGATGACTGTGGAGGTGATGGGTTCGGCGAGTTGGAGGTATAGCAGGATGAAGAGCTGTAGTTTTGGGAGCGGGGTCTCCTCGACGCCCGGGTCAGAGGCATCAACAAGACTCGAGGGGATGGCCTCGCTCGAAAGCTCTGTATGGGGGGCATCCCCGGAGACAACAGGGAGGTGTTCTATCTCGGCCATGGCAAATTGCACAACCACTGGATTCGGGGACGCGGTCTCTTGTATGCGCCCTGCGGGTAGCCCGACACAGTTTCGGTGTATCTCAAGTACGTACAGCACCGGCCGCCCTGGAACCAATTCGATTCAGCCGCAATCTTCGCATGTCCTTCTGGAAGACAGAAACACTCACGTCTGCCGCACCTGATCGCGGAGTTTCGCAAGCACCTGCTCCCTGCACGGTGTCTTTCGTATGCTGTGGGGAAGACAAATGGCGAAATTTGTCAAGCGCGCTACGTAAAGAATGACTCGGGCGTATAACCAAAACATGAGGTCTTCTCAAAGAGCATGTCTGGCGCGCCTCCACGGCCTACCGTCGATCACAGGCGTTCGCGGAGCCAATGCCGATCTCGAAGACTCAGGTTCGGCGAGTATGGGAGTCTGACAACCCAAGTTCGAACTCTTCTTTGGCGCGTTACGCGAAGCCGCACAACTTCTTCGGACTGCGGCCAGGGTCGGGAGTACTCACGAAAGCCACCTCATTCGGCAGAGATGATCATCGCAAGAAAAAAAGGGAGGGTTCCACCACATTAGATCGTCGTTAACTATAGAACACCAAGGATCCAATGTGCACCGAGCCAGTGCTTTTGTATACGCTCGGCAACGTACGAGGCATGTCCTCGCGCTTACGACGAGCTGTCGGGGCGCAGCGAACGGACAACCTTGCCTGCAAAAGACAATCAATACACGGGCGTTAGGGTTGGGGTAAATTCCGGACGTACCAGCTCTCCAGATCTCCTGCTCGTCAATCTCCTTAAGCTCCTTCGCGAGGTCCTCACGGTACGTCGACCGGCCGTTGAACTCGAGGCTGCGGCGCGTCTCCGAGCCGTTCTTTACGCTCTCATAGAGGCGCTCGAAGACGGGGAGGTTGGTCTCCTCGAAGACCTTAGCCCAGTCAAGGGCACCACGACGCGCGGTGGTAGAGCACGCGTTGTACATGTAGTCCATGCTGAATTATTTTTAGATAACCAATTACGACCGTCGAGGTTAAGTGTACTCACCCGTACTGGCCAACGAGGGGGTAGAGGGACTGGGTGGCCTCCTCGACGGTCTCGTTGAACGCCTCCGACGGGGAGTGGCCGTTCTTGCGGAGGACCTTGTACTGGGCAAGGAAAAGACCCTGGATGGCGCCCATCAACTGTTCACGAAAGTGAGCACAACATACACAGCAAACGCAGCTGCATAACTTACGACACCACGCTCGCCATAGAGGTCCGAGTACACCTCCTTCTCGAAGGTGGTCTCGTACATGTAGCCGGAGCCAATGGCAACACCGATGGCGACAGCCTTCTCCTTGGCCTTGCCGGTGACGTCCTGCCAGACGGCGACGGACGAGTTGATACCGCGGCCCTCCTTGAAGAGCGTGCGGACGGTGCGACCAGAGCCCTTGGGCGCGACGAGGATGACGTCGACGTCCTTGGGGGGAATGACGTGCGTGTCGTCCTTGTACACGACCGAGAAGCCATGGGAGAAGTAGAGAGTCTTGCCCTTGGTGATCAGGGGCGCGATGGTGGGCCACGTCTGGGACTGCGCGGCGTCGGAGAGCAGGTTCATGACGATCGTGCCGCGGTTGATGGCCTCCTCAATGGGGAAGAGAGTCTTGCCGGGCACCCAGCCGTCCTCAATCGCCTGCTTCCAGCTCTCACCACCCTCACGGACACCGACAATGACGTTGATGCCGTTGTCGCGGGCGTTGAGGCCCTGTCCGTGGCCCTGCGAACCGTAGCCGATGAGGGCGAGGGTGTCGTTCTTGAAGTAGTCCTGGAGCTTGGCGAGCGGCCAGTCACTGCGCTCGTAGACAACCTCCTCGGTGCCAGCGAAGTTGAGGGTCTTCACACCACGGGTAGCCTGCGATAGACCAACGCAACAAACATGTTGAGTCACACCGAAGCAAGTTTAAACACGCTATACACGTACCATGACAGCAGCGCGGGGAGCGGCGCTGGCGACGGCGGCACCGCGCGCGAGCACGGAGTACGCGGCAGCCTGCGCGGGCCTCGCAGAGACCTTTGCGGCGGCGCGGGGCGCACGACGAGCAGCAGTGCGGGCAGCACGAATGGCGAGGGAGGACATGGTGGATGGAAGAAACAGAGCCAGACCGTGACTCGGATGGCGTTATAGCTCTTTTTTTAGACGCCCGCCCTCAAATATATTTGACTCGCAAATGGGCGCTTATGGGAGATCCTTCAGCACGTTTATGGTCGTGCCGCCGGTCCCCCAGCCTTTTCCCCGCAGTCTGTGCATCATCCCGAAGATATTCCCCAGAGCGCAGGCGTAGCAGAACTAGTTCATTCAGGACTTGGTATACTGCGGCGGACATTATAATTCTCAAAGAACAGAGGCGTTCACTGTTTGCATGGTCTCACGCGAAGTTTGGAGAAGCATTTGTCGTCTCGGAAGCAGAAGGCACCGCCGAGACATGTGAGAGCTGATGTGCAAACGTGTCAAGGATAGGCGGATATTATAATGTGGATAATGTAAAGCCGTCCTCGTGGATGCAGCACCCGCTCCTAAAGCAGTGACGCGATCGACATGGTCGCTAGCACAATTCCCCCAAGAGAGAACAGTGCGATCGGGCTAAGCCAAGGGGAAGGTGCCCCAGACGAGCCGGTGGTAGTAGCACTGCGTGTGAGATACGCGCAATTAGATTCGGCAACTTAGTCTGCGAATAGGACCTACTCTGGAGCGTTTGCAGACCCTGTACCCGATGACCCCACAGAAGACGAGCTTGAAGTGGTCGTAGAGGTCGCATTTCCAACCGATGCACTTGAGTTGAACGCGCGGGTAGTGTTAGCCTGTAGTGCCCACTGAATGCCTCCCATTACGTGGGCCATGAAGAGGTCGTCCTACGGGGAGCGGGTGAGCTAGGTATATACGCCAAAGCAGGTTCCCACTGACGTGCCAAGTCTCGTTTAAATGTCCGAGGCTCGTGTAGAAACTACGGCCACCAGTGCCATTGCTCTCGACACCTGCACCGTGTTCCTGGAACCACGCTACGGGGACCATCAATATTTAGCCGCAGTGCAGGAGGGTCTGTCGTACCAGTAGGATGAGGTGTGCCCTGGTCAAAATTCCTGGGGCCGGGGTCTGACCGGCATCAGCAAGAGCAGTTTCAGCATTATGCCAACCAAGACGAACCTGTGTAACTTGACTCGTCCGCTGACAGGATGACCACAGCACCCACGCTGCGCGGGTCTGACTTGAAGTTGTACCTGCTCAATGTTAAGTGTACATATCCGTTACATGCACTGCGGTAGACATACATCTCATCCTGCACCGCCCATGCTGTCGGAAGCATGCTTGTGCTTGGGTGCGAAGGCCCGACGACATCCACAGTCTGTCGCCGCACATTCAATGAGTACTGTCCCTCATACAGCGTGCCGCGAGACTCACCGCGTTCTGTAGTTCGGGGTGGTAGTCGAAGGCAGCGCCTTCGAAGCATACGGTCTAGTCTGCGTTTCACATTACGGTGCGCAAGTCTCACCTAGCTCCTTTTGAAAGAACGTGGTGTTGCGTAGACAATCAGACGCAGAGTGAATCCCGATGAAGTTCCCGCCGAGGTCTAAGTATTTCTGAAATGCAGCCTTGCCAGCGTCGTCCAAAACTAAGTTGTGCGCGCTGGGATGAGCGCTCCTCCGCCGTAGTGTTCGGGACAGCCCCGCAGATCTGGATCCGTACCACTCACCTTCTCCAGTGTTACTCAAGAACACGAGTGCATCGTATTGCTGCAGTCTGTCGTCCGTGAACCACGTTTGGTCCTCAGTATGGTCGAAAGTAATGTTCGCCGCAGGACCATGGGCAACGAGTGCGTCGACCGCAGTAGGAATGGAGTCGTGTCGAAAGTCGCGTGTGGCCGAGTAGATCAAAATGCGCGCAACGCTAGACTGGGCTGCGGCCTCCGACATAGTGCTGAGTATCACCGCGGCAGCAGCGAGAGCAACAGAGGACGTTCTCATGGTTAAACCTCGAGGACGGTAGTAGTCGTTCTGCTAAAGGTGGACCGTCGCGACGCCACCGACGTTTCCCACCAGGCGCTAAAAGCAGAGCATCCGGACCGGCTTCCCGACGCCCGAACATCGCGGAAACATACGCAGTTCGAGCCGTCCACACGCTAGGATCCTCATTGTTAGCGCGCAAGTAAACCCCGTCGATTCACCAAGTTATCGGAACATATACCACCCAGCCCTTACAGGAAAAATACCGACGCGTATACAAGCTATCATATCGTTCAATAGTTCTGCATGCCGCGGCGCCATACGAATACAATGTTTTTACCAGTCGTGAAACGTTCTCATGGGAGAAGGAGCCATCGCGCCAAGAGTTGAGGGAAGTTCGGTGTCCCGAGACCAGTGACCGGGTCCCAACCAGGTTGAGCAGGGAAGCCATCGGTACCGCAGCCTGGATTGCTGCCGCTGGTGATGTCGTTGAAGGCGCCCTTGAACACGCTCGAGTATATCTGTAACATAGCGGGGTAAGGGCCTCAGAGAGTAGATATAACCTCAAGAGACATACCGAAGGGTTGATGAAGCCAATGGGCTTCTTCCCGATCGCAAGACGGGCGTCGTTGACGGCAGAAAGAATAGCCGCGCTCACAGGAGAGGACGCCGAAGTACCGTAGACGAGGAAGAACTCGCCTTGGACGGCGACCGCGTAGTTTGCACTGCATAAAAAAGGTACAGTCAGAAGCACGTCACATACAGCTCATCGCAAGATCACGCACCCGTTCGCGGAGATGTCGGGGTACGCGCGCGACCCGCTCGTGTTGTACACGCCCTGGGACGCGAACGGCGGCGGGTACTTCGTGAGGTAGTTCGTGACTGCGCTCTTCTGGTACGACGGCATCGCGAACACGTTCGAGAACCCGCCGCCGGAGAAGATGACCTGGTTGCACGCGCTCTCGGGGTCGGTCACCTTCGCGCCCGGGTTGACCTGCGTCGCGCCGACGCTGGTGATGTACGGGCACCCGCCGGGGAACGAGGGCGCGAAGATGTCCCCATCGAAGTCGAGGAAGCCCTCTGAGTCGAGGCAGAGGCCGCCGTTCGCGGCCACGCCGAAGTCGCCGGAGGAGTACAGCACCGTCACGCCCATCAGGCCGAGCTAGAGCAAGACGATTATACATGCGAATTCCACGCTTGCGAGGGGAAGGGAAGAACGGACCTTGGCATACTCGGCGCACTGGCGCTGCATGTAGGCAGGGGTCAAGTCGACCTCATCGTACGAGTACGACGTCGAGATGACATGGGCCGGGGTGATTCCACCGCACTGCGTCTGTCCTAAGGGAAACGTGTCAGTGCTCGCATAGGCTCCGGGAAAAGCTCATTTTTGCAGCCTACCTTGGTATCCGCCACCGAATGGGTCAGGGTAGGAAGGATCCTGCTCCGGATCGTCACCCCCCTCAAATGAGCAGTAAGAGCCATCCAGTGCGTCGAGGAGCGTGTTGAACGAGGCACCTAGAGAGCACCGCTCAACATCAGATGATTAAGGGGATTTTGCAAAGTGATCACGAACCTTCAAGGTCATCACCGGTCTGGTACAGGGTCACGGGCTGCGACTTGCCCACGAGCGACATAGCGTACTGCAGATCGAGATTGGACTCGCCGTTGATGTCGAATCCGCCGCCGCCGACATCGATAGTGCCTAGTCCACACAAGAGTCAGACGAATCGAAAGACACGGGGTGACGGCATGTACGAACCGCCGTCGATGCTCTCCATGACCGGGCGCTGCCCCACCTGGGACGATGAGAAGTTCGTGAAGAACAAGTCCAGGTCTGATGGGTCATACGCCTGCGGAGTGTACTCGACTGCCGCAAGTCGTCAGTCATGCTTCTCTGAGAGCGACACGCTGTAGAAAGACATACCTATACCAATGGAGTTCTTCTTCGCCGCAAGGGGGACATACACGAAGTCGTACAGAGCGCGCAGGCAAATCGGGGTGATTTGTTCATCGCAGTTCTTGAGCTCGTTGAAGAGAGTCTGCCAAGAAAACGTTCCATTAGCCTTAAGATCCCGCGACCGTCCCTCCTGCGACAGAAGCCTACCTGAATCTTCCCCGTAGTCTTCGGGGTCACAGGGCCAGAGCCCGGCGCGCCCAGCTTGCTTTTGACGCCCCCGCTCCGCTTCTTCACCTTCGCGTCAAAGTGCAGCGTAGGTGTGACGATCTCGACGTGCTTCGCGACGTGCTCCGGCAGGTGGTACGCAGCCTCGCACCCAACCTGCTTATGCCCGCTCTCCGCATGCTCATACACAAAGTACTCCGTCGCGAGCAGGCCCTCCGCCTCCTCGACAGTCACGTTCGCAGTCAGCCAACCCCCGCTCGGGTTCAGGCGCACGCGGTCCGCGCTCACGCCGCCGTCCGCCAGCCACGCGCGGACCGTGTCGACCGCCTCCGCAGAGGGGCGGAACGTCTGCGCGACCTTGACGGGCGTCCAGTGGTTCCCGTAGTTCGGGGACTCGGGGTGCGAGACGTCGAGCAGGTACTCCTCGAGCGCGTCGAGGTTCGACTGCGCGAGCCCGATGCGCAGCGGGAGCACGCTGTCGCGCTCCGCCCGACGCACAGGCGCCCACCCGCGCGGGAGGGCGCGGCGGGTTTCGTGGCGGACGTGGGGGGAGAGGGGCGGGGCGGACGCCGCGGCGGAGGACGCGAGGCCGAGCACGAGGGCCAGGAGGACGCGCGGGGCGAGCAGCATCCTGGTTGCGAAGGGCGAAGGAAGAGGGGGTAAGGGGGTATGCGTCTGCACCACACAGACTGCTCGCCCCGCATCTCGCCCGCTTTATGGGCGGCGGGCGAGAAGGATGATTAGAACGGTGCGTAGTACGTTACCGCAGGCACAATCGGGGCGTTCGCGATGCGGCCGAGCGCGGGCGTCCCTGCTGGTGTGCTTCTTGACGTCGCCATGTGCGTTGCGCGCGCATGCGACCCGTCCCGGCGGGATCACAGACACTCTATCTCCTGTGATGGCGTTCGTGAGTTCGGGGGGCGCGCGATCGTGGTCGAGATGTAGCCCAGGCAGGATCGCAGCGCGGACGTTGAGCGCGATAGGCAGTTCGACAGGCAAGCGCGCCTCGAAGTACGTCAATGAGGAAGTTCTCTTCGTAGAATCGCGGCGGCGTGGCTCCGACGGCGGACGTCCGGCGGCGGTTATTGGTTGCGCTGGGGGTTCTCTGGCCTCGATGCGTTCCTCAGGTCACTTCCGGCCAGTGAAACACTTGGCTCGTGCTCAATGCGACGCGGTGTACGACGTTCGCGGCCAGGATGTCCCGAGCGACCGAATTCGCCACAGGGCTTCCGAGGCCACCCAGTGAAAGGTGAGTGATAGATATGCCTCAGGTGGACAGCAGGAGGCGCACAGGAAGCACAAGTAACGACATGCACAATATGGCAGCAGTCGGCATTACCGGTCGAGAGGATTGATGGAGGTTTGGTATGGCCGATAAGGGCGACTGATGCGCTCTACGGAACTATCTGCGCTGTCGCGCGATAGCATACTTCATGTTGGTGCCTAATCACTCTTCCGTTGCCTGGCACATGGCCGAAGAGTAGATGGCGCGCGGCAAGAGACCACGGTCCGACGGAGACTCGCCTTGACAGAGTCGCAAGACCGCTGTGTCGAGCAAAGTTCAACAAGAGTCACGAGTATACCTGTACGTACCTGCGAATCTGCAGGTGACAAGGAGGAAGGGGCTCGCATGCGAGATTTTCGTAGACGACTTTGCGCCCTTCCCGATTATATTGGATCCAGGGACTGCGCTCGGGGGAGAACCTGATACGAACAAATCATGGAGAATGACCTTTGTCCTGCTGCCCTGCTGCGCGACTCCAAATTCGTGTCTGCGGCGCCGTGCGCGCCCAGATATCGTGCTTCATGTCGCCCCACCCTAACCATCAGCGACAGCGAATTTCAGAGCTGCCACTGACAGCCACAGTCACACCTGCCTAGAGCTGCAGTGGTATGACGACGAAGCGCATACCAACTACGGAGAGTGCGTGTCGGTCAGACGAATAGCTCGCAGGTTGGAAGGCCAGGTATTAGCTTCATATCATGTCAGTACCAATTTTGAGCTGCCAGAACACAACGACATACCTGCCGTTGACGGAAGAGACACCGTGTATTGCAAGTGCGTCGGGCCTATGTCGGGAGAGGGTCCTCCACTCCGGGCACGTTGTTGTTCACCACCAGGGGCGGGATAGTGTTCTCCACGTCGAGCGGGAAGGCGTTGTCCACCTCGGGCAGGCGAGTGTTCTGTGCTTCGGGCGGGACAGTGTTCTCCGCTTCGGGCTTGGGAAGCGCAAGCATGTCCTCCCAGTCGTCGGGCATGATGCTTTGGAGCGTCTCCATATGCGCGACATCATCGACATACTTGTCGTGGTACTTGCGAATCATCGAGAGGAGTTCGGGCTTGGTCTTGCCCTCGTACTCATGGAAGCGAATCTGCTCCTTTCTCTCCGCAAGCCATTCGATAATGAACAGGATGTCGCCGCGGTCCGACGCGGTTTTCTTGATCGTCTTGGGACGGGTGGAGGTGTAGCTCACGGACCATCGCTTGAACTTGGTGAGAATCATGATAGTGGGATGTAAAACGTCGATGGCTTCGCGGTCGCATGAGCATGAGGCGTATGAAGCTGAACGCATGAAAACGTTGTACACACCTGCTTCTCCGGCTTTGAACGTGGATACTATGTTGACGGGCAGACCCAACCGACCTGCGGGCAAAGTGTCGATGTGAACGTTGTTGTGACTGCTCCGGACACGCTCCTCTGGATCGAGAGCTTCGTCAACGTCCTTGAAAACGTATCAGTATAGTGATGTGAAAGGGGGTATAATGATGGCAACAGTAAGACAGACTTGAATGGCAACTATTAATTAAAACCGCGATACGTGCACAGAGGACTTGTCTTGGGTGTACCGTGGAAAACGGGCCTACGCCGCATCTTAGGGTCACCGTCTTGCCATATTGTGGCAGCAAAATCGAGACGTCGAGTTTTCCTTCCCCCCGAGAAGTCTACCCACTGGGAGCATACAAACGTAGAAAATCGGCGTACCTCAGTGACGTAGTAAAACTTCAGCCTGTCATCGGCAAAGCGAGGGTCGAGTTCCATGACTTTGTCCCGCAGCTCCCTGATGTTGTTGTTCACTATAAGCACATCTATATCGTGGAAACAGAGTGTATTCAGCTTTGGCGGACAGAACGATAAGGCAGCAACACTCATCTCGGTTGGACGGGCGCTGCCCAGAAGAGCCCATGCGAAGCCTCCTATATAAGCATGCCGGATACCCAGCCTTTCGAGATGAGCTGAGAGAGCCTTGGCGGCAGTGAGATGATCCTGTTGATTGGTGGATATCGAGATGGGCTGAGACATGGTAGAGTGCGTATGAGGGCAGAAGCAAAGCACTCACCGCGAACGACGCGTACGGCAAAGATCTGGAGCGCGGGACGCATCCGTCGTCCCGATATGGAGAGTCGGGGTCTAAGTTGGGGCGACTGATCGACGCCATGGGTGATGGTGGGGAAGTGGCGGTTCCTTTACGGAAGAGCCGTACAACCCCCTCTGGTGTTCGGTGTCCTCAGGTGTGCGGGGTCTCTGCGGGGTGGCCCGCCCCGACTGGCTCCGATTCTCGTGACTACTTTCGAGCGCCTGCTGCAGACCTCGAGCTCGGGCAGCAGACTTGGCAAGTCCGACTCCTCCAGATGCCCAATGGCCCAGAGACAGCTATTCATCCTGCTAAAGTCTGCCACGACGCGCACACGGCGCCAGACGAATCTACGCGCGCTACAGAAAGCTGGGGTGCAACTCATTCAATGAAAGTTGTGCCTGTAGTTAGGCGCACGGGCGTGCCAGTAATACTGAAGTACGTTGTTGGTATTCTGCGTGTGCTCTAACGCTAATCTTCGAATTTAGATCTGCTTACAGAACCTCCAATATCTCGTCCCAGATGAGGAACTCATGACCGGAGGCGACTTCTACGCCAAAGCGAAGACGCACAGGGTCACGCGAGACCGAAACACTTCACTGGCGGCGGAAACACAGCACCTCGTGCTCTATTTCGCAAGCCGACCCTCATACACCGACTCCGAGCTCGAGCCTGAGCTAAAACCTCGCTACACCGCCCTCGCGCACCCGGCATGCGAATTGGTTCTTGTCTGAGGTCGTCTCCTCGCTACTTGCGGTGTGCACCACCCTCCTGCGCATGATGCGCTTGTGCGCTCGGGGTCGACAGGTGCGTTGCAGACTTGGCGCGCATTGTCCAGGTGTGGGGGCGGAATCATGAGCTGCGTGACGAAGACGGGTGAAACGCAACGGCCCTTGAACTTAGAAAGTGTCGTTCTAGGCAAGCTGGACATCGACGACGTACCTTGGGGGGAGAAGCCCCCAAGGCCGTAACTTCATGACTTTCCCGGATACCCGGGCCCTGGACTTGGTAACAAGTACTTATATCGTTCTGAGAAACAGACGTATCGCTAACATTTTTGACGCCAGTCGAGTGCATGACCATTTCGCTGTGTTTGCAGCAATTATCGTACGAGATACAGTTGTCAGTCCGATCCTAGCGGGTTCCAGTGTACATGTAAAGTGAGTCACCCGAAAACGATTTTTGGTGCTATGGCAGTCTATCAGGGAACACTCCAGGCAGGCCACGGCCGTGTGAGTTTATACAAACCGTTCTCCGGGGAAGCTGAGCTCACGGGGTGGATCAATCCCTCCCTCAGCCTCGCCGGTAAACCACAGGGCTCCGGGCTTGAAGTCTTCCCGCCTGCGCGGCACCGTTTCAACGTAGGTCCATGGGATGGGGAATCTGTAAAAGCAAGAGCACACAGGTGCTGTGACTAAGCGATTTAGCGAACGTGTAAAGCAAGGTGCAAAGGGAGGGCAGAAAAACAGAATGCGGCTGACAGCCGGGAACGGAAGCGAACGACGGGCGCAGAGGGTCATCACTCCTCTACGCCATACCGACGCCTCGCTCCCAGTACTTATCAGCCTTACCAGAGAAGATGAGACAGCAAAACAGATCCAAGGCATTCGGTTTTTCGGGGTTTCAGTCTTCGGCTTCGCGCGCGGAACCTACCTTAGAAAAGGAAGAAGAGGGTGTGAGCGAAAAGAAACAGCCACTCGAGGTACGGAACGGATCGCGGGTCCCTCAGTCCAGCCAGCATAGACCGCAGCGCGCCAGCAGGAGTGCGAGCGCGACTATCCACTGCGACGTCGTCAGAGTGCTCGGCCGGGACGAGGACGAGCTGACCAGAGGCAGGGTCGGTGACGGTCTCCCAGGGGTCGGGCAAGTCGCGGTCCCGACGGGAGGCGAGCTTGGGCTTGGACGTCCTGGTCTTCCTCCTGCGCCTGGTCTTTGTGGGCGGGAGAAGGTACTGGTCGTCCGAGATCCCGGCCGGTGACCATGGCCAGGAGGAAGACTGAGGCGAGCCGGAGATGAACAGGGCCAGAGAGCTAGGCGACCCGCGCGAAGCTGAGAACGAGTCGAGGGAGGTGACGGCGAGGACAGGAGAGGCGGGGGTAGAGAAGGTAGGGGGGTGGACGACGATGGTGCAGGTAGGAGTAGACATGTTGGCAGAGATGTGAGGTTTTAGGGGAAAGGGCAGGGGGGTCTCAGGTAGCAGGTAGCAGGTGGTAGGTGGAAGAGTAGCGGGAGAGCAGTAAACGAGAGAAGTCGCGGTTTAAGAGTGATCGGGCTGGTCCTCTTCCGAGTCGGTATTGCCGTTTTAGATGAGTCTGACATAAGACCCGACGAGACTCAACGTCCAATTATGATGGCCTGAAGATATGACAGTACGTATATTCTTTTGCCTACTTGGCGGTTGAATAAGAATTACCTTGCATGCACACGGCATACACTGTGGCCTGGAAAGCCACTAGGACTCGTACTATCTCCTCCTCACTCCCGAACATGTTTAGGCATCTAATCATGTTTGTATGAGGGGCAGGGTTCCGCATCAGCTTGCCACGGACTCACCTTCATAGAAAGTACTCAAGCGCGATAGCGCTAGCGCGCCCTCTAACGCGGTTTACCATCCTCGCTACATCCATTAGAGATGCCATTCGAGAGCCCCGCAAACGGCAGCGAGGGCCGAACCGGCTGGGGAGATGCGATGCGACTCGGCCCGCCGCCGAAGCTCGAGAGAATACTAGCCGCGAACCCTCGCGGAATATCCTCCTGTCGTTGCGGGTTCAGCGCGAGCTTAAGCTTGCTCTTCCGTGTATGGAGTGCCTGAGGTGGGAGCTCTCGCTCGCTCGCTAGGGTCTTCTTCGAGGCCGGTGGTGGGGGGCACTCAGGACGATTCAGGGTGCTAGCGCGCTGCTCAGCCCGGAGTGTATCGTAGTACGCACCCTCGAGCAGAATCTCGAGAGTGTATGCCTCGAAGGCCGGGGGAGTAGGCGTAACGGTCAGCCGGACCTGCCTGTCCCCGCAGACGAACGTCTTCGACCCGTGCTCCCAGGCGGACAGGTGCTGATGAGGGCCAAGTGGGTTGGGCCGCGGGCAGTTCTCGGTAGATAGGTCGCGCACGCCCTGGGCGCAGACCACCGCATAGCTCAACCCGTGGGGCCCATCCGAGCGGGGGAACTCGACAAGTGCGGCCAGCTTCCCTTCGCATAGGCTGAAATGTAGGGTGAACGCGATCTGGGGAGCGGTTGGTATCGACTGAGCGTGATGTATGACGTGGAGCTTAGACGGGGCCGCCACTGCCTCGTCGAATACGGGGCTATTTTGCAGCTCCAGCCCGTACGTTGCAAGGTGAGAGGCCAGCCACGCAGGAATGCAGAGCTTCCGTGGGTCGTTCTTGTGTCGGACCATACTACGCGGTGATGGTTGGTTGTTGGCGACATAGACAAGTTTGACCGTCCCGGTCGGTGTGTGTCTGTAGGAACTACTCGGAGTGCCTCTGGCAAATGTGGGGCTTGTCTGGCAGTCCATGCGGCTGGGGACCCAGCCGAGCCCACGAAGGGCATCGATGGTTGAGCGGCAGATGGGGATAAGCCTGAACGTGTCGCCCGCGAACGAGACGCCAACAAGGTATCGTTCAGGGTAGCTACTACCTGGCTGAGGCCATATCGGTAGAGCAACACACTCCCCAGCTTGGTTTTTGCACAACAAAAGCGCAAGTGAGAACGGGTTTCCGGATACGACGATGAACCGGCAGCGAACTCCGGAGCTCGTAATGGCATGTTCATACACGGCCTATCAGTGATACATGCCAGTCAGTATACGATTTATAGGGCAAGAATGTTGGAACGAGGGGTCGTCGAGTCGTTCCGGGGAGTAGGGAGCCCGCGTCGCAAACGCGCGGGGACTTCGATAGCGCTCGGGAGTGTCTATGTACTCTACGATAATCGCGTAATCGATGAAGACGGCGCGCGCACCGGCTTGAAACCGCCGCTGACCCGCCCTCCCAAAACACATGTTCCAACACACCCCCACAAGCCATGCGCAAGCCGTCAGCGACCGTGCACCCCCATAATCACCAAGCATCATTCACAGCGAGTTCTCCTACCGCCTCGTAGTCGTAGTCTTCGTCGCGCAAGGACACCATCGCACCCATCGCCGTGTTTGCACTCCCCGCCGCCTTCGTCTTCGAAGCCTCCCAGGCTGCTCGATCAGGGCACTCCGACTTGTAGTGACCTTGCTTGTCACAGAAGAAGCAGGTGATCTTCGCCTTCGGCAGGACTTCAGAGCGCATAGCGGCCGCCGCCACAGGATCGTGTGCAGGAGTCTCGGAAGGCGCAGGGATGGTACTCATCTGACGGACCTCATCGTTCAACAGCCTCGAGATCACGACGTCGAGTGTGAGTTGCTCGGTAGGGGTAGCGTCGAGGGAGATAATGACACCGTCGAAGGAAGGGGGGAGACCGAGAGTGATCGCGAGGATCTTGTCTTGCTCGCTGACCGAGATGCTCGCCTCCTCCATACGGAACGCCATGCTTCGCACCTCTCCAACCCAGGCCTGAATCGTCTGATCTGGCCTCTTCTTCGCCGTCAGGAAGCGCCGCTTCATAGCCAGCTGCGTCGCCAGGCCACGCGCCTTGTGGACGTCGGCGAGGACCTGCCAGATCTCCATCGGGTCGCGGGATCGCATGTGTGCCAACTGACCGTCGTCAACACTCATCACCAGCTCCGCCCTCGCCTCCGCCATCTTCTGCGTGGACCTCTTCTGTTTCTTCTTCTCGTACTCTTCTTCGACCACATCGACACCTCGGCCTATCGTCTCAACGGTGATCTCCATAACCCCATCCCACAGCTTCTTGCGGATCAGGTGAGCCTCCATCCGCATCGTCCATTCGGGATAGTTGACGTCATTGAGCTTCGCGAAGCTCGAGTGGTTGCTGGTGTGCTCGGACATCGTGGGAAGGGAATCGGGAGGGATCGTCGCGTAGCTCGTTGTCAAATAGTTTCGTCGTGATAAGACCCAGCACGGGAGCTGTCTCGTAGCCCGAGCAGTGAATGTCGCGAAGCGTAGGAGTGAACAGAGGGCTATACAGCGCGTTTGTGTTGGAACGAGGGGTCGTCGAGTCGTTCCGGGGAGTAGGGAGCCCGCGTCGCAAACGCGCGGGGACTTCGATAGCGCTCGGGAGTGTCTATGTACTCTACGATAATCGCGTAATCGATGAAGACGGCGCGCGCACCGGCTTGAAACCGCCGCTGACCCGCCCTCCCAAAACACATGTTCCAACAAAGAATAGAGAACGTACCGCGGCTGGGGGGATGATCACGTTTACGCAGTCACTGATCTGCTCGATAACCTCGTCTACGGATATAGTCGTCACGGCGTATCGAAAGTCCGATGGCGACCGCGCAAACAAGCCCTTGTTGTCATCGTCCGGGAGAGATGTGAATGGAGGAACGGCGTGCTTGGGCGTTATAGCTCGGGGCTCGGTAACAATCTTGCGCAGTCCGAGTCTGCTAGGGGCACCTCTCCCTCGTCCTCCGATGGGAGTGGTTGGTGTGGACCCCCCACCGGGATGTCTCCAAGTCTCTCCCCACGCAAACAGCGTATGGTCTGTATTGTGCTTCATGATCTTCACCTGCAGTCTCCGGAAGGCATAGCCGCCCTCGCCGTAGATGGTGCTCATCGAGACGCCAAAGATGCCCAGAAGGGAGTACGCCCGGTCTTCGATCCTCGATGTCTTGCGGTTCGCGGCCCATAGCATGCGACGGGCCACGCTCACGTGCTTCAGCGCGAGCCGCATCGTGAGGACCTCTATGTCGATTCCTGTGATGTCGCAGACCAGGCGCGCCAGCCCGAACTTGGTTCCCAAACATTTCCAGCCCTGCGAGAAGAAAAGGACGAGTTGTGGCGCTAGGAGCTCCTGTAGTGTCCAGCCTCTTGTGAACCAGACGCTCCTGCGGAATGCAGAGTTCGTCTCTTGCACGACGCAGTCGTCCTCCACGTCCTCCAGATAGACGAAGCACACCGCAGCTTCCTCGTACCACCGGAACATGGAGTTGATGGCCTCCTCGAGTTCCGCACTGCTCCGCTTGTCGATGCAGCAGGTGTCGTCCCAAACCCAGCCGAGCCCCTGCTCCTTCGCGGTGGCCACAAAGCCCCGGATCTTCGCGCTCACACGGGGGTCGTCGTACGCGGTCACGCCTTCGGATTGCAGGCGCTCTATGTCTGCAAAAGTCTGCTCCTTCGAGTTGTCAAGCGCCCAGACGTGAGACAGAATCGCGTACCCCGCCTTCTTGGCCCACGGCGCGCTGTTGAAGGCACATGTCAGCTCAGAACAACTGTGACCACCTCAGATATCGAGCTGTCAGCGACAACACTTACCGCTTTTTCCTCGTCACTTCCTGTGGGCTACTGAACCTCTCAAGCTTGAGACTTTCGGTCGAAAGCAGCCACATACTAATAACTAATCATGTGGAAAAGAGAGGTCAGTAAGTTTGCGTAGAATTGCCCGCCAACCACTCACTATGACGCCCAGTTCCGGAGATCGGGAGGGGGAGAGCTGTGGGGTTGTGATATTGACGTGTTTGCGCTGGATGAGGGCAAGGTGGATGTCAGTCAAATAGAGCTGCCAGCATGGAGCCACAGCCTCTCGCGTCTTCTCTCACAGGCGATAGGTCCCAGGTCTAGGAGACGCACCACCAGTGCTCGATGTTGATAGCACAGGAAATGGCCACTGCCCCAAGCCTAATGTTTCTTACACGCCCTAGGACTCGCGCGTTCATGAGTGCAAAGCTGTGAGGTGCGTGGCAGTCGAACCACAACTGACCCTCATTAAATCTTCACGCCTGGGCTTCAATCAGTCGGAACATCTTTCTTGGACTGCCCTTCGAACGTCTCTTGACAGAGTATTCCATTGTGGTAGCGGCGGGCAGTGAACAAGGAGGGCGCCCGTCGTTGCCGCAGGTACGTGCCGTCGACCATGAACTGTCGGACATAACCGATGAGTGCCTTGAAGTTTGCATAGCCAACGACCGGAAGTCAAACTGACCTATGAATACCACGAACAAGACCAGGAGCATCGGAAAGTCATCGAACAACTATCCGGCCAGGTGATGGATAAGCGTGTTAATCTTCAGACGCTTTGCACGAACTGATGTAGTCCGCTGCGCAACTCAAGCATGCGATACATCTGCATCGTGAATGTTTCACATGCGAGCTTTCTCTAAGGTGGATCGTACATCAATCCAAAGAGCTGCAGCAGATGATTCGTGACCAACGAGTAGGGACAGAAAATGCCGATAGTCAAACAGAAACGTGCACGGAGCGCGCGAACTAGGCACAAGGTATGGCGATCAGACGATAGCGAAGCCGGGACGCGGAGGACGGAGCTACGAGAGGAAAGAAAAAAGAGTAACGAATACATAGAACAGAACAGCAGATGGCGATGAGATGTTGATATCCGGGGGAACCTATGGTGGCTAGGACGACGGCGGCGGCGGCAATGTTAGGGCACGGCGGCAGGGCAGGAAATGTGGGGTAACGCAGGGAAGACCCAATCCGAGAAGGTGAACGATGAAGGGTGGAAGAAAGACAGTGGCGAGACAGGACCGTTACGCGACAACGCAGCCACAGCATCCACCCGCGCCGTCGTCTGGGTGTCCCTTCTCATTGCCATACACGCCGGGGGCACTGGGTGCGCCGGGTTGTTGCACGCCGGGACGGCCCGTTTGTTGCTCCTGCGGTGAAGTGAGTAAATCGGTCCGTAGCAACGGTAACTTGAGGTAGGCGCACCTTGTTGTACTTCCGAATCTCCCGGACGAGCTGGCTGAAAGCCTCGTCGACGTTAATGCGGTTCTTGGCCGAGGTCTCGATGAACTTGCAGCCGAAGTGCTTCGCAAGATCGCGACCCTCTGGATAGCACACACACACACACACTTAGTCCAGCATGCACAATCTACCGAGTAGAGGTAGGTGACGTACCGTTCATGCCCACCTGCCGCTCGTACTCCAAATCGCACTTGTTTGCAACGACGATAACAGGGAACGAGTCCTGGTCCTTCACGCGGAGGATCTGCTGATGGAAGGTGCTGATTTCCTCGAACGAGTTGCGCGAAGTGATGGAGTAGACCAGGAGGAAGCCCTCTCCCGTGCGCATGTATTGCTCGCGCATCGCACTGCACGCGAAGAATGGTTACGGACGCGAACCAGCAAAGCAGGCAGGAAAGACGTACCCATATTCCTCTTGGCCAGCGGTATCCAGGACATCAAGGAGCGCGACCTCATCGTCAATCACGCACTGCTTACGGTACGAATCTAAGGAGAACGCAGTGAGTTCGCGCAATGCGGAAAAGCCTCGAGCGGACACGCTATCCCGCGGCCATGTAACATGGGTAGGGCAGGGAACGACGAGGGCAAGGACGACACGCACCTTCGATAGTAGGATCATACTCGTCCACGAAGTGACTCTGGATGAACTGGATAGTGAGTGCGGACTTGCCGACACCTATATAACCGTGTCAAACGAGCTTGACATGCTGGCGGACCAGAAAACTGACCACCACCGCCGACGACGACGAGCTTGTACTCCCTCAAGAACTGGGACTGTTCGCGCATCAGAACCGCGAAAAGCGCTGCATCAGATATAACGCACCCTAGACATGGCTGTTTGGACGGGGAGGAGGGGGAGAGGGCTATTTGGAGGGCGGGAATGAGAGGGGGGTGAGGTGATCCGGCGAGGAGGACAGGGGAATTAAGACGTGGAAGCGCCCTCTATTGGAACACACCGCCGTGCAAATATAGCCAAATACGCGCTCCCGGCGCTTCCGAGTATTCACGACGTTGGCGGCTGCTATAGCTCTCTCCAGGCAGCCACCGTCCTCCCCAGTCCTCTTCCGCCCCCTCTCCGACATTTCGGATAGACCCATATCGCATTTACGGCGTACCTGTACCTGTGAGTGACAGAACTCCATTGAGCCATCTCGGAACATGTCCCGCACTGTATAGGGCTTTGCGATATTCGGTGGCGTCTTGGGCAAGCAGTGCGGCGTCGGCGCGACGGTCAACATCTCTGTTCTCATTCCGCCGACATCAGCGCCCGGATCCTAGCTGTGGCCCAGAGATATCGACGATTATCATACAAGGAAGTCGAGCAGCCTCCAATAGGGCCCTGCACGAGCATTCTGGGCTGTGCTTCATCAGGATCACCGTAGCAGCCTGACATCTCGTTCCCAGACATGTTGCGAAATGGCTGAGGATGGTGTGTCCAGTGATCTTCCCTCAGATGGTTCATCATTTGGCGCACTGATTGGTCACATCGAGCTTTAGCTTGCGATATGATGCACGGATAGGCCTGATTGCCCGAGCTTTCCGGTTAAGCATGCGTCTCGTCCTGTCAAACGGCTTGACTGGCCCTCTGACTTGACGCACGTTACTACGAAGCCCGTTGGAGCTGGAACGACCGGATTCACAGCAATGTCTGCAAAGCAGAATTCTGTCCTAGAGTGCGTCCGACGTTAACGTACCGCCGCTTGGTGTGGTACATGCCGCACTGTCGGCGCGACTCACTCCCATCTGCAGCTCCTCTTGACGTGAGCAATAACATCGAGGATGGTCTTCCCAGCGTTCTATGATATCTATCTTCTCTGGACAGGCGTAGACTCTCACGGCTCTTGGATGCCATCCCTCTCGCGGATGCCCGTCCCACCGCCGGTCCCATGCAGGATCGCAGATGGACCTCGATGGTTAGCCCCTGCTCATCCTACTTGCCATTTGAAGAGCCAGCCAGGTTGATCACTCCCACCACGCCTCCCCCTTTCGAAGCAGTCCGTCCCTTATATTGCTCTTCTCAGACCACAGTGGAGAGAGCATCTGCCCCGAGCCTCATCTCATTGCTTCACGCAGCGCCTATCACAGTTGCTTGACTGACATGCGTAAGTGGTCGCGTCTTACCAGGTCCCCGGGGATGCTCTTCTCTACTTCCGACGCGGACTCCATGGCGGTGAGGTTATCGCACCCACCCGGAAGTGACAGCCTACACCGTTATCCTCACTCCTGCTGCACAAACTACCCACTACCTCCGCCGCTACGCTTGGGCTCTTGATGACCTCAGCGCAGTTAGACGAGGGGCAATACACCCGTGCTCCATCAGCTACGCCAAGTTACATATAGCAAGTGGGATACATGACATAGCATCTGGCGGCGACCCAGATCGGATTCGGTTGCCGCCCTCGCGACAGATCCACCATCCCGGTGTGGAACCCATCTAAATCCTGCGCGTCGGCGTCCTAGGTAAGCTCCATCTTGCTCCGCGCTCGACGTCGAACGCAAACTATAAGTCACAATGGGCATCGCGCCGTCTGCGCCCCGGAAACCGAACCGCCTTCGGGCACCTGAGCGCTGGTACCCGGCCAGGACAGGTGCACGTCTGCGGCTCGCCGGCTTTTGGACCGGAGTTGCAAGGCTCAGATCCTGTCCTCTTGCCCTTTTCTTACCACTGGCGTTCAGCTTGGATGCGCAGGTAGCTCAGACGCCCCGAAAGCTTGACTGAGACATGGGCGCAGAGACGTCGGGCGTGTTTCAATATCAAACTGCGCTACGGGCGGTCGGCACGGATGGCAGTAGGATGTGGCACTTTCTATACCTTGGCAGTACTTAACTCGTTGTGTTCCAGGTTGTTCCACTGCAGCTCTACTTGAAGCTTCTGCGGCTACGGACACGCACCAGCCCCTCTTATATATACCTCAACCTGACACTAGTCTTCTCAAGTCTCGACCAGCCCCACTGGAGCCGCCATTCATCGGGACGAAACCAAGGGCGCAGAGCCGCGCGACAAACAGTGAGGAGTGCTGGCAGGCATGAGCTATTAATATATATGATTAAATAGAAACGAGCGTGCAGCGGCGGAGTAGTCGACTACAGGTCGGGTGTAGTATATGCGCGGTGGCGCGCTCATTGCGCCGCGGTCCTCCAAGTCCATAACGCACAGGCCAGCTATCACATTACAGAAACCGAGCGCATCCGGCCGGCCAAGCCGGGCGCCCGCAAACTTGAAGCTCATCATGGAAGGGCGGCACAACGCGACTGGGAGCGGGTATGTACGCACGGGTCCGAAACAGTGTCTGTGAGCACACATCGTCCGCACGGAACAGGGCACAGCGCTTGGCTGGGCCTGGGCTGGGTCGGTCGAGGGCGGCGGGTAGGATGGCGGGGAGAGGGACTGCAGCCCTTCCGGGTAGGGGAGGTAGCAGGGGCCACCCCATGATGCGTGATCACTGGGATCCAGCAGCATGGCCATGGGGGCCCGGGCGCGCAGGTCGTGTCGAGGGTCGTGAGCAAGAAGCGAGGTCATGTCGTATCAGAGGGAGTCGTTCACAGGTAGCCGCCGTAGGCAGCAGGCGTGGGGGTCAGCGAGCCCGCGCGGCTGGGCGGCATGCGCCGCGCAGAGAGCGGGCTGCGCGCCGGGGAGACGGCCGACAGGCTCGGGCCGCGCTGAGGCGTGGTGGGCGCGAGGGTGCTGCCGTATGTCGGCGTGCGCGCGGCGAGGCCCATGGGGGTGCGCGGCGCGAGGGACGCGACGTCGAGGTCGAGGGAGCGCGACCTGCGGCGCTCCATGCGCGTCGTCGCCGTCGCCGGGGTCGCGCCACGGCGGCTCGTGGCGGCCTTCGCGACGCGCTCGGCCCACTCGGCATTGGCGAACGCCTCCTTGCTCGGCGCGTACGGTGCGGGGATGCGCGCGGAGCGGAGCGTGGCGAGCGGCGACGGCGCGAGCGAGGACTGGTTGAGCGACGGGCGGGCGGAGAGCGGCATGGGCTGGGGCTTCGCCTTGGGCGCCGCGCGGTCCTTCGGGGGCACGGGCGGCTTCGCCATCTCCTCCTGCTCAGGCGTGCGCGACAGGTACATGGACAGGAGCGACTCGTTGGCAGAGGTGTGGCGCGTCTCCGTGCCGTCGCTCTCGTTGTCGCTCTTGACCTGGCTCTTGGGCTCCGGCGTGTTCAGGTTAATCGTCGTCATCATTGCCTCATCGTCGGCGGTAAGCGAGAGCGTAGGACGTCTGACCACAGGGGAGCGCGTGTCCCGGCGGGGCGCGGGCAGACCAATCTGGACAGGCGCGTCGCGGGGGCTGCTCGGAAGGGTGGCTTTCCTGTACGCAGGCTCGGGCACCGTGATCATCGCGTTCAGCTCCGCGACCGGGGTGATGGGACGCGAGAGCGACGCCGAGGGCAATGAAGGCGGGCTCGGCATAGGCTTGCGCTTGAGCGAGATGGCGCGGCTGACACGGCTGAGGTTGCGTGACACGCTCTCGCCGACGTTCATACGGTGCTCCGGCTTGGACGCGGAGCGCGGCGGGGGCGTCCACTCCTGCTTGCTGTCCCGAGCGATGAACGCCTTCTCGGGGTTGGTCGGTGTAGTGGGGGACGGCGAGGTGAAGCCACGAGGCGACTTGACACCCGCGAAGAAGCTCTCCATGTCAGCATCCTTGCTCTTGCGCGACGGGATAGTCAGGTTTCCCTCGAGGAAGGGCCTGAGAATGCGAAGGGTGTTGCACAGGATAAGCGAGTTCGCAGCACCTTAAACAGATATCAGCGAGCTGAGCCATAAGATGCATGGATCTGGAGGGATACACACCAAGGAGTGCAGCCAGAGTGCTCGCGAATACCAGTGCCTCAAATGGCACACCGAGCCCCGCGGATTCCATCAGGCCTACTACGATCTCAGGAAGCAGCAGGATGTTGAAGGCTATAAAGGCTCCGTCAGTATGCGAATAGAGCGCTGCATATGCTACGCTTACCAAAAGGATACCTAGGAGTATACATCAACTATAGTTCCGGTTGGTCAACGAGATTCATCACTCACCACAGCATGCTCCTCGCAACCGCAGCGATAAACCGCTGGTACTCGATCGTAGTGATACTAGACGTGCTCCACCGGTGTTGGCGGTTGAGGTTGAACTTGATACCGTTCTGCATCGTGATCGTTCCCCGCAGTACGAGGAAGACCAGCGTGAACATGACGACCGAAACCAGCGAGCCGAGCAGAATCTAAAGCCAAGATAAACATACGGCATGTAGCGTGCCCTTTAAGCAGACTTACTGGCAGCAAGTGGAGCACCATGTTGAGGAGAGACCACCTGATTGCGATTCCGCAAGACAGACCGTTGATACCGTATATCGGCCCCAGGACGGGGTTGTTGATCCATGTCGGCGTAGCAGCTATGACGGTGCTCTCATGAGCTATGTTCAGACGCTCGGGTAGACATGCCGACTAACCCAACAGGACGGCAAATAGCCAACCCCAGATGCTCGCAGCCAGGCATGTCCAGGCTGGCAGCTTGTTGCGAAGCACCAACGTGTTGAAGGTGTGGATCGCAATCGCCCCCGTAAAGTACGCTCCTCCCGCATCCCCAATCTGCATGAGAATCCCTGGGCGGCAAGCGTCAGTCGCATCGTCCAGATTGAGGCTCAAGCAATAAGAAGCGTACCTTGTGAGTTGCACAACATGCCTATGGAGCCGAAGTGTGAGTAGGAACACCTCCTGCATGTGACATTAGGTGCGCACCCTCCGTAACCCTCTGATCCGCCGCCCATTGCACGTTGATGATCATCGAGATGCTGCTGAGCGCGTTGCTGAGCATCAGAGACGCAATGTACGCCCCCAGCTGCGTGTGGAAGAACGCGCGCGAGTGGTGCTCGCTCGCGCCCTGGCGGCGCCGCTTCGCGAGGTTCACAAGCGGATCCCAGGAGTAACGCGCGAGCACGCCAAAGATGGCCAGCAGCGAGATGAAGGCAAACAAAACGATGGCCTGTCCGTCCGCACGTTAACCGCACGCTTCTCGACAGATATTGATGTACTCACAATGAGGGACATGGCCTGACCCTGTTGGTACACGAAAGTGACTTGCGAAGACATGATGTTCGTGTGGTTTTGGATGGCCAAAGAGAAGCAAAGAGAAAAGAAGGTGCGCAGGATGAAGAAAGAAGGTCAGGCAAAAAAAACACGCGAGTTCAAAGCTCAAACTGTCCCGGACAGACTGGCCAAAATTGCTATGAACCGCAAAAGAGGTCGTCCTGCGCCTGAAGGTCGTTACAGAAGGTCTGACCGAAGCAGACAGGAGGGATCCGGTCCAGAGAACGAAAGAGAAAGGGGAAGGAAAGAGAAGGAGAAAGCGAACGAGAAGAAGGAACGAACGTCGAGGGGCCGACACCGAGCTGGCAACGCCGCAAACAGTCTTGTCTTCAATCCGCCCCAGCCGCAAATGCTGGTGTGGCGGTGGGGCACTACATCATGATGCCCGTGATGTACGTTCTGCTCGTTGCTGTCGCACTGGCGTCTCACCAATTTGGTTGATGGCGTCAGCGCGGACAGCGGACGGGTGAGATAGGCGAGGTCTCAAACACGCTCGGTCAATTGTGCGGGGATATGAAAGGTGGTCTCGAGGTGGGAGAAGGCGAGAAAGTTGAGAGCCTCGAGGAGGTTTGCGAACTTGCCCCCCGATCGTCTACAGATCAACCAATGACATCAAGGACAGCTACGCGATACAGAACAGCAGAGGACGAGACATGTTAACCGCACTGAGGGCTACCTCTTGCTGAAGAACTTCGCGATGCCTTCTTCGCCCGACTTCTTCTTGCTCTTCTTCTTCTTGGCCGCCGGCGCGGGTCGATCCACAGGCCGGATGACGCGCTTCGGGACATTCCCATCCGCCGACGCCGCGAGCTCCTGTGCGAAGTGAAAATCAGCGTGCTCAAGGCGCAGCGCAGCCAACGCCTCCTCCCTGATGGCGTCAAAAGCGCCCGCATGCTCCTGGCGACCATCCGCATCCACATCACGCGCCGCATCTGCATCGCCCAGCCATACGCGCTGTCCACACTTCTCGCAGACAAAGGAGAACTGCTCGTCCCGCTCATTGATCGCGCTTGGACGGGCGGAGGACACAGCTTGGTCTTGTAGATCTGACTGTCGGGGTTCCTTTGTGGGAGAAGCGGAGCGTTTGCGTTTCAGCGCAGATGGAGGTTTGCTTGTGCTTCCCTCTGCCGCCTCGGTCTGAGTGACAGTCTGCTCCTCAATCGCACGTCTGGCCGCCAAGAACCCTTCTATGCTCCGCTGGCCGGTTTCCATGATCCCAATGCCGGAGAACGATAGCTGTACGTTGGTGACGTTGAATGGTGTTGAACCGCCGGGGCCGACCAGTTCCTTCCATAGTTTATCGCCATAAGCTGCGATTACGTCCACGGTGACGGTTTTGGTGAATGGAAAAGGCGTCTGCTTCGACTTCGATGTCTCATAGCCTGCCAGTGGCTGAATCAATACAGCGTACAAGGCGTGCAAAACATCCCTGGCACACTCGAGAGCCACCAAGGAAACTATACCTTGTCGTATATGCAAAACAATGGTCTTCGGCCATAGCGCAGTATTGGCTTCGCGCGCCTCGTTGAGGCGCAACGCGAGCTCTGCTGCTAGAACCCGGATCCAGTGGTAGCCTTGCGTTGCCTTCGTAATCGGTTGAGGTAGGTTTTTCGAGGCGAGCATGCTCTTGTTGACCGCAGATTTCTCCTTGACTACTCGTGTTGATCGTCAGTAGTTGGCACTTTACGCAGACGTCCTGCGCAGATGCTGAGGTTCTAGTAGTGAAAATGCGGACCTTCTGATCGATCGATGCCCCTATAGCAGACCGGTGAGCCCTCGTAGCACTGGTTACTACCGGAGAACTCGGCCTACCGTAGAATCTCATACACCCAGATAGAGTCTTCGCCGAACTTTCGTTGCATCTCTTCTATCCATGCAACAGTCGTTTGAGCCATAATTTAGGCGCTGGGAAGATTCTGCACCTACCCAGGCTTATCGTCCTTCAGATGCGGTGAGATTAACGTTGTAACCGGGAGTGGAGGAGGGACATACAAGAGATCACCAACAGTGGAGACGTCGTACTCCTCTGCGAGTGCCTTGCCGAGTTTTCCGCCTAAAAACCTGATCTGACAGCGACCGTAAGAATCCACACAGGATACAGTGGGTATGATGGTACCACCCGAGGGTTCGCGCACCTTCTGGAAGGCCATTGGTTTCAAGTAATTGGGTATCGCGGCGTTTCGCAGGACGGTCTGCCGAGTACCCCGATGTCATCAGGAATGCCTACCTACGACCTCATACCTAGGAGACAAACCTGATTCATTGGCTTCTTGTACGAGGCAGTGAGCTGTGCGCAGTGAGCATGAATCTTGAGCGCTGTATACACAATCACCGAAAGCCCACCTTAGCGAGGAACTTATTCCGTGCAATACCCTGCGGAATGTCAGCACTGCGTCGTTAACCAGGCTTGATTCCAGCGCGCTCACAGCAGAAGTTGTGTATCCCAGTTTCGTGCGAATGTCTTCTCGAATACGTAGCATAAGCTCTGCTGCGATGGACAACGCGACATCGTGCCAAGTGGTAAGTGAATCGTCCTCCTCGACGACCTCGTCGTCGTCAGTTGGCTCCGAGATATTCGACTTCTGGTCCTCCGCAGTAGATTCTACTGATTCTCCAGCGGGGAGATCTTGTTCTTTTGGTGGCTCTTTAGGCGGATTCACAGGTACGATTGTGGCTAGCCCGTCCCAGGATATTGGTGGTGGAGGGGGAAGAGGACTGTCGACACCATTCGGCGCGTCAGGTGGGACTACAGCGAGGTAGGGATATCGTTTGAGCAGTTCCTCGCGCACAGGACGCGTAAAGTCAATAAACGCCTCGTCGATGGACGCCTTCTCTAGCACGTCCCTTCAGCACCCGCGCAGTCCGATATAACAGCCCGCCAAAGCCACTCACCGACTTCCCCGCCCGGGAGCCCCTCCTTGAACAGCTGTATGATCTTCATGCTCTCGCGCCGGTAGTGGTCCAGCGACACCTTGTGCGTGCGCGTGTCCGGATTCTCCCAGTACCCCGGCTCCGCCTCGCCCTCCCTGTACGTCGCGACGTGCACAACGACGAGGTCCGGGCAGCGTTTCCGCGCGTCTCGAATCTTGTCCATGCGCGAGATGCCGTACGTGCGCGCGGGGTAGTTGACCGCGATGAGCGAGTCCCACTGTTGCACAACGAGGGGCAGCGCGGGGTCGAGCGCTAGTCGTACCTGCTCGCACGCCGCGTAGAACGCGTCGCTGTCGCACAGCGCGACAACGCGCAGTGGATCGCGTACGCCGAGGTTGTTGGAGTGTAAGTGTCGATAGGTGATTGTGGGGTTGAGGTCGTTGAAGTCGTTCTCAGTGGCTTTGGCCTTGCCTTTCCAGTACGACTTGGATACAGGCTTCGAGGTGGCAGTTGCGCTGTTGGGTGCGGACATGGAGGCCACTCTGGCCAACTATGCAGTGTACGGCGTAGACAAGCTAGTAGGACGGTGGTGAGTGGTAGTAGTCGGGATGAGAGAGGCGCACGCGAAAGACGCGCTCGCCCGATCTGAGATCTTACGCGTTGTGTCAGGTTGTGTTGAACGGCCGCGACCCGGGACACTCGGCCTTTGGGTCTCTCCATGACTTCACCTCACTCACTCTGAATGTCTGCAGCTTTGACTGAGGCTTGGCCCGACAGAGGCAGCACCTTGAAGAGCTGACGTCTCACGTAACTCAGCCAATACACCTTCTGTATGGGCAGAATCGAACATGCTCATGACAGTCGGAGCTCCGGTCATGGTAGACCTCCGAGTCGCCCCAAACATAGTACGTGTTTGCGCATTCTCTCCTGCGCTGCTTTCTTAATAGTTTCAACATGGAGCACGTGGGGCTAATATCTACGCTCTTCGGACAGGATTATGCTTCTCATCACCATGTAGCGCGTGCCGCGAGACTCGAGGGCAGTATGCAGAACCAATTTTTATTTCGTCTTACAAGACAGCTCAATCTCAGCATCACGAAGACTGACAAGAGCGCTTTTCACGGTGATATATGTTGGCCTTCGGATGACCCGAGCTCATTCGATCAGCGGCTTAGGACGGATTCTCTTCTTTTGTGGGCGCGAGCGGTGATCTTTAGCAGCCTGGGGGCGCTCAGGTGGCTCATAGCACCATCATAGGGCTCAATGATCTGTGCTCTGGGCGCTGTAGACCTCTTTCTGGGGCGATTTAAGTTGCGGAGCCCTTGACCGGTGAACGCTTTCGCAGCGACCCATCCCCCACAAGCCCGAACATGAGATTCAGCTCTCTAGGACCTTTTGCCTCCCTCACCGGAGGCGAACCCCCTTCCCTAAACAACACCTACGGCGCAATTTTGCTCGGCACATTCTTTGGTCTCATGTACGCAACATTTTCTCCCTTCTACTATCGTTTTGGGACTTACTTGGTTTTGTAGCTTGTACGGACTGTCTATCCATCAAGCGTACAGATATTACCGCCTCGACTTCGGGGACTGTAAAGGCATGAAATCATATGTGAGGCATCGGAATCTAAACTGATTTTGCTTCAATCGTCCTCACTCCGCCTCATCAGGTGGCATTCATCCTGTACTCTCAGCTATCTGCGTTGGGTCCGAGTGCATGCGCTTACTTTTCTTGCTAGACTTCTGGATACGTTCCATGTGATCTTATGCATGCATATGTGGTACTTCTCTTCCCGACCGATCCAACATTTGTTCTCATACTGACCATCACTGCAGCTACTATTACCTAGTAGACCACTACTTTGACCCCACAGCCCTCTTCACCAGAGTTTGGTACGTCGTCACTCAGCCACTATCCTCTGTTTGTGTCACTAATCCGACTGATGCAGGTCAATCGATGTACGTTTTCCTACTTGTACCAACGTTGCCGAACACTGAACACGCATGCCCCGTGTACAGAATTTAGGCCTATCGGCGGTACGTGCGACTGCCTGCTATACGACTAATTTCAATCAACTAACGGACGGTTTCACTAGGCGATCGTGATAGTTTCCTGCCAATGGTATGGATCATTCATCCTCGGCACGCTCGAGTGTCGCCGCTTACCCGCAATCTACAGCTTCTACGCTCGCCGAGTGTGGCTTAGTACGTATTGTAACAAGCTTCCGCACTACAAGCCCGAGGTTAACAGTGAGCCGATAGTCGGTCCACAGTACAGGCCCTTGGTCGCCATCGCGGTGCTGTTCTTCATGGGTGTCCTAGGTACATACAATCACGCTGCACGGTACAAAAGCGACTAGCGCTGACATGACCTACACATGATGATCCAGCATGCGCAGCATGTAAGCGTCAGATCGCATCACATACTGCAGCTGCCGGCTGACCATGCGTTGTAGATGCCACAGCTCAAGCGTAGGTTGTGTGGTATCGACCATTGTGGCACTTGGGTTAAACATTTAAAACGCGGATCAGGTCGATTCTACCCTCTTACAGCCAATTTCGCGAACTTACTGTGAGTGCCCAAGCGGCGCACCTTCAGTAGCATGCTGACAATGCTTCAGTGGCTGTTCTCTATTGCGTTTGCGCTCATCGTCGTCTCCGACGTCATTCTAACGACGGTGCTCATCATCGTTTTGCGCCGAAGCCGAACCGGAATCGCAAGGTAGCTTGAGCCTGGCCCGGACATAGTCTGCGCAACGTACTCACTTCCTTCTTGCAGGACGAATTCAATGCTCGACGTTCTGATCGCGTATACGATTTCCACTGGTGTGTACAGCTTTTCCATTGCGACAGTGCCGCAGACTCCACTGACCGCTTCGCCTTCAGGCTTCCTCACGGAGTGCGCATTCCCAGAGTTTATTTTATTTTGTTGCGTTCACCTGGATCACACATCACCTCCACAGTATATTTAGCGGCCTCTCCTTCATATTCGTGCGTAGCTGTGTACTTTGCACGAGCTCAAGAGCACATGCTGAAACAGTCCATAGCCCCTTATTTACTTAAACACGAACAGCATGGTATACATCGCACTCGACATCGTCACCACCAAACGTGAGTAGTCTATCACCAGATGACTGCAGTTTCGCCGATAATCTCAATATCCGACCGTGCAGTCTACGTCCATTCGGTCATTGGCACGTGCGTACACGATGTTCTTCGAAAATCGAGTCTGAACCGTGCATACTAAACCGAACGCGTGTGGTATACGGCAGTCTCAACTTCAGGAAGACGCTCGCAACGTATGGTTCGGACTCGATGGGCCTGGAGATCGGATTGCGAGACCTCTCGCGCACCGCCCAACAAAGCGATGGACTGCAGCCTCCCATCGCGACTCATGTGAGTGCCTACCATCTGTAGCACTTTTCTCGTCGGGTCTCATCGACGAACTATGATGCTTAGACGTCTCGGGGGAGCCTCCCAAACGTGATCGAGTTCAGGGTTATGAAAGAACTGGATAGGTTGTCTGCGATGGAGACCGGCGAGGTGTCGGAGTTGGAGAAGCACGAAGTTGGGAGGGCCGTTTGAAGCGGCCTCTAATCCAGCGCTTGGAACACGATGTGCTCTATGAATACCCTCACGATTTGGTTTCAGAGTACAACACTTCCTCTAGGTGTATTTGAGTTCAGGCTGTGAGTCAACCGGGTGGACTCCTTGTGCGATACGCCAGACTGTCGTGCGCTGTACGCTGCCGCACACATTATGTAGTAAGTCTCTTCTCGGTTCCTCTCACCTGCGATAATGATTTACTCACGCAGTCATTGAATCTGGCTTTGAACCTATAGAGGCCTTCGAGAGACGTACACATGACCCCTAAAGAAGCGCACCGCAAGCGTCAATTGTGGACTGAGCGACTGCGCTTCGTCCACAATTCTCCCGCATCCCCTTAGCTGTAGGCCGTGCCAGGCGGCATCCAGCAGCACAAAGTAATTGCGCCGGTTTGAGTACACGCCGCGACAGGACGTGCCTCCCGATCCAAAGCTCAAATGGCAGCGGACGCTTGCGCCGCTGAACAGGTACGCTGTCTATACGCTAAAGCACTACTACATCCAGAACAGCGTACTTATCGGCGAGCTTCATTCACTCGTGCAAAGCGCATGTGCGTCGCGGACGTCTCCGGCATGATCATCCCCGTGCCTAGACTCTTTTCCCTCCGGTATAGACAGAACGCGCAAGAAGTTCCGTGTCGGACCCCTGTGCCATAATCAGACGATGCTGATTCATGTTCCCCACTGCCTCCTGATTTCGTATATGTAGCGAGTGTACATCGAGCACACAGCTCCACATCGACATCTTCCGCCATCCTCTCTGAAGATCTACTTAATAATCAGGGACAATTGTACGTGTTTAATCGAGACCTTGTCCTTCTCATGCTATCATTGACGATCGAAGTATATAGTCAGCCATGTGGCTGCTCTCCACCGAGACTCTGAAACTGGAGAAGTTCAACAGCCTCGAGGATGTGTTGAACAGGCCATGGTACGCAAAATTTATCTCGCTTTATAATGGCTGCTCTCTGAAGCAAATGCGTGCAGCCCGTGGGCCAAGAAGAAGGGATACGCCATCCTATCGCACGTCTGGCGCGGCGAGAAGTTGGAGCAGTCTTTCGCAGACATCGAGCGGCTGTGCCGTGAAGGCGTATCCTCGTACAACGACCCGCGAGTGGACGCGAAGGTTCATGGATGCGTGCGCGCCGCGAGGGAGCAGGGTTTTGGCTGGATATGGAACGACACATGCTGCATAGACACCCGGAGCAGCGCCGAGCTCGAAGAGGCGATCAACTCCATGTATAGGTGGTACGCGGAGGCGGCGATGTGCCTCGCCTATCTGCAGGACGTGCCGGACGACTGCCCTATCGAAGACGCAAGCTCGGCCTTCCGCAAGAGTAGGTGGTTCAAGAGGGGATGGACGCTGCAAGAGCTCCTTGCTCCTCACTGCCTTGTCTTCTTGTCTGCCAACTGGAAGCATCTCGGGACGAAGTTCGGGTTGGCCGACCTGCTCGAGGACATAACCGGAATCGACGCAGAGGTTTTGACTTTCCGTCGCGCGCTTCAGCACGTCAGTGTCGCTCGTCGCATGTCGTGGGCCTCGAAGCGTGGGACCTCCCGGACCGAAGACCAGGCGTACTCACTCCTGGGCATTTTCGATGTCTCGATGGCCACGATATACGGAGAGGGGGAATACGCGTTCCGGCGGCTGCAGGTCAAGATCATGAAGCGTACTGCCGACCACACACTCTTCGCATGGGGAAATGCCTGGCCGTCCATCCATACTGGACCCTTCGTCCAAAGCCCAAGTGTGCACGACTGGGCCCGCAAGAGCCACCCTTCATCGCCTCTCCATAAAGCTACGCCGCCTCGCTTCAGGCCACCGTCTTTCGAGCAAAGCAAGTCCCTCTTCGCACCATCCCCCGCCGAATTTGAACATGCCGCCATGAGCGCCATTCCGTTGCCTGAGGCCATGAAGCAGGCACGTGAATTCTTCAATATTGTGATTCCTTCAACTTCTGTGAGTGCCTGTTAATCCGTTATCGTTCGTACTCGAACTGACTCGCTGTTCTATCACAGACCCCACAGGCTGTCCATGAACACCTTGTCACCAGTTCAGGGGTTCGTTGCCAGTTCATCATTGTTCCCGGGAGTCCATTTTCGCTGGCGCTCCTGCTATGCAAGGACAACTCTGGCCGCTGCGTCGCCCTCCCTCTATGGCCACAGCATGAGGGCCCCCATCAGCCTTCACGCGTTGGGATGTCCTTGACGGGTACAACCTACAAGTATATCCCTATCTGCAGTTCTAGCATGCACATGCTCCGCAACCTTGGCTGGGCGCCTCGTGCCCTGGAAAACACCAACGGCGCGCCGTCGCACCCGGGTTTGACTAACTCGGGGCGTTTGGGGTCCCGTAGGCATAGCGCAGTGAAAACCCCGAGCGCCGCACTTCCGTCGGCCACCATCCAGCCCGTCTACATCACCAACACTCATCCATCTCTGCCCCGTGGTCCTCGCCGCTCGCCCCAGCTCACTCACGAACCGCGTCTACTCTATATTCCAGCCTGGCTGGTTGGATATCTGGCTTTGTACGACCTGGAGCTGGAGAACAGTCCGCCTCTGGACGAGGCTGTGGAGGCACCCCCTGCGCTCCACGTCGTCCGCATGCACGGGCATACTCCGAACGCACGGGAGTTTTCCATCCTGTTCAGCTCCTGTGGGGGCAGGCTTTCCGCGCTCGTTGACTTCCCTGCGGAGGGACGTGTCCGGAGCTACGCGGAGGCCGCTTGGCAAGGCAGTCAGTGTTGGTCTAATACCAGGTTGCCGACCACTGGAGTATCGCCGCCAACCCCGTTTTGCCGTGCGACGAACACACTGGGGCCTCAGCACGTCCACATCAATGCCTGGAAAAACGGGTCGAGAAGAACCGTCGAAGGGAAGAAGGAGGTTCGGTTGAGTGCCACGCATTGGCCAACGCCTGATTCCTACTGCCTAGAGATCAGGCTGGGGGGCGAGTACTTTGCATCGCTGCGGAAACCCCAGGCTCAGCCTGAGCACCGACCGAGGAGGACCTCCCCGCAGATGCCGCTGCCGTTGAGTCCACCGATTTCCAACCCTGAAACGACTACGTCGGGGGCAGACTCGGAGGACTCCTCACCACGGCATCCTACCAAGCGTGGGCGCAACGTCAAGCTGTCCATCCCGTCAGAGTTTCTGTACCAGCCCCTCACCCCGCCAGTCCCGGCACCCAACAGTATACAAGAGTGGGGCGCTCAAGTCGGACGCTGCACCTCAGACAGCTCGCGCGGAGCACCACCGGGCTACTTCTGGCCGCCTCGCTATGATCTCACAGCCACCATTGGAGGAGAACGTAGGCAACTTCACTCGTGAGGAGCCTTGAGCCCCCCGGCCTCTGCTCAGAGGTGTGTTGATTGACCACGAACGCGAGGAAGGGGTTGTTGGATGAGTATACGTAGTGCGTGCTTTTCCCAAGAGTGTTATACAAGTATGCCGGATTCCGCGTTCGTTCTGTCTTCTTTTGGACTTTGTAGAGTTATCACATTCAACGGTAGTCTTGTATTGTGTCTAAAATTTCACTATGACGATTGTTAGCGTTCGTATATATGGCTGAATCTCAACAGGAGCGCCGCGTATGATACTCAGTGAGAGAAGGAACGACGCAGGGCGGGCGCTTGATGCACATCCAATGTGGGCGTCTGATTATGATACCTGGGGTCACGGTCGCGAGCTCGGTCGCGATATCGCAGATCCGTTTCTCACCAACTCTCAACTTCCCTCTTCTCTAGATGCACATCTGGGCTGCCAAATCGCTACTTAGGCTCATTCGACCCAGTGCTGACTTAGGAGGAAAGCTCTATCTTGCACCAATCTCGGGAGACATACAAGCACAGGAGGTGAGCATTACCCTTATGCGATATCGGACGACAGAACCCCCAAGACCATCGCTATGTGATGTCGGAAGGCTACGGAACTTCATGTACGGTTGTATTTCTGCCTGCGCCGCACGCAACAATACTGGTCAGCTATACGTACTCGTATGAAGCCATGCTTAGCCTAGCGTGACGCCATCATAACAGTACCTACGCCAGCGAATCTCCATTTCTATGTGTCGCGCAGAACGGTACCCATCAGCTAGTATGGGTGCTGAATCGGATACATGTCAACGGAGCACCCATAGCAGCTCATGGCAGGTATCGATTCGATTCCAAACCCATGCGGTGTAAAGTTGTATCAGATTGTATCCAATGGTTTGCATGAGCTTCGTGAACGTCATGAACCTCTAGGTACTGGCTTGATTGAACATCAACCGAGTATCCTTAGCCCACCGCCACAATTTGCAAAGCCTGTGTCTTGCTGAACCGTATCCGTCCGCTATGGATATCAAACTGACCAGACCTGTTTAGTACCCATAGCATACGGACGCGGTTCTCACAGTTACCTCGTGGTCCCGAGGTGTGCGACGACCCGTATATAGTACCCGGCACAGTCTACGGGTATCGAGTTCCGAACGGACAAATCGGCGGTGCATAACCTGTATGGGGCATCGCGCGGAATCGTGCTCGTTAGCTATGGGTAGTAGAAAATTGAACATCTCAAGCTTCCTAGTACCCATAGCCTACGGATATCGAACTCCGAACCTCTGATACAGTGGTGCATAGTGTTGAATTATAAACATTCCACTTTAGTCAATATGGTCGTTCGGCAATACGTAAGCAAATGACGAGAACTGGATTCTAGATGAGGCATCATGTTTGGGGTTACAGGGCTGGATGTGCCCTGGTGCACCAGGTGTCAGATAGGATAGGAGATATGGGTAGTAGAGGATGACGGGGTAGATGCGGACACTGCACCATCCAAGGATGAGTACGTGCTCACTCGCATTCGAGGCCCCTCAAAGGGCGCGATAATGGATCTCGAATCTGGGATACTAGTAGGCAGGGAAGTTGACGAGAGCGAATCCCAAGGCGGCTCAAAGGTCACTGGCGGGTGCGACGCATGCGAGGGAGGCAGTACATCGTATGTGCCCTCATATCCCGGCTGCAACTCCAGACCAATATTCACGACGGACGCGTCGCAGGGTATAGCACGCGCTTCGTCAAAGAAACATTCGGCTTCCAGAGCACCGGCGCCGAGGATTTCGCCGAGTCTGCCACGCCTGGTGCTGGCGGGCTGGACGGTCGCTAATTCGGAGACTGAGCATACGGGAAGAGTACCGGCCCACACGACGTCCCCCTGCCCGCCGAATCCAGCCTGTCCTGGATAGAAGGGCGGAGCGGGATTGCCGTGGGATGTAGACGAGGATGTCGCGGTAACGATCCCACCGTCAACAGTGGCGTGAGCATGCGCTTGGCGACGCGGCGCTGGTGGAATGGGAGTCGCCTCCATCTCAACCTCGACGAAGGCGCGGACATTGTGAGAGGGAGGTCCCGGTGGAGGTGCGTTCTGCACGTCCATGCTTCGAATATCCAGGGGACGCTGATCCTGCACGGTCGGCGGGATGGGAGAGGCCATACTGGAGTGCCTTGGTTGCCCGTACTGTGAAACAAAACCTTCAGCGGGAAGGAAGCCGCCGTGGCGTTGGCGTTCGCTGAAGGTGGGGTAGACTGCGGTAGTGCTGAAATGCCGCAGCCTCGTCCATGGATTGTTGCTGGCGCCGTTCTGCGCTGATCCCATCGTCAAGCTATGCTGAGGAGCAGAGGCACAGTCGGCCGTGTTGCTCTCGGAGACGCGGAGCGAGGCGTGTTTACCCCGTTGTGCCAATTCCTCTTCGATAACCTTGAGCTGCTTCAATGTGTCGACGAGGATTTGCTGTTTGTCCTGGAGACGTCGCCGCCCGAAATCACCCTCTTGTGGCGTGAGACGACGCAGGTCCGAGTCCAGGTCAATGGGGCCACCATCGCCGCGACGATGAGTGCGTTGTGATCTGTGTGCTAGATACGACGACCGACGGAGGTGGGGAGAGGGCATCGCTTGGTGGGAGGGTACGATCGGGTGCGGAAGTGAGGGGAGCGGACCATGCGCCTCGATCCCATCACCTTTTGCGCCCTTGTGGCAACGCCGGTTCGATTTGGAGGTCGTGGTGCTCGTGCGCTTCCCGGAAGACTGTATATAACGATGTCGTCCGTTGAGCTCTCTGGACTGCCTGTACGCGATGCTAACATGAAAACTCACAGCGCGCGCGGCAGGCTTGTGTGCCGCCACCGATGCGGGACGCACCTCAGTCGGTGGCGAGTCGACGGGTCCAGAGAGATGCGTCTCGTTGGGCAGGTGCGTCTGTTCCTCCGTGTTCCCGCCATTGTCGAGGTACGCGAGAGGGCCTGGGGCTGGGCGCGGTTTGATGGGAATGGGAATGGGTGGTTGTGTTCGGGACGGGTCTGGTGGCGGCTTGTTCGCTTGAAATAAATTAAAGGCCGTCTGTTGTACCACACCCTAAGCAACGCGGGAGGCTATAGTCAGTGTAATAGGAGGTACGTTGCGGAAGAGATCGTACGGGGATTGACTCTTTGAGTGTCTTGTGGAGATTCCATGGCAGATTTACGGGACAACGTTGCGGGCTTGTTTGGCCAGTTTGCGAGGGTTCTACGCGCGACATGGTAGATAGATGGGAAGGGATGACGCTAGACAGTGGGGTATGCTTTGCGCGACCCGCGTCGCGGTGGTGGTGCAAGGAGGATATAGCGCACAAGAGCGTCGCCAGAGTTGAGGTCCGAGGAACGGTGCCGTGGTTCTTGTACTGAATTCGAACCACCACCGTCGGAGTTGTGTCTGTGAGAGAAGCCACAGCATCAACGGCGTGCCCTAGAAGCAGCCCGCTTCGTACGTGCATCAGAGAGCGATAGAACTTCGTGTACTTGTCCCGCGGGGCCGGGATGGTGGGCACCTCAAGCTTCGATCAAATGCCAGAAACTGAGGGCCCGCCCCAGGATCGCGCCCAAATACACCGAAAGAGACATCCCTGAACTCGCGCCGAGTCATGGATGCCGCGCGCGCCCTGCAAGATGCCTCCTGTGATTTATAGCACCACACGCGTCGAACTTCCTACGACGCTGAGTTGCCAAACCAGACGTCGAGTTGGAGTTGGTTGCACAGGTGGCCTCGAGGCAGAAGCGCTGTGCAGATTGCACGGTCGAGATTTAGCGTGTTTCCCAAGGTGTTTCCAGCCAGCGTGCATCCCTTTGTTCTTGAAAAGGAATGATGAGCGCACACGCTGGTCTGCTCTGGTGGACATGCGCGAGCCTCACACGTACCACATGAGGATGGCGGTTCGCCGCCAGTTGAACGCGCAGCCCCGGGCCCGGGCATGCTGCGCTCAGCCTGTGAGACATACAGCCCAGATCCTGGCATAGTAGCGAGAGGTTGGCAAGGCCCGGGCGGAATTTCGAGGGTGGCGTAAATACGGTGTAACTTCTGTGAAGCACAGTCGCACGGTGCTTGTACCATCTGCAGATCCCGTGCAAAGAATGTGGTGAGATGTGAAACAGAGATCGAGAGGGACATACCTTGGCCAGTGGCTTCTCCGAGGTGGGGCCAGCCTCGTTATTATGCCGTCACTCGTATTCGGAATCCGACGATACCGCCAGGGCCCAGCACGCCTGTGGATATCCCGCATACGACGTGGAAATTATCTTCTGAGAGACGTATCCGACACTGGCTTCTTCCTGACAGTTGTGCCTCGCCTGGCCAGCGGAAGGGTACGCCCTGGGCCTGACGTGCGGCATCGAGCACGCCGTGTTGTCGAGCGTGTACCCCAACGAGTTGCACATGCTCGCCCCCGTGCTTGCGCACGCACGACCGAGAATCCTCGAGGTGGGCGGATTCCCCATAGACATCCGGCGGCCGTGGGGCGACCCATGCGCCAAGGAGGCGTTAGTTGGGGAAGGCTGTTGCTCGCCGCCTAGCGGCTAGTACGCATAGAGCCTCGGTGTTCTTGAAAATACAAGGTGATAACAGAGGATGAGATAGCTGCCAGCACCTTGCGTTTTCGTCGTCCTCCACAATGACCAAGTCATATACTACGTGGTGCCAGCCCTCGACGTGTTCCAGGCGGAAGATCTTCAAAAAGCTCGCAGCTGCCAAATACGATGACTGTGCTACGGCCGATAGTATAGACTGGAGAGTTCTTCGTTTCTGCCTCGTAGACCAGAGTCATGTGGGAGGCATCGTCGAGGAGCTTGGGTACACAACTCGGCGGCGGGGAGCCTCGTGGCAGAACGTTAAGCAACGAGCGCGTAATCCCGCCCCTTTCCAGATACGGTAATATCCCGCCGCCGAGCGCTAACCAACTCGAGCCCTCGAGCTCGTCCTCGGGATCGTTTGGTTTGCATGCGATGGACACACAAATGCGCTCCATCTATCGATACAACTCGTCATTATCATTCGCCAGACGACACCTACGCACAACCAGTGGCCAATATGCCACACTGAATATAGTAGCCCTTCCCCAAGTGCTCCTCCTACACCACATCGCTACTACCCTTCCTACCCACGCATCAGCACACACGTCCGCCCGCCAAGAGCGACAGTCCCGACGCTCTGCTCCGCCACACCAATCCCGCCCGCTCCGACCGGCGCCTTCTGCTTCTGCAAAACCGGCGCCGCGAACGCCTGCGCGACGTTCCACTGCGAGTCGATATCCATGTCCTCCCCCTCCGACTCCACGACCGTCTCCAGCGGCGCGCCCGCATCCGAGACGACCACGCGCGGCATCGCCGCGTCCGCCAGACCCACATACCCGCCCTGGCCCTGGCCCTGCTCCGGGGTGAGCAGCAGCACCGAAACGGGCGACGCGGGCGACGAGGGGGTCGGGGAGTCGGACGCGGGGAGGAGCGACGACGACGCGGACGCAGAGGCCGAGGGCGGGCCGTCGCGCGAGCGGCGCTCGAAGCTGGGCGTCGAGTAGCGCGACTCGCACGACTTGTACGACTCCGCGGTCATGCTCGCGCCGCTCTCGCTCGCGCGCGAGTGCGAGCGCTCCGAGCTCTGCGGCTGCGTCCCGCTCCCGCTGCTGTCCGCGGAGTGGCGGTACGAGGACGTCCCGGAGTGCCCGGAGCGGATGGAGGCGTACGTGTCCGACGCGAGGACGTGCGTGACGTCCTCGTACTGGCCGTCCTCGTTCGTCGCGTACACGCGCCAGCTGGATGCGCCGCCCGAGATCCCGCTCTTCATGCCGGTGACGGAGTCCGGGCACGTGCTGCACGAGGGGGTGTGCGAGTCGCGCGAGAGCGTCGGCATGTCCGCAATTGGGGGCGCCCCAGGAACGATGGACTTCTCGAGCGAGGCGACGCGCGGCGGTTTCTGGAGGCCCTCTTCGGCGGTGGCGAGGGAGAGGCGAGACTTGCGGTTGCGGCGGAGTTTGTCCGTCCTGTGGCAACAGGACAGGACGCCGCACTTGAAACAGAGGACGCCGCCGCCGAGTGCACTGAGGGTGCCGAGGATGAGGAAGGCGGCCACGATGGCGGTCTTACGCGCACGCATGGACGCGTCGGACACGTTCTGGGAATGGACTTCGGGGTTGGGGTCGTCAAGGACGTTGGCGGTGGGCTGCACGATGGAACGCGTTCCGGAGAACAGCGGCTCGGTGAAGGCCGAGGTCATTGGTTGAGGCCATACCGCGGACGGTGTCGGAATGGACGATGAAGCAGCCACGGGAAGTGAAGTCGCGAAATCCAGGCGCACAGAGGAAGCAGGGGTGGAGGAGGGGGTTGGAACAGAGGCCGTAGAAGAAAGAAGCGCCATAGACTTGAATTTATTCGCCAACTTCTTGTGAGCAGACGATGAAAGCTTCGAGTGCTTCATAGTGGAAAGGCCTGAGGTAGCCGCAGCGCCCTGAATAACCAATGGAGCAGACTGAACAGCAGGCGGGTCCTCGTTGTAGGACACAGCGCTGTTATGTTCGGACGCAGTGGGAGAAGCAGCAGATTGAGCCGCCGCCAAGACGGGAGATACCGCCGCCAGAGTAGGCTCGACTGCTGCTGCGATGGCCTCTGTTGGCGAAGGAGGCGTCGCAACATCGAACGAAGAGCTCGCGCTAGTTATGGCGGCATCCGAACTTGAGGAAGTGGCCGTAGAACCCAAGAGAGGTGTACCAGAAATGGATGCAGGTTCGGGAGGGTTGAAGCCAAAGGCCAACGCAGGGCTGGATGGTGCAGAGACGGACTCTGCAGGTGCTCCGAGAGTAGGCGAGGCGCAAGACAAGAAGAGAAGCGAGAAACCTAGAAGAGTCGGGTTGTGCATGGTAGGGAGAAGGAGAGAGGATGCCGTGCGGGCGTCGAGTTAGTGTGGGTCGGAGGGCTGCTGGTGGTGGTCCGAGAGGAAGATACGAGCTTAAGCGGAGGACTCGCTGAATATCGCGAAGACGCAGAGGCTGCCACCGTAGAACAGCGGCTGGCAACCACTCGCCTTGCTATTCGGAAGCGAAGAAGGAAAAAGCGACATACCCAGTCCAGATGCATATAGTCACTCTGCATCATCTGCGCTGCGCTTTTCTACGCATTTATGCAGCAACATATGCTGTACCCGGGACATCATCTCGATACTAAAAACGTTAGGTGTGAGTTGTACAGTCGAGACGTTGAACCAATTCAAAGCTTTTGAGTTTTCCTCGCGTGCAGTAGGCGCCCTCCTACGTCACCGGCACAACACCGGCAGCGTGGTTAGACGCCCATTACTGAACCCTGTCCTCCTCCCTCGTCCTGCTTCCTCCTGCTCCTGGTCTCAGCAATCTTACAACGACACATAGACATCTTGTCTTCTGAAAATGTCACGGTTTTCTGGGTATATCAACAGAACTAGCAGACTTCTACGCGACAATGCTTCCCGCAGTACGCAAATGCCTCCTCTCAAAAGCGCTTCCCTAAGGCCTGAGGTATGGCATAGTTCTCCGGATGGAAGGCGCGGACGAGCCCTCGCGTGCTCCAAAGCTCCTGTACACCTTCAATACGCCAGAACACATCGCGCAATTCGCGACCGGCTGCGATGCCGATGTGGGCGGAATGTCGACCGTCCACTTTGAGCTAGACGAGTCCACCGCGAAACCGGCGACTGAGCCGAAGGTGTCCTCTCCCCATGGCGTATTCGTCAACCGTCCGACGGGCAAATTCTGGGGCGAAATGAAGCTCGCGGTGAGGAGCGGGCTGGAGGGACAAATTCGGGGCGGTTATGCAGGGTTCCGGAGCCAGGTGCGAGCGTGTCGCGCTACGCGTCTCTTCCCCGTGCACTGACACACGTCTCGACGCCAGCCACGTCCGACGCTCTTCGGCGAGCTTACGGACGACGTCTCCAACCATGAGTATTTGGCACTGCGCGTACGCGCCCTCGGCCATCCTCGTACAAGGAATTCGTATTTCGTGAACCTTCAGACAGACGGGCCCATCACGACCGACCTGTGGCAGCATCGCCTGTTCTTCAGGCGAGACGACGGCGACTGGGAGGACATTTTCGTACGTGCTCAATCGCAGCCTCACGGTCTTTGGACTCACCGGGTGCCCAGATTCCTTTCAAAGATTTCGTCTTGACGAATGCTGGGGAGCTTGTGTCGCACCAAGTCCAGATGTACCGCGAGCGCATCCGCACTGTCGGCATCTCCCTCCTGGGCGGCAATAGCGGCGTCGAGGGACCATATGAACTGGGCATCGACTCCGTGAGCGCTGTGAATGTGGAGGATGTGTCTGATACGTCGGCTCTTGGTCTGTCCATCTTACCGCTCCGACCACTTCATCTGTTCCTGACGCTTGTTGCAGAGAAAGTACCTACAGAAGGGACACAGTGGCAGAGGTCGCCTGTGTTGTAGGACAAATTCAATCCGACAACCGCTCTCCTCGGTGATGTAGCATCTTTACCATAACAGCCAGTAGTGTTTCTATCTTCCCTCATCCTGCAGGCTGTTCAGTGTCTCTGGATCCATACCCGCCATCCGCCGAGATGGTTGGGCCGCACATCGACTGACTGACCACGAGCTCGTGCCTGAGTTACACAGAGCCCACTGCGACACAGCCCGAAACAGGCCAGCCCCAGGTCGCCGAGGCAGAAGCGCCTTGTTACTGTGTGCTACCGGTCAAACTCCCAATTCACTTGCCTCTGCTTGCTATAGCCCATGGGGGGTCGCGGGCGGTCAACATCTGAGACACAAGCGCAGTTTGACCCGTCTTAGGCTCAGGCGGTAGTGATGTCCATCTTGATTGATGGTGCACTTGATATTCAACCGCTCTGTGCGCAAAGACGGCACGCGAGCAAAATCAGTTCTCCGTACTATAGCGCGAGAATCTTCAGCCGGTCTCGTGTACGAGGAAGCGCGGAGACACCGGACGGCGGCCACGAGCGGTACGGCGGCGACCCCAGGGCGCACTGTCTCAAGTTGCGCGCACATCATTGCGTCCATTCTAAGGTGCGGGTGTGATAACTCGGAGAAGCTCCGTGCCCCACTTCGAAAAGGGCCCATGAAGCATTGCAAGCGTCACCACCCGCTCAGGAACATATCGTAACGTTGTCCGTACGTACCTTCATTCCATTCTCTGCCTCTGCCCTCACTCACGGGGATATTGCCACATACGCAGAACTCCATCAGCCCCAGGGGCCCGATCACTGATGTTTGGTCCGAGGCCCGACCTGTAGATCCCTGTGCACCGTCTGAGTCTCCGCCCACGCGACACTTGTGTTGCGCGGAGGATAGCCTCTTTGGGATTCGCTGGGCGCAGCGCGGCAATCTTACCTGCGCCAGAACGGGTCAGAGCATGTGGTCGAGGTCTCGGGCGTCGAGCCACAACCGCCCCGGGCGTCGCAGATGGCCCGCGCCCGCATCGGAACCTCCGTCCAAGCGGTGAGCTTCGCGATGACGCGGTTTCGTTGCTATCTCGGTCTGCATACCAACGCCCTCGAGCGGAGGACGCGGGTGCGATATAAAAGCCGTCGGGGGCGGGGCGAGGATCCCCACCGCCCTCTCTTTCTTCGTTCTCTTCTTCGTGCGCTTGCGCAGAAAGCCCTCTTGCAGTTCTCGTATACTAGTGCCCTGGTCCTACTTCTCTTTTCGTGGCGCTCGCTTTAATCATCATCTTCTACACCTCACCCACCCACATACTCTCATTATGATCCCTGTTCTCGTTGCGGCCCTCGCGGCGTACGTCCCTCTCGCCTCCGCCCACGCCGGTACGCATACACCCACCCCATCTCACCATCGCGACATACTGACACACCCCCACAGCGTTCTGGCACAAGAGTATGTACGGCTTCAACGTCACCGAGCAGACGTTCCCCTACGACAACCGGCCCGTCGCCCCGCTGCAAAACATGCCCTTCGACCAATGGTGGTTCCACGGGCACCTCGACTTCCCCCCGAACGCAGGCGACGTGTTCGAGCTGCCCGCAGGGCAGGCCGCGACGTCCGAGATCGCGTGCAACAAGGGCGCGACCACGCTCTTCGCGTCCTCCGAGGGCGGCGACATCCAGAGCGGGGACGACGTGTGCCCGGGCAGCCCCCCGAGCGAGTATCACACGACGGGCGTGGACGACGTGAAGGGCTGCGCGCTCGCGATCGCGTACGAGCCGGACGTGCGCAAGATCAAGCCCGAGGACTTTGTCGTGTTCAGCGTGAACCAGACGTGTGTGTGGAACCGCTTTACGGACTTCAGTGTGCCCGAGCGGATGCCTGCGTGCCCCGAGGGCGGCTGCCACTGTGCCTGGTTTTGGATCCACTCGGTGAGCCTTCTGTCCTTTCGTTTCTTGTACATGCGCAGTAGATGTTGAACGAGCCTTTTAGCCCGACAGCGGCAGCGAGCAGATTTACATGAACGGCTTCAAGTGCGACGTCACCGGTGCCCGCTCGACCGTCCCGCTCGCGAAGCCCGCCGTCGCCCGCCGCTGCGGCGCCGACCCCGAGCACGGCAAGCTCGACGCCGTGCCCGGCAACTGCACCTACGGCGCGAAGCAGCCGCTCTACTGGCTCCAGAAGGAGGGCAACAACGTGCGTACTTCTTTCCCTCCTTTCCAAAACATGTATAGCTGATGTCCACTGCAGGAGTTCGAGGACACGATCGCGCCGCCGTTCTATAACGACCTGTACAACTTCCGTGACGGCCCGCAGGACGACATTTTCCAGGACTCGTACCCCGGCGGCCTCCCCGAGCCCAGCCCGGAGCAGACGGTCGTCCCGACGCCCGTGAACCCCGCCTCGGCCCCCGCTGCGACCTCTGCCTCGTCCTCGTCATCCTCCTCCGCCACTGACTCTGCTTCCTCTGCCGCGTCGACTTCAACCTCTTCGAGCGGACCTCTTCCTTCTGCGCGTGGTTTCCGTCGTTCAGTCGGCAGTCCCCACATTGGCGTTCCCATTGCTAGGAAACCCCTCACCCACTCGAGGAAGTTGACGTGAGCGCCCCTCCCTGTGTTCTGAGCCGCCGAGCACCGCTGACCATCCTGTGATATTTACAGTGCGGAGGACATCAACAAGCGGCTCATGCGGGCGCGCCGCGCTTCGTCCTGGCACGCGGCAGGCACTCAGCACTAAGCTTCTCGGCCCCTCGTCTCCTCACGCCCACCCACGTCTTGATCACGCACACATAGATGCCCCGCTCCCTTCAAAAGCTTCACTCCTTGGCGGGCACCGCTGGGTCCTTCCGCGGGGCGGCCTTGCCACCCAGTCTCGCTCAAGCCGTTCTTTACTTGCTTAACTTATCTCTTATTGCGATCGATGTTCTGTATCACTAGTGGCGATGACCTATAACCAATCTTATTGCGGCGTTTTCCCTACATTTGCCGTGTTCACAGCATGCGCGCGAGGGTTTGTGCATCATGGTTTGCAGACCTGGTGATAATTCGGCCAGTGAGATAAAGGTCGTAAGACGCAATATATTAATATAGCCACTACATCTTGACTCGGAATGATAACCCTTCCGCCAGGAAGAGTGCAATGCTTTCTTCTTCACGATCGTCACCCACCTTCTTCTACTAGCGTATGTTCTACTTCTTCATTCGCTCCTTTCCGAGCGTCATTTCTGTCATATCGGTGGCTGTTACTGGCTTCTGGAAACGTTTGCGGTTTCCACCGTCCGCGTTGGAACGGGCTATGACTTACTTCGAAGCCCCTGGCAGCACGGGTGGCTGCGGGCCTGACATATAAAGGCGGGCCCCGCGCGTGAGTAGATTCCCCTCCTTCCCCCACGAACGACACCGTGCATGATCTCTGTCAACGCTGCTATATACGTCTTTGTGGTCCATTGTTGACAGGTGAGTACTCCAGTCCACCTCGAATGAACCGCCCTCACTAAGTAGATATCGATCATTTGCCATCATTTCAGATCAGCGCTCCTTTCCATCACCTAACGAAGCGTCCCTTGCAGATCCCTGGGTATCTTGGTCAGATCAGTGATTGAGACGAACTTCTCTCCTTGTAAGAAAGGTGTACATATAGCTAAAGACCCCCGGCGAGCAGCAAAGCACGATGCTTGAGGAGAAGGGAGAGACTAGGCCATCCCTCGGACACCCCAACCGAGGCTCGGGCCAGGACCCCGGAGACGAGGCTGGAACTCAAGAAACGAAACCTGATGGCGGGAGGAGGTGCCGAGGCGGGTGGCTACGGGGCCGCTGACGCGACGCGCCCTGACAACTCT